GTTTCGTGGCCTGTTTCTCTTGTGCGCAGTCTTGTTGTATCGTTGACACAGTCTGGCAATCAGTCTTATCAACTATACTTTGTTTTCAATATTTTATTCATCTATGTACCCAGCAGGCACATCAACATTGTTTCAACGTTGAGAATAGGTTGGTCCTCAACGTTAAAATTAGATTGAAAATAGGTTGTATATGAAAGTTTTTTAGACGTAGGTATCCGACGTGGAATCAACGTTGAAGTTTGACATATTATGAACGTTGAAAATGGGTTGTTCCGTGGTTGTATATGAAAGTTTTTTAGACGTAGATATCCGACGTGGAATCAACCTTGAAGTTTGACATATTATTAACGTTAAAAAAAAAGTTGTTCCGTGGTTGTGTCTGGGAGGTATTACGCTTTCCTGTAAATAGACTCGCACTTCATCTTTAAACTACACTAAAGTAGCACCAAACTCATGCATCCAGCTAAAATACCCAAAAAGCTACCTGCAATAAACAGTGTTCAAACAGAAAATTGCAGTAAAAATATTTACCTGATTAAATACTTGGTTAAAATTCCACATTCAATATAATGTTCATTTAAGTTTTATTTAAGTTTTATGTCAGTTGGACGTATAATTCCACTAAGAAGAAAAGAGTATTCCAGATTAAGAAAAATTATTTACTGTTGTATTGTTATCTTGAGAAGGTGGAAATTGTGCCGAGAAGACATTTTGTCTGAATTTCAGCTATTAGACAGACCCCTGAATAAACACAATGCAATTATTTTCACCATGAAAGGGATCCAAGATGACCAGGAACTATACCTGAAGACAGCACATAAAACAAGTCACTTTTCATGAAATCTTTATGAAAACACACGCACATAGAGAAACGTGGTTTAAAGCATAATGTAAAACATCACACATGACATAGTCTGTAGGTGATCTCTGTTGTGCTAATAACACAATATCATCTGCATATAGCATTAAACTGACATTTACGCCACCAATTTCAATACCACAGTTCAGATTTTTCAACACAAATACAACTCTAAAAACACAATTATCAGCTCCTCTTCTTTCTGCCACTCCCTGCCTGGCGGTCAACTCTTTCTTGAAATTTGCTTCAGATGCATTCCTATCTCATTCCCATGAGATGGGACACATTCTGAAATTTTATATTTAAATACATGAATAATTTATAAAGAAGATATATTGTCTTAAATGATTCAAGTATTTGTTTAATCAATCACTTGAAAGGTTCATTTCACTGCTGTAACTTGGCATGTGAACATATGAACAGCATCAATACAAAATATGACGAAAAGTGTAAACTATTTATATTTTCAAGTACAGGAATGGAAGTTTATACATTTTCAAAGAAAATCCTCAATTGCAAGTTGATTATTCAATTAGGCTATGAATTAGGATGAATTAGACGATGCTTTAGTGTCATATATTATTTGCTATGGTCATGATGAAAATGCTGCATTTAGTAATTAACTTACCAGAGATGATTGAATACAACCCTGTATTCTTAAAAGAAAACTTGCCGTTTTGCCCATCAACATTCATTCTTGACATCAAATTGTTTGACATTGTCCTGCAAAACAATGGAAGATTGTTGTTATTCTGTCAGATTTAGTTTTCTTTACAGATTCTCAGAAACGATCATTTCAAATTAAATAGGAGTTGTACTGGTGTAGCAATTTTGCTAACAGGAGTCATAAATTGTAACAAAAGCCATTTTACATTAAATGATAAGAAAACAAAATGGGTGGTGCTTCACAGGTCAAAGAACAAGTCTATTGTGGGAGGTCTTCCAACGCCATTTGTTCCCAAACACAAGGAAGTATGGATCATGGAGTTCTGAAAACAATAATGAGCTCTCATAAGTATACAATATATTCCCTATTATCTACTCTCTCTCTTTGTCATTTGTACACTCATAAAACTCAGATAAATAACTTCTTCATAATTCAGAAATGTTTACACTTAATCTCTTATAGGAACGCTTAGAAAATCTCTCACATAATGAATTATGTGTGCGTATAATATCTGCGACGTCATAACTATGCTTCTCTGAATCATGAACAATAAAATAATGAGATTAAACTCTACACTGCCATTAATAATCTATCATACCCTGAATAATACGACATTGAATAACATCTCTTACAACTCCAATCTACACTCAAAAAGACTTAAATGTACTCGCAAACAAACATCGCTGGCACACCCAAATTCTTGGAAACAGTGTATCTCTGACTCTCAATTCCAAGAAATGGAAGTCCTACTCTAATTGACCAAAGGGGTGACAGGTGGCCAAAACATATTGAAATGTAGGTCATACACTGAAAATAACTCTGATTTAAAACACTACAAATATACACCTTCTCTCTAATATACTCGATAGATGATCTTGACAAGGGAACATGTACATAAAATGCTGATATCTAACAATACCTGTACTCTAAATAATGGACTCTTCCAAATCTCAGCATGTTTCACTGCACACACATTTAAATGCAAAATAATGAAAAACCTACACTTTGACAATAATAAAAAACATCATATTCAAATTCTACAGCTGACCAAATACCTGAAGAGTGTGTCTTCCAGCAATAAACATCTATATATCTCTATAAATTTATGACTTCTGTCCTCTCGCGTGCTATCTCGCATCCAGCTCTTTACCGCGAAAAACAATATGGCACCATGCAAGGGAGTGCTCATTAAACTAAACATCTCCGGCAGAAATCATTGTCAATTTTTTCTCTTACATGATCAACCTTAATATATAAATGAAGATAAAGACCAACTATTATCACCAAAAAAAACCAAACATTATCACAAATATTCAAAACAGGTGGTAATGAAAGAGCATTATCATCTTTCTCTTAAACTTTGTGGTGGATATACTGGAAACAAATGAAATGTTAAAAACTTGTTACCTTAGCATTGCTCCTTTTATGTGATCCACAAAATTGCTGCCACCCAGTCTTCGAAGATGAGATTTCTGCAAATACCATTAAAATTATATCTTATTTCATAATTAAATGTTCCTTACTAAATTACTTCTTTTGTATGTAACGTTTTAACCTTTAAGAGACATGAATCATCACATCCCTTCCAAACAAGTGTAAGAATGAAAGTCTGTGGATGCAGTTTTGTTAATTGTCCCATCAAAGAATCATTAGTGAAGTTACACATTTTGTAAATAAATAAAAGTTCAAATAAATATATACAATTTCATCCTTAACAAAGACTTTCAGAAGACATTTTGATGTGAATTTTCGTTGCATGATCTGAGAAAGATTCCATTTCGCCATAATATACATATGTTGACAGAGTTCAGAGCGTGCTCAATGCATAATTTACTGATAGATCTATTCAAACGAACAAATGTTCATAATAATGTGATGCAATATAAAATGTTGATAAATTCTAATCGATTTTGTATAGATGCCCTTAGGGACCGTTCATAATGTATGGCTTGGGGGTGATGATGATTTTTATGGAGAAGCATGTACAATGTGAATTACCCTCTCCCCCTCCCCCCCTCCCCCGTAAAGTGTATGTACAAAATAAGTGACGCCCCACCCTGCATGTCATGTACAATATCTATGACGCCCTCTCCCCTTCCCATAATTTCTAAGCATCATATTAAACATAATAGTGCGTGTGTACAAAAATGCTGACCCCTTAGCTCCCCTGAACAAAATGGGTCTCACACACACACACACACACACACACACACACACACACACACACACACACACACACACACACACACACACACACACACACACACACACACACACACACACACACACACACACCTTACAATAATCACCCCCACCCGCAGCCATATAATTATGAACGGTCCCTTATATTGATGTACTTCATGGATTATTTGAAAATGTATATTTGCAAAATTCAAATCAGGTGATGGGTACGAAAGGAAATCTTATTCGATTATATAATAAAATGCCAAATATATGCATGCAAATATATTTAAAAATAACAAAACAAGTTCATGGAAAACACGGGCTTCCACTAAATTTTGAGAAACATGTAAGTGACATACCGGTAATCTTGTGAGATAAAACATGAGCCCTAATTCGGAGTTTCTTGCTACATTGACCTGCTAGATTTAAACAACATTCTTACGTTTTCATTATACATGAAGGACATACTTACCAAATAAACACCAGCATGCCGTGAAGATGTTGAAATAGAACGATATTGCGTTGAACTTCGCCAAAGTGAACTGACAACGATCAGCTGCCTTTGCGCGCGCGATAATTGTGCGCATGTCCGGATATGGCCAAACGAGGCGATCGAAAGGTGTATTATCATGCATGTGTTTGAAAGCAAATTGTCGGGAATTATACAATTTTGACAGTTTTGTGGGAAAATATCAAATGTAATGCAATTCGGATAACTGATGACTTTATACCTAAAATCATTGATGGTTCCTTGTCTATGTACTGTGTCCAGAGGTGAAGAAGCCTAATTGCCTAATTAGGATTAACAGATTTAAGCACAAATACCATTCTCCATGCATACTCAATTAGTTGGGTGAAACAACTCTTGATTAGGGGTGCAACAACCCCTAATGTGGGATGAACTGACCTAGTTTTGAATTGGGATGAATCTCGCGTGAAACTACTTGGGGTGAAACGACCCGGGTGAAACAACTTGGGGTGAAACGACACTGGCGAAACTACTTGTGTGAAACCCTTCTCACAATTTAACGACATACACTGTTTTCTGAGCGGGAGGTGTGTGTGCGTGTGTGTCTGTGTGTGTGCGCGCGCGCGTGTCTATGTGTGCGTTCGTTTGCAACATATACGTAAGCATCAAACAATGTTAATGGGATACGATACTTTGAATTTTTCACCCACCGACAAACAGAGATAGAGAGATATAGGCTTGAAAGCGACATTAAATGCTAAATCATCCCTTTACTCAATCACCTGTGAAATGCATGTTTATTAAGGATTAATCTGTTCCAGGTGACAGAGACACGTCCCGACCCCCGGGCCAATCTCCTTCAGTACCTCAGACGTACACGTATCCTCCCTAAGAAGAGTCCGTGGATCAGTCCGTGGATGAGTACGCAGTCTCGATACTGCGATTTTAGAAGAATGGACAGCTAGTCGACAGACACATGTATATGTATTCACAAGTAGTCCTGTTATATTTTACTGAGTGACAAATACAATTGTCGAACTTCCCTTGTGCAAATAATGCGTAATGGCGACATGCACTGTTGGAGATGTCACTTGTCCTGACGAAGTGGACGCCACATTCTTTAAATTGTTTATAACGAACAGTCTAGCTGACGGATATAACGAACAGTCTAGCTGACGGATATAACGAACACTCTAGCTGACGGATATAACGAACACTCTAGTTGACGGATATAACGAACACTCTAGTTGACGGATATAACGAACAGTCTAGCTGACGGATATAACGAACACTCTAGCTGACGGATATAACGAACACTCTAGCTGACGGATATAACGAACACTCTAGTTGACGGATATAACGAACACTCTAGCTGACGGATATAACGAACACTCTGGACGGATATAACGAACACTCTAGCTGACGGATATAACGAACAGTCTAGCTGACGGATATAACGAACAGTCTAGCTGACGGATATAACGAACACTCTAGCTGACGGATATAACGAACACTCTAGCTGACGGATATAACGAACACTCTAGCTGACGGATATAACGAACACTCTAGACGGATATAACGAACACTCGGATATAACGAACACTCTCTAGTTGACGGATATAACTAGTTGACGGATATAACGAACACTCTAGCTGACGGATATAACGAACACTCTAGTTGACGGATATAACGAACACTCTAGTTGACGGATATAACGAACACTCTAGCTGACGGATATAACGAACACTCTAGTTGACGGATATAACGAACTCTAGTTGACGGATATAACGAACACTCTAGTTGACGGATATAAACGAACAGTCTAGCTGACGGATATAACGAACACTCTAGCTGACGGATATAACGAACACTCTAGTTGACGGATATAACGAACACTCTAGCTGACGGATATAACGAACACTCTAGCTGACGGATATAACGAACAGTCTAGCTGACGGATATAACGAACACTCTAGTTGACGGATATAACGAACACTCTAGCTGACGGATATAACGAACACACTAGGTCTAGCTGACGGATATAACGAACAGTCTAGCTGACGGATATAACGAACAGTCTAGCTGACGGATATAACGAACACTCTAGCTGACGGATATAACGAACACTCTAGCTGACGGATATAACGAACACTCTAGCTGACGGATATAACGAACACTCTAGCTGACGGATATAACGAACACTCTAGTTGACGGATATAACGAACACTCTAGCTGACGGATATAACGAACACTCTAGCTGACGGATATAACGAACAGTCTAGCTGACGGATATAACGAACAGTCTAGCTGACGGATATAACGAACAGTCTAGCTGACGGATATAACGAACAGTCTAGCTGACGGATATAACGAACAGTCTAGCTGACGGATATAACGAACTGTTTTTTGTTGTGTTTTTTTTTTTTTTTTTTTTGTTTTTGTTTTTTTTTTTTTTGTTTTGGGGTGGGGGGCACAGCAACTCGATGTATATTTCAGTCTAAATGCATATAACGAACTAAAATTAGTGGGGTCTCTTTGAGTTCGTTTTTACCATATTATTTTTTGTCAAGTGTTGTCAGAACACATACGAATAACGCATGCTTTCAATGTGAGTACAGTTATCAATGAAAGGAAGTGACATCATCCACTGTATCATGTCATTCCTGTAAACTTTTCAGTATGGGTGGGACTGTGCAAACTATTAAAACAGCAAGCATAATATAATTACAGTGGAATCTGTCTATTACAAGCTGGCCTGGGACCGACTCATTTGTCCGGATCATAATGGATTAGTCAACATTTTTGTATGTGTTGTGATCAGCATAAAGCGTCTGTAAACACACGTTCCTTGACGCTGGGCAGTACGTCTGACAGGCTCCAAGGAAGGATGCGGAGAAGGGCGGTGTGGATCTTGTACCGTTATGGTGTCCCGTTATGACAGGAGGGAGAAGACTATCAGGTATAGAAGAACATAGTTGCACATACAACATGTCTCCATTCTCACCTATCTTTAACTTTAAAGTAATTTTTTAAACAAACTAAATGTTCAACATGTTCAACTAGCCTTATCCTCGATAAGCAAAAAAACATAATATCTATTCCTCTCGTGGTAACCTCCTTGATACATAAATATACTGTGCCTCCCTTGTTATTCTGCAGACACACAATCTGGCACGACGATTCGTCACTCTGCAGACTGGAGTTATGCCTCCTTTGTTATTCTGCAGACGCTCAATCTAACGCTATGTCCTCTCGTTATTCTGCAGACACAATCCAACGCTATGTCCCCTTGTTATTCTGCAGACACACAATCTAACGCTATGTCCTCTCGTTATTCTGCAGACACACAATCTAACGCTATGTCCTCTCGTTATTCTGCAGACACAATCTAACGCTATGTCCTCTCGTAATTCTGCAGACACACAATCTAACGCTATGTTCTCTCGTTATTCTGCAGACACAATCTAACGCTATGTCCTCTCGTTATTCTGCAGACACACAATCTAACGCTATGTCCTCTCGTTATTCTTCAGACACAATCTAACGCTATGTCCTCTCGTTATTCTGCACACACACAATCTAACGCTATGATCTCTCGTTATTCTGCAGACACACAATCTAACGCTATGTCCCCTTGTTATTCTGCAGACACAATTTATTTCTATGTCCTCTCGTTATTCTGCAGACACACACTCTGTCGCTATGTCCTCTCATTCTGCAGACACATAATCTAACGCTATGTTCTCTCGTTATTCTGCAGACAGTTAGCCTAACGCAGTGTTCCCTCGTTATTCTGCAGACACATGGCTGTGAACGCTTGTCTGCTGCCGCTGTGTTCCCTGCACAACATGGCCGTCACCACTGTGGAGGGGGTTGGTGACACGAGGAGGGGACTGCACAAGATCCAGGTAGGTGACTGACGATATAATCAACACAATTTGTATATAGACTTTTAATGTCAACATTTCCCAAGTTTCCTATCCAAACCTCCCTATATTCCAGGAGAGTCTGGCTCAGGCTCACGGAATCCAGTGTGGATTCTGTACATCCGGCATGGTGATGTCCATGTACACACTGTTAAGGAACATCCTTCGGCCTTCCCAGGAGGACATCCAGTTGGCAATGGAAGGTATGTTGTATCCTGATCCTGAGAGTGTGGACTTGAACAGTCAATAAAACCTAGTACTGGAATTCCCTTCACAAGCCATTCATGTATAATGTAATGAACTCTTCATTCATGCACTTTATTTGCACAAATGTAGGCCAGAGGCAATATTGGTCCATATGAAATAAATAAATAAATCACAATATCAAGCAAGGATGTATCATCAAACCATACTTAAAGCATTCATATTGTATAGATGTGGGGCGGTGGGGTAGCCTAGTGGTTAAAGCGTTGGCTCGTCACGCCGAAGACCCGGGTTCGAATCCCCACATGGGTACAATGTGTGAAGCCCATTTCTGGTGTCCCCTGCCGTGATGTTGCTGGAATATTGCTAAAAGCGGCGTCAGTCAGTCAGTATAGATGTACATTTAGCATTATTTCCATAATTGTTTTATAGTTATATGTCGCAAAATGCCATTCTCGGAGCATTCCATAGTATCTGAATGCAGCAACATTTCTAATTACATGCTCATTTTCGCAAGACGTCAAGATGCTGAACTTTTGAAGAGTATGGTTTACATAGTATTTAATCGGCTAGAACTGTTTCCGGAGATTATCATACATCTAGCACACTAGCAAATCGTTTCATAATATCTTCCAGTCATTGTACGCAGTGTATGGGAACTGTATCAAAATCATGTGAGAGCATGACATTTATCAATTGAAATTACTGAAATATATGAATCAGTTTCAATTATAGTTTGTTAGGTAATGAATGAATAAACATGTTTGGTAAATGCCATTCTTGTATGTATGAAGATTGTAAGAAATTCAGATACAAATGAAACTGGGAAATAGAACTTCTTGTTGCAGTCAAGCAAGCAATTCAGTAATAGATATAGAAGCAATAGTAATAGAAGGAAGAGTTTCGGAACAAAACCTGACGCCTCAATACATTACCCGTAGAGATGGCCACACAAGGCAAGAGAAGTGGGGAGGCTTCTTCAAAGTGTTGTTGACATATGGGTTTGGGGCCTAGCTACGCATTATACGCGTATATGTGACAGATCATGGAACATATTGAACCATTTTTGAGCAAGTCATCTCAATAGCCCTTCCTTTATCTTATCCATCTAGTGCCTCGTGACACCTGCAGGGGTGGAAATAACTTAAAAATTGCTAGTGTACTCCGGTACAGTGGCACATGTAAAATCACTTGCCCTGATAATTCTCCCACTATACCAGCCGTTTTATTGTTGATTTTTTAAATAAACAACATAATTAATATTGCAAAGTCAACTGGATACCGGTACAGTGTGATATACAAATTTGCTTGCCCAACAGAAAAAAACCACTGGACTCGGGCGTCGGGCAATGGGTTATTTCCACCCCTGTCACCTGTTTGCATGGAGAGTATTGGTATGTGTTTTAGGACATTCGAATGTACCGAATACGATTTTTTGGTGCTTTTTTATAGGCAATCTCTGTCGATGTACTGGGTACAGATCAATTATTGACGGATTTACTCGGGCAGCATCGGTAAGTGCCGACTCGTATACATGTACACACGCAAACGTCATCCATTATAACGGTATCTTACATGGACATTGTGTTTGAAAATAATTTCGACATCACTTGTCTCAGAAACATCTACTTACCATAAGGATGAAAGTTCGAACTTTCAAATGCTGCGTTTGCACAGTGCATTTAATAGTGACAATTTTGCAGGCCAAGTGTTGTCAAGGAGACGAGGTCACGTGTGCATGTCGGTCACTTGATACAGAGGAATGTCAGGTAGGATGTAGTAGCTTCATGTTTTAAGGGTTCAAGCTGATGTCGGGACGGTGGGGTGAGTGAGTGACTTTGGTTTTATGCTGCGTTTAGCAATATTCCAGCAATACCACGGCGGTTGTCACCAGAAATGGGCTTCACACATTGTACCATATGGGGAATCGGCGTGAAGAGCGAACGCTTTAACCACTAGGCTACTCAAACGCCCCCACGATTGGTGACATTTAGATGGAGAAACATCATAACCAGGGGCTGGAAAACACAATCATAAAATACTGGTGGTCCTAAGGGAAGCAACTCTTCACCATGAACAATGTACTTCATGATATAACAACAGGGGATACTAAACCCCAACTGACTTACTCCGATTATTTACTGTTTTAGATCTAATGTCTGTTCGTTGTAAGACGCAGTTGACAGCAAGATTCCAGTTCCATTCAGGCAGCTTGTAAATGATTACGTGAGCCGGACATATTTCGATATTATGATTATATTTATACTGTACGTCGACATGTGACGATGTGCAACTAAACAAGTCATCGAGCGTGCACACAAAGTCCATTTAGAAGCCTCTTATACACTGTCAGGTAGTTCTACTGTAACTGGTGGGTCAGTCATGTCATTCTGTTGCCAGGAGGCCCCGGACAACCAACAACCGCCTTGGCCCCGTGAATCAACCCAGGATGTTATCTTCCCTCCAGAGCTTATGGTTAGTCCTTGTGCTGCATGTAAACCTCATGTAAAACTCCACAGGTATTGTCGAATAACAATGGCCAGTTTGTTTGTTGCTGACGCCACACTCAGCAATATTCCAGCTATATGGCGGCGGTTTGCATATACTCCAGTCTGGTCTAGACAATCCATTGATTGTGACATCATGAACATCGATCTACTCAACTTGGATGCGATGGCTTGTGTCAACCACGTCAATGTCCCTGACCATCCTGACCATTTAGATCAGAATCTAAATTCTTTTCTCATCAACCCAAACCGTGCCCACCCGTCTTCCTCAGTCGTTATCTTCAGCAACCGATGTTTTTCGTCAGAGATCTCTATTTATCTTTTGAAAAATATGAAGATTCGTTTATTGAACATTCCTACCATCCGTGACGTAAGTCACTTCTTACAACCAACAGGTTGATCAATTCTAATCCTTATCATCACGGGTATGGACTCTTTCAAACCTGTTGCATGTAAATGCTTTTGACAAATTAGAAAACAAAAATGGGCAATTTCATATGCAATATCGCAGTAATGTTATGAATGATCATATTACAGTTGACGTTATCTATTTCTAATATATGACCCGTGAAGATCCGGGGCAGATTAGGTCTTCAGCAAACTATGCTTGCCACAAAAGGCGACTATGCTTGTCGTAAGATCGATGCTCCTGCTGTTGATCACTGGATTGTCTGGTCCAGACTCGATTATTTACAGACCGCCGCCATATAGCTGGAATATTGCTGAGTGCCGCGTAAAACTAAACTCATTCACTTACTATTTCTATATTATGTCTTATATGTAACGAATACACATTGAGAACAAACTCAATATTGATATTCACATTTACTGTAACGGATGTTGTTTTCAAAAACAATAATTGCAGCTGGCTGAAGACAATGAACACTCCTTCACATTCGAGCACGAGGGAACTACGTGGATTCGACCTCCCAACCTCCAGGCGTTGCTGCAATGTCTTGCTATAAATCCCAAAGCAAGGGTCATCGCTGGAGGCACAACCATCTGTAAGTTAAATCTTAAAGACCTGTCACCCGAGTAGGTAAAGTTAACAGTTTTATTCCAGAGAGGAGACTGATGACTGCTGCCAGAAAGACTGTGTGTATACCAAAGGTACCTTAATCCAGAAAGACGGTAACATCCACTTTATCGGGGGAAAAGTACGTATTAGATTTTGTATATGTTACCTGTGACCTTTTTGTCGGTCTTGCGAAGTATGGGGTGAAAAGATGTGTTGGCCTTCCTTTACTGCAAGTTACAACATAGTCATGAAAACACCAGTGTGCTAGAGGGTCAAATTTCGTTCTTGTCCTTCAGTTCTTGACATGAAGCTGAAACACCAGCTGCCCCAGACTCTGTTGTCCACGTCTCACATCCCCGAGCTGACCAGGCTGACGGTGGAGGATGATCATCTGGTGGTGGGGGCAGGCGTCACATTGGAGGAACTCAGGACCAGACTTCCGGGTCTCGTCTCGCACCTGCCAGGTAAAGTAACTCTCAATCGGGGGGTATTACCGCACCTGTCAGGTAAAGTATAGTCCGTCTGACTTCATTTGAGACCGATGAATTGAAGTCAAACGGACAAACTCTGGGGTATTCATGAACCAACCAGGTGAGGTCACCATCACTCGGAGGTGTTCATTTACTTTTCAGTTGACAAGTAACTCAAGGTATTATATACATGATCATGGTCAGATGGATGTGGCATGGATGTGCCGTGTTGCATTAAAAATGTACTGGCAGAGACAGAGGATATTCTGTAGAAACTAATGCCACGACGTTGTTCTACGAAAACAAGTTCTCTTTAAAAACAAAATATCAAACACAAAAATACAAAGAAAACTTAAATAAATACTACACACATGAAGATCTTGGTTAGAATTGGACATGCTGCGTCAAAAGAGGTGACTTACGGTGTCGGAAACCACACCAAAAATGCCAAAAGAAAAACGAAACTCGTGGCTGATAATTCACAGCATATACATATATGGTGTGATATAATGGCAGAAATCTCCGTAGGACATGTTATGACCGATAGACATGGTAGCATTAACGCATAACCCACAACAAGTGGTATCATTGGTGAACTCAAATGTTTCCTTGAGCAATGCTAGGCCTACCAAAGAAAACTTTTCCACTGTGCAGAAAAACGCAGAAAAGGGAATGTAACTTTTGTCCAAGCTGGAAAATGTCAACATGCGGTCGAGACTTCCTCTTCCGTGTGCGCATGCGCAAAATCGAAGTTGCAGGCTCTTCGTTTCTTGATGCAGTTTTAGCTATTTAAAGTTGCCGTTTTTACTGTTTCAGTAGCGAGGTATTATGTTTATGTTGCTATTTCCACGATTAATGTGGGCTTTTCTGCGTTTTTCTGCACAGTTGGAAAGTTTTCTTTGGTAGGCCTGAATGCTCTCTTGCTTCGGTAGGTTGGAGGAGCCGGTCTCTGAGGGTTCTGGAGGATGCTCTCCGCTGGGTGGCTGCAGGACAAGTCAGGAGCGTGGCTGTGGGTAGCACTTCTTTTGTATCTGCAGTACTACTGTGAACCTAAATATGTATTGAGACGTGGTGCAGTTGGATGACATCCAACGAATTATTTTTACAGAGTATTGGAGGGAATCTTCTCAACCCCGCCACAGTTTCTGACCTTCAACCGGTCTTCCTGGCCATGGATGCCATGCTTCATGTCTGCAATGCCAGTAAGTCCTAAATATATCTGATGTATCATCCTGAAGTATTCATTCTCTTCACATTTTAATGACAAACATGAAATTGACAAAACGTTTCCTTCTTCAGTAATGGCGGACCACACAATATTCCCATGGAGCATGGGATTGTTAAAAAATATTTTGCTCGCAAAAATTGATGCAAGAAGAACCTTTTAACCGCAATAAATTTAACACTGGTTAGTGAAAAAAGTCTTTTGATTGACGCGAAAGAATGGTTCACCTTACTGATCTCTAGAATTGTAAGTAAATGTATTGTCACTATGAATCCCGACTACTTGTAGTTTGTGTCAAGTTGGTATCCTAACCCCAATTTCTGCGTCCAGAAAGCGGTGAGAGGACCATCCCATACGGTCACGCAGTTGTGATCTCGCCACCAGAGAAATATCTGGCACCTGGCGACGTCCTCATCAACATCAGCTTCCCCTTCACTAAACGGGTATGTCTCTGCTCGATCTTTACACATCTGTTATTTTCATTGTGATGCAACCGACCCAGCTTCCTATCTCTTTTCATATTCACAGGCTGATCACGTGATGTTCTTGAAGCAGCCAGAACGCAAAGGCAGTGACACAGCTGTTGTGAACACAGTACCAAAGATAACCTTTAAACCCGGAAGTGATATCATTGAGGAGTTGCAGTTCACTTTCGGTGGCAAATGTTTCCAACCAATTGTGAAAACCCCAAACTGTATGCAGCAGATAGCTGGAAAGTAGGTATCGATGTAGACCCAGCTAATAGTTAATAGTTTAAAATTAATTCTACCATGACATTTAAGTATGTTCGTTTTTGATTTTGCTGTTACTAAAAATTTAGAAGTCAAAAAGTTTCAATAACCACTTCTGAGAGCCGGTTCACTGCGCGTAGTGTCAAAACACTACGCGAGTGTAATGAGTGCATATTTAAAACGCGTTTTATTCATGGTGCATATGTCATGGTAGAATGGAGATAATCCTATTGTGTTTACCTTTTGGAAGTGATTATAGTTGGTTGAACGCTGCTAAATGTCATTTAAAACCTAACGCGTTCGGTTTTAAATGACAATTAGAGGCGTTCAGCCAACTATAATCACTTCAAAAATGTAAACACAATAGGATTATCTCCTAATTATACCGCCCCCCCCAAAAAAAAGTAAAAAACAACAACAAACAAACAAAAACAACAAACAAAAAAAACAAAACAACAACAACAAAACAAACAAAAGCACACCAAAAAACACACAAAAGAACAAACAAACAAAAAACAAAACAACAACCACCCTCTAACAGACTGGCGTCCTTAGACTGTACTCTCCGCTTATCTAGCCCTTCAAACGATTAGTCTTCCATTACAGATGTATTGTTTCGGTTTTAGATATTGTTGCAGTTTGGGAAGTTTATTTTCCTATTTTGGTTATTTTTGTTCTGTTTTGGTGTATATGAGTTCAGTTTTGATGATTTGTTCACCGTTTGTATGGTAGGCCTGACTAATGGAATCTGGTGGTCAGTCTCGTTGACATATGTCATCGGTTATCTCCCAATTGACAGACACCCATTTGACAGACGTATCCCAATTACGTAGATGGACGGTCCGTGCAAACATTAAGTTCAGTGTGGTCTTTAGTCATTTCAAAGGGGTTGGGCTAGGGGGGTTCGAACACCCGAACACAACCCCCCCTTCCTTGGATCCACCAATGCTTATGATGTTCATCACTGGATTGTCCGGTCCAGACTCGATTATTTACAGACCGCCGCCATACACCTGGAACATTGCAGAGTGCAGCGTTAAACAAGAAATAGAGAAACAAACACATGTACTGTATGCAATAAGTAAACGGTTGATTTATCACTCAGTTTTGTTTACAACCCATTGGCTGTTAAGGGCTACGGGGTAGCCTGCTTGTTAAAGCGTTCGCTCGTCACGCCGAAGGCCGGGTTCAATTCCCCACATGAGTATAATTTGTAAGGCCATTTCTAGTGTCCCTCGACGTGATCTTGCTGGAATATTGATAAAGGCGCTGTCAAACCTTACTCACTTACTCACATCTACGTTTCAATTAATGTGTTACTTGGAAATGATCAGGAATGTGACGTGATTCTATTTAATCCTGGCAACTAGCCATGGCATCTGATGTCAGTTATTATTTCCATGTCTCAAATATATGACTTGTCCTTCTCATTTTCTCAGGAGCTGGTCTTTGTCACTGGTGCCCACTGTGCTTACCTCCCTTGGCAAACTCCTTGACAACATCACGACCGTCACTGACGACGCCCTGCATGTCGTCATGGCCCATGCTTTCAAGTTCATGTTTGCTGTAGAAGAGACGCTCAGTGGGAAGGTAGGTTATTTGCACCAACCTGATTTTGATGGTGATGATACTGAGGGCATTGCAGCATAGATATTCAGTCATCCGTTACCAATATATGTATATTATCAGAAGAAAACTAGAGTTGACTGAGTCAATATTTATATAAAAGTCCAGCCAACTAGGACTAGGGGTAACCGAAGATCCTGGTTCGATTCCCCACGTGGGTACAATGTGTCAATGTGTGAAGCCAAATTTCTGATGTCCCCCACCGTGATATTGCTGGAATGTTGCTAAAAGCGGTATTAAACTAAAACTCACTCACTCCAATAATTTGTGATCTGAATGTTAAGCCTTCTCTGTCCAGACTGCCCCGAACGGCCCCTCTGCGCTGTCTACTGTGGACTACGAGAGTACCCGAGTGTTTGACACTGTCGGTCCAGATCAACCTCCGGAAGATGCCATACGTCGTCCTATCCCACACTCCAGTGCCCTACAGATGACGTGTGGAGAGGCTGTGTACCTGGACGACATGCCGCGATCTGAAGGTAGCTATGATAACTCGTTTTACGTTCTTGTTCCGTATTTTATGCGCTTAGCAACGTTTCACATGGTGATCGTAGTGCTAATATTTGCTTCATGAAACGGGCTAATGCCGCGATTACAGTAAGCCACGATTAGGCCATGATTAGGCCACGATTCGGATTTTTGTTGAAAATCGTAACTCATCTTATGAAGTGCGAGAGATCGCAGATCCAAATCGTGGTGATCACAAGAGATCTCCATAATCGTGGCAAAATATTAAACATGTTTAGTATTTTGCCACGATCATGCCGATTTTTAAGCTGTCGTTTCAGAACGTAGTAGAGTGTGGGCATCGGAACAAATCGTATAAGAGCGTGAAAAAGCGCAATGGAGCGTGTTGGGATGATTGTAATACATCATAATAATGAGTATCAGATGTTTGTTCCCATGGTCCCCACGATTCTACCAAGATCTATTGCAATTCTATTAAGATCTCCTGCGCTGTATCACATTGTACACAATCTGTCGCTATCTAATGCGAGTCAATGCATTTCTATGAACATTTTAACATGCTGTACTACGATTAACATCCACGATCTATCACGATCTATCACGATCTGTCAGGATCTATTACGCTCCCTTGTGTTGCGACACGTTCTGGTGCTTTTGGTGTGCTTTCCTATAAATTGTGTCACGCTGCCAGACGAAATTCATTGTTATTGTTCACTATTTTATCGTCATTTTCATTGTAGAATATAGGAAATGTGAACGAAAAAGTCCAAGGGCAAAGGAAAAGGCTCCAAAGTAACTCATGTTGTCGGAGAATCGTGTCACAATCGTGTTTAATCGCCCTTTTTTGTCTAAACAGAAGGCAACAAAAGGTAGCAGATCGTTATGAACGTCTCAAAACGTAAGAAATCGCAACAGATCGTATACTAAATCGTAATGATCGTAAAAAAGTGGCTGCAGATCGTCAAGTATTCGCAACAGATCTTCATTGAAGCGCATCTGATTCAATATCCACTCGTAAGAATGTCTACAGATCCTATCAGAGCCTATGAAACCGAACAAGAGCGTCACGAAAGGGAAATTGGATCATGAAGATCTACTACGATATTTGGTTCGCGTCGGATCGGCATAATCATGGCCTAATCGTAGCCTAGTGTAAACGCAGCAATCTTTCTTCATGGAAAATGGGAACAGTTATCACATGTTATGCAAATATTCATTTCATATTAACTATAGTCCGTTTGGCTCAAAAGCGGACCGATGAATTGCAATCTAACTCGAAAACTAATAAACATAAAATACTCAATGAAACACTGATCATAATCAAAACCTCAGACCAACTCTGTGAGGTTTTTGCAGAATTTATGTCCTAAAAATAAAAAAGTTGTTTAACAAACTATCATTAAAATATCGACACAGTTCACTATTTGTTACGAGAGAGGAATGCAGAGAAAGGGACAGCCGGGTGTGCGAGATTTTTTTATAATCAAAACATGAGAATATGTTGTTTTACACCGCACTCAGCAATGTTCCAGCTATATGGCGGCAGTCTGTAGATAACTGAATCTGGACCAGACAGTCCGGTGATCAACATCATGAGCATCGAGCTACGATTGGGATACGATGACATGTGTCAACCGAGTCTGACCACCCGATCCTGTTAGTCGCCTCCTACGACAAGCATGGGTTACTGAAGACCAATTCTAACCCCATATCTTCGCGGGTTCATATCATTGTAGATGAGTTGTATGCTGGACTTGTGCTGAGTAGGAGGCCGCACGCTCGGGTCGTGAAAGTAGACACAGCGGAGGCCCTCGCGTTGCCAGGGGTGACAGGATACGTGGATTACGAGGATGTGCCAGGGACGAACCTTTGGGGATGTGGTTTAGGAGAGGAGGAAGTGTTTGCTGAATCAGAGGTAAGGCCAAAAAAAAACCCGGTTAGAAATCATAAATATTTTTTTAGGATTTTTGTCTTGTTATGGTCACTGAGCACACCGAACATATTTATAATACCAAAATGTTGATGTGCTATATATATGAGAAAGTATGACTTTACGCTGCTTTTAGCAATATTCCAGCAATATCACGGCGGGGGACATCAGAAATGGACTTCACACATTGTACCCATTTGGGCAATCGAACCCGGGTCTTCAGCGGGCCCAGCGGACACTTTAACCATTAGGTTACCCCACCGCCCCGTTCAATATGTGAACATATGGGGGCATGTCACATATTCTCAAGCGCTGTATAGTTTTGCTTACCAGATAAAGTATTATTTGCCAGACTGTGTAAGCGTCACCTTTCAACATTTAGAATGCTTCAAATCAGCGCTTTATTAATAATTTGATCATCAAATCATCTCGATCACATACAAAAGAATATCATACACCGGTTATTTGAAACGGCAAACAGCCTGAATATTGTGCCAACCTTTTGACAATCGTTAATTTCAACGAGGCATTGTCCACTGCTCCAGATCGTAGCCATCTTGCAATTACTGTTGCAAAGGACTTTGGGATACGAGGTTCTATTCCACCCACCTAATTCTCCCGGTCTAGATCCAAGTGGATATCACTTACTTTCAAATTTGAAGAACTTGCCTGTAAGATGTTTTACATTGACCAAGAACTGCTCTTGGGGAACTGGTTGAAACACGAGGATTTATTCTGAACTGCACGCGTACTGAACTGCAGTGGACACACATTTAAGCTGGATAGCGAAAATATTTTATCTATATTATATTGTTCAAGGTTCATAAAACATTTTGATGCTTTCTCATACGACTTCTTCAGGTAAGGTGTTGTGGTCAGATTATCGGCCTTGTGGTTGCCACAGACCGCCAGGTTGCACTGGAAGCGGCAAGACGTGTCAAGGTACAATATGAAGATCTTCCGGCGGTTCTTACTTTAGAGGTATATTCATTTGTGCAATATTCACTAATCTTTTGTAACTTATCAATTCAAACACTGTATTTCACATTTAGTGTATAGGCATAAACAGGCAACGTGGGTAAAAAAAGGACGATGAAGAATAAATTATAAAATTGTGAAATATTTGAGCGAAAATTATAAGGCATATTGAGCGGCTTACACATATCATGTCTCTTTTTTACATTTGCAAGTCTTGATGTTATGACCTTTAATTAAACAAGAATGACTAATGTCAGTGGGGAGCTCAAAGTTTCAAAACCAAAATAGAACCTAGGATGTGTTTGAGTACATATTTGGTGAAAATTAACTTAATACACGTCTACACGTTTTGCCAATTATATTGATCCATGATGGTCTGTATATCACAACTCAACTTTGAAATTACATATGAACACTTGTATCACATATCAGCCTCAAGTGTATGATAATAATTGTATTAGTACTATGTAGAGTACAACGTAGCAGTTGAATTATCGGTGGATATCTGTATCTTGTACTAATTTCTGAATGTATAATGATTATTGTATACTACATGTACTATGTACACTGAACGCCAAAAGAAACGTTACCCTCCTTCCATAATGACGGAGGTTCCTATCTTCAGCTGGCGGTGTGATGCGTGGACGTCCACTTCTTGGTGTGTCTACGGTGATCCCAGTCTCTCTGTAGCACTGAATAAGTCTTACAACCGTGAAACAGTGGCATCCGAGGGCGTTGGCAACATCATTGTATGTCAACTCCATCTGCACCATCCCAATGGTTTTGTTTATGACGGCATCAACACCTGACTGACCTTATTTCACCGGGGTGGGGTGGGGGTTGGGGGGAAACAATGACCTTGTACTGAGCTGATCTAAGAAATCACAGTCATGGCGTTGGTCTCGGGGGCAATGACCTGGACTGTGTGACCGTGGGAAACCGCATAGCACCTATGCCACGCTTCCATCCTGATATCACGCGATCGTTTTGCATCAATTGGCGTATAGTGTGATTGTTGCACACATGACGCAATGGATTCCTGTGTGACATCATCAAATCAAAATCATATGATGCCAATTGAACCAATCAACGAATAACAAATATCGACCTGATATCACGCGATCGTTTTGCACCAATCAACGTATAGTGTGATATTTGCACACATTACGCCATTCATTCCTGTATGACATCATCAAATCAAAATCATACGATACCAGTTGAACCAATCAATGAATAACAAATATCGAATTCACTGGAAAACCTTTAGGTACAATTGAACAATAACTGGTTTAATCCGTATTAATATTTTCCTATATAATGAGGGATCAGATTGCAATTTTTTCTTATTTGATTTTATCCTGTCACAAGAACATTACAGACACAGATTTCCAAGACAATAAGGTAAATTTGCATCCTTTCATAAATAGTTTTCTGATAACGAACAATCTCAACGTCTCATAAAGTGGTGTGGGGCTGACATGAAACGACCATTATAATCGCTCTCAAGCAAGGCTTGTCTCACTTCACTCAGCCAAGATGTAATGTGACACCTCCTCAAGTTGTACTCATAATCGTAAGCCTAACATGTGGACCCATATGTGTAAAAAGAAAATTACACAGGTTCAGTTCATGGGTTTTATAACACATTTGTTAAATGTGATATAGATCAGCGTGCATTGCCGTCTGACTAAATAATAACCATTGAAATGTGAAATTCAAATGTATACAAAGTCCTACCTTCAGTCAGGAAAACACACATTGTAAAATCCACATAAAATCTGAGGTACATTAAGCTTATACTATAACCTCATGCTTTTGCGATTAAATTAATTGATTAACGAACAATTTAGCATAAGATTAAAATGTAAACGTTTATCAAATAAGGCTATATTGTGCGACCTGCACACAGCGCAAGGATATCACTGTTAAGAGAGGCGATGGAGCTCACGCACTGAGACCAAGGACTTTTAGCGTGAAAAAAGCCCACGCTACTACACAGGATTAGGGGTGTTGATGCCATTACAAAACGTATTTAACGTTCCGCCACGAGAGGCAAGTTCAATCCTAACTTCCACAAGTAAATGTGCCAATCATTATAGACTTACATGTAGTCACTCTTGCATTTATTTGGAAGATAGCGATAAGCATCTGGGTTCATTTTTCAAGAGGCTATCATATTTCAGTTTAGGCTGAAGTAACGGAGAAATATTGAATGAACGGTTCTGACACAGGCTTAGAATGTTGGCGTTTGAGTATAAATTAAGAGATTGGTAATGAGTTCCAAGAGGTAAACTTTAATTAATCAAATTCCTATCATTTATGTGTTTTATTGGTTTACTATGAGTTATGTCACCCGTTCAGTGTATATGATGTATTTGAACATTCACAAAACGAAACGTTTCAACTTGATATTAATAATAGTTTACTTGCAGATATTAAAGGGTGTACAGGGTCTGTCTTTCACTGGATAACACTATTGTATACCTAATGTCAGCATCAAGGTAAAATGTACATTAGCATGCATCTAAGTGTCAATAATAATGTATGAGCTTGAACAGAATTGCAAACACATAAACCTGACAATAACAACTCATTCACATTAATTGTTGGTGTGTAGTGTATAAATTGCAGCAGATCATCATCATCATTTTCCATTTCAGGACTTTGTTTATCATGTAAATGTTTTTGTAAGTTGTGGCTATCGCTAAACTCTTGACAGCAATAGTTACAATCTGGCAGTGGATGTGGTGCCTTCACAAGAGAGAACTTGTTGTCTTCCTCACACTTCCTTTTGAGACCCACTTTGGATGTCCCTGATGGACCCACCAAGAACTTTTCCAGACACCAGTTTCTACTGTGTTTTTGTAAATCGTGCACGTCTTGAGTTCACAGTCATTACAAGATCGCATTGTTGGGAGGTTTTCTTCACACGTCTGCTCTCTCTGAAAGTGTAACTCGCACTGAATTTCCCTTGCATGATGGGTTGTTTATTGATAGGGTTGTTGAAAAGAAGCATATATCGTGCACGTCTTGAGTTCACAGTCATTACAAGATCGCATTGTTGGGAGGTTTTCTTCACACGTCTGCTCTCTCTGAAAGTGTAACTCGCACTGAATTTCCCTTGCATGATGGGTTGTTTATTGATAGGGTTGTTGAAAAGAAGCATATATCGTGCGTCTTGAGTTCACAGTCATTACAAGATCGCATTGTTGGGAGGTTTTCTTCACACGTCTGCTCTCTCTGAAAGTGTAACTCGCACTGAATTTCCCTTGCATGATGGGTTGTTTATTGATAGGGTTGTTGAAAAGAAGCATATATCGTGCACGTCTTGAGTTCACAGTCATTACAAGATCGCATTGTTGGGAGGTTTTCTTCACACGTCTGCTCTCTCTGAAAGTGTAACTCGCACTGAATTTCCCTTGCATGATGGGTTGTTTATTGATATGGTTGTTGAAAAGAAGCATATAATGATAGTTTCTTTGTTGTGTGGGATCCTTACTGTAACACAGATTTTGGTTCATGGCTATCACTGAGAGATTACGATGATGACTTCCTTCGGTAAAAAGGTCTGTAATGCATGGATCTTTGCTCACTGTCGACATTAAGTTATCGAGGATAACAACGTTTACAACACTTGGGTCCAGAAATGCATCCTTTTCAAGATCAGAAGGAATGATTTGATGAAATTCAACATAGGGATAAACACATGTTTACAGTGGCTGCCATCATTTGTAGAGCCATATAATACCTTCTGGATATGGTTTACTGTTCATCCTTTCTAGAAGCTGCTTCACTATGTAGGTTTTCCCTCAGGAGGTTGGCCCTGAGATTATCATGGTGAATGGATGCAATAGCCTAACTTCTTCCAAAGACTGGAGGGGCGGTGGGGTAGCCTAATGGTTAAAGCGTTCGCTCGTCACGCCGAAGACCCGGGTTCGAATCCCCACATGGGCACAATGTGTGAAGCCCATTTCTGGTGTCCCCCACCGTATTGTTGCTGGAATATTGCTAAAACCGGCGTAAAACCAAACTCAGTCAGTTAGTCAGTCTTCCAAAAACTGGAGAGCACTTTCTGATGAATGTGGTTGCTGTTACTGCCAAGTTGGCGTTGATGAAAGAGGAGATCCATGAGGTGGAGGAGGAGGAGGTCCATGGGGAGGAGGAAGAGGAGGAGGAGAGGGTTGTTGATGTTTCTGTCTTCTGTGTCTCAACATATTGTCTGTCCTGGGAAAGGTCTGATAGCACACAGGACATGTTGTTGACTGCATGGTGATCCGAGTCTAAATGGCAGCAAACCTGCCTACTAGCTGCTTTTATCTAAAACATTGTCTTCCATTTCTTAGGGCGTCTCTGGGAAGAAGTATTTTTTCAGCTTCAGTTCCCCTGTTCTTCTGCATCTGAATACATGCTTTGGCCTGTTGAACGACTTGTTGGGTTGGAGAAGTGAGTGCAAAAGTCTATTTAGAATGGGATAGGTCCATCTTGAACCCTTGTTTCTCTTAATAGATCACATAATCATCGACGTTAGTAAAGGGATTGGGATATCCTTTGGCATGCAAATAGTAATATTTGGTCCATTTCTTATGATCGTCCAGATAGGGTCTCCAGTATCAACTGTTCATTTTCTTGTTGCGAATGAATACTGACTCTCAGACAGAGGTTTCAGATGAAGTGTCACTATCACTGGTCCAGTGATAAATTGAGCTAAATCACCATTTCTGTCCTTTATATAGATATCCACAGTCTGTACATTTTTTTCAGTTTAACTGATACATAGACATCTCTTAAGGAGGAGGACCACGTTAACTATAAGTGGCACATAATGAAAACACATATCTATACACTAGCATATCATTTAATCTTGGGTTGCAAGTAAAATGATTCAGAATATCATTCAGTGAATATCCTCTGGCTTTCATCATCACATAAAACAAAGCATACAGTCCACAGGTTTTACTGTTTTTACTTTGAAGTATCAGTGTATTGTGTTGGAAAGATGCACCATTCCTTTGTAGAAATATGTGGGATGTCCTTTGATTATACTCCAGAAGGCTTTCTTCCAAAACTATCACAAAACCTGTGTGTTTCGAATCTTGCATCCAAATAGCTATCCAATGTTGTCCAGGTTGATGAGAGGCTTGGTTATTCAAAATGTATCCTTTGGGATATGTGGACATGGTTCATGGTAACTGATTGGCAGCGAGCACTTTGGTTTTCATCCTTAGTAACACTGTCTTTTTGCAAGAGGCATTGCAGTTGTCTTGTATTCATGGTGTAGATAATGTTACCTGCCTCGTCCACTTAAAAAATTGACTGATCCTCGCTGTAAATGAGACAGTTGATGCCTTCCAGAAGCGATGACTTAAAATGTAACTCCGAACGAAGGTTGCCTTGTTTTAAGGTATTCAAACAGTCCCCTTCTGTCCGGTCTTCCCTTAGTAGCTTCACCTCTATGATGTGTATCACATTCCACTTGAGATTGATTTATGTAATCATCTACGATTGGAAACATTGCCCTACCTTTAATACCAGTCAAAAGAATCTGTCCCATTCACTCGTCATGAAGTTATGCTCCACAATAAGCTATTGGCAGTTATGAAGTAGGTAGTCACAGAATCGATTCGTATTCCAGGACGCCATACGTGAGAAGGCTTTCTATACTGAGGAAGCAGCCAAGCCCACCATCGTGTTCGGTGACGCTGAAGCCGGGTTCGCTGCGTCTGATGACGTCATTGAGGGACACGTGGACATCGCCGCCCGTGAACACTTCTACATGGAGAGTCAGAGTGTTCTGGTAAAGCCAAGACCAGAACATAACGAGGTGGACATCTACTGCACGTCACAAGACCCTACTGGAACACAGGTACTCTTACAGAGACACCCGTCTCTAACTAGCAAAAAACCACACACTTGCATGAATATAAAAGTCGGTTATGCTTCTACTGAAAGATCGTTCTGACAACGAGAATTATCGTTTTAAGGGGAGATGATGTATCCAAGTGGTTAAAGCATTGGCCTGTAACGCCGAAGATCCTGGTCCGATTCCCCACGTGGGTACAACATGTGAGGCCCGTTCGTGGTGTCCCAAGCTGTGATTTTGCTGGAATATTGCTATTACCATTAGTAAACAACACTTACTCGTACCACTAAGACTGCCGTATAAAATGATATGTATGATCCGAAGTTCTGTCAAACTATTCATCTGTTAATTTTTTCAATCTCAGTCATCATTTTGTCTGTGATAAGTCGAATTGGCGGCTTTAATATTTAGGGCTATTAAATTTGGGCATGTTGTTTAAAAACACAGCAAAGACTCCGTTTAACATAAGTCACTTTTTCGCTTGTATTCATGATGTTTCATCTCACGCAATACAATTATGTTTTAACATCAAATATTTTCGCATCCTTAGTTTCCATTGATTCAATGGCCTTGCGAAAGAAGCAAACTAAGATCTATTCAGGAAGACGGAAATATGGATGCTGTTTGTCGTCCTTGTACCCTTTGTGTCCGGTAAAATGATTATGTATGGATTTAGATCTTTTTTGACATCACATTTTCTTTACAAGGCCCGGAGTCAAACTGTTATGCTTCAACATGTTCTTGCATCATATTCAGGGCAATATCGCCAGGGTACTCGGAGTTCCCCTCAACCGTGTCGTTTGCCACGTCAAACGAATTGGTGAGTATGATATGGGTAACTACTGGCGGAACGAAGAGAGGCAGTGACGTACCTGTAGCAGGGTTTATTGATGTATGTACAGCAGGGTTAATTTGGTGTATCTACAGCAGGGTTAACTTGGTGTATACACCACCGCCCTGGGTTAATTTGAAGTTTCTATAGCAGGGTTAATTTGAAGTATCTGCAACGGGCATTCATAATAATAATCAAATACACAATGCCATTTTAGAAAGTGGTCAAATGTAACATATGTTATATTTGGGATTTCACTTTCTCAGTAAAGTACTGAGAAAGTATATATAAGTACATATAAAAATACACAATGCCATTTTAGAAAGTGGTCAAATGTAACATATGTTATATTTGGGATTACACTTTCTCAGTAAATTACTGAGAAAGTGTAATCCCAAATATAACATATGTTACATTTGACCACTTTCTAAAATGGCATTGTGTATTTCATAGCTTTCGGCCGTGGGAGCCGTGCCAATTAACGCTTATCAGAGGGGTACACAAAGTCCGCAGTCTAGAATACCAGTTGTCCGACTTCCATTTTTGTGGAAGCCGCGGTGGCTGAGCGGTCTAGGCGTCTGACTTTGTGTGCTGGCGATTAGGTGCCTGACTCTGAGGGTGTGGGTTCGAAGCCCGGATGGGACTCAACCCCCCAAAAAGTACTAGAATCTGTACGTTACTGAGAAAGTGTAATCCTAAATATAACATATGTTAAATAATCAAATGCATTTGTTTACTTTCAGGGGGCGGTTTTGGTGGAAAGGGGACCAGGAACGACGCCCTGTCTCAGCCTATAGCCGTAGCTGCGTACAAGTAAGTTGTACAGCTGAGTGGAATGTGTCAATGAGTGAGTGAGTAAGTATGGGTTTACGCCGCTTTTAGCAATATTACAGCAATATCACTGTGGTGATCACAAGAAATTGTTAACTTTTCATAGGGAAATCGAACCTGGATCTTCCGCGTGACGAGCGAATGATTTAACTACTAGGCTACCCTGCCACCCCTGTTTAACTCTTAATCAGAGAGACACCGTTTTAAAATATTGTATAATACGCTACTCGAAGGAATCGAACCGTTATATTTTAGTGGTATATATAGTGCATTGCACGAAACAATTAATCCAGTCAGAAAATACATGCCCTGTGATATCAGCACAGACCCGGTTTTTGAATGGACAGCCCTCTGAACGATTGCTGCAGTAAGAACAACCCTGTCGCTTGAATGAAGTCGGAGGGCCTGAAAAGTGAAACAGAAGGTGTTCTTTGTCCTGCTCAGGAGCTGTCACCTTCCACTCCACGCCCGTGTGCGTAACAGAAACTTTTAGCGATTGTGGGTTCGAATCTCAGATTCTTCTTGCTCGTGCCGCTTGGTTCGTGAGCACCGCACTAGTGCGTGTAGGTTAACCCAAGTAGTATACGTTCTCGGACGTCCATAATTTCGGACATTACTTCTACATTATAGGGGAGGTGGAAAAGCGTACTGGATCGGTTTCGATTCCATACATGAGTGCAATGTGTGAACACCATGTCTGGTGTCCCCCCGCCGTGATATTACTGGAATATTGACAAAGTGCGAAAAACTAAACTCACTCACTCACCCTACATTATATTGACACTCTGATATGGCCACAACGCAGGCGGTAGAGGGTGGACGTGATGCCGTTTTGTCGCTGTTGCAGGTACCGTCGGCCGGTGAGGTGTGTGCTGGACAGGAGAACGGACATGACCATCTCGGGGAAGGCGCCCGGGTTTCATGCGGATTACAAGGTGGAGACATTAGCATGCACAAATTGTTTAACAGTTGACAATGTAGTTGTTAAACGTTACGAGTGAGTGAGTGAGTGTAGTTTTACGCCGCACTCAGCAATATTCAAGCTATATGACGGCGGTCTGTAAATAATTGAGTCTGGACCAGGCAATCCAGTGATCAACAGCATGAGCATCGATCAGCGCAATTGGGAACCGATGACATGTGTCAACCAAGTCAGCGAGTGTTACCACCCGATCCCGTTAGTCGCCTCTTACGACAAGCATGGGCTACTGAAGGTTCATTCTAACCCGGATCTTCACGGGTAAACGTAATGAGACTACATTATCCAGTTGCCATTCTTGATATGGGATTTCTCGCAATGTATTTGGATACAATGTGTGAAGCCCATTTCTGGTGTCCTTCTTCGTGATATTGCTGGAAAATTGCTAAAGGCGGCATAAAACTAAACTCACTCACTCAATGCTGAATGGTGTGGACAAGGCGTCCGACTTCCGATCAGTACGGGACTCGTAAATGTTATGGCCGCTACATATGTAACAAACCTATAGAGACCGCCTCCGTGGTGTAGTGGTTAGAGCGTCCGCCGGGAGAGCGGAAGGTCGCGGGTTCGATCCCCGACCGCGTCATACCAAAAGACGTTAAAATATGGTACTTGTTGGTCCCTGCCTGGCGCTCGGCATTAATGGGTACAACAAGGACTGGTCGGCTCGGAGTCAGTATACTATGTCTGAGTTGGGTATTCATGCTTCACTGCGGCATGGTATCTCAGTGGGCTAGCACTATAAAACCAGCTTCAGTCTGGGCTAGTACAAGCAGCCGCACATACACACGCATGCACGTCGTCATATGAGCGAAATATTCTCAAGCACGACGTAAAACCCAACCCCACCTCACCTCACCTCTACTCTACTCTACTCTACTCTACTCCAGTACCCGAACCAGGATCTGTTGTTTGAATCTATGATTCGGCTCGATATGGATATCTAAAAAATCTGTTTAGGGCATGCCTTACACAAAACTGACACCCATGTGTCGAATGGAGTGATCCCAAAACATTACGATTTTCAGAACAACGATGTAATCATACCTTGATATGGTCAAGGTATCTGGTACTGTGTTGAATATTCCATCACAAGGGATAACTATTTTAAATATTAACTCACTCACTCACTCACTCAAAGTATCTGGTGTGACTTCAGGTCGGCTACACCAAAGACGGACGGATCCAGAGCGTTGTCATGGATGTGTACGTCAACGCTGGTCATGCTGCTGATATCACTTACACTGTGAGTTGATATGAAACGACATATGCCCAAGGAGCTCTATTGAATCGAGACATTTTTAAACATTTTACCCATGCAAATTGTTTGATCGGCATTCCAGACGTTGGTGAGTCAAAAATGAAACATGCAAATTAATGGATGACAACTTCTTGTGTATTGCATTAAGCGGCGTTTCGATGTAGATTCTTACGTCGATATCAAGCTAAAAGTGACTACAACCAAATGGAGAGAAGCACATATACAGCTTGTTCAGCTTGACCTGATCAAGTGAATACTAATGCATTGCGTGACCGTGTCACAACTGGTTCTGTCTATTATTGTCAAGGGGTGCACCTTTGTCAGTTGATTGACAATATGTCCGAACAGCCGAGACAAGGTCGCCGTTTGAATAAAAAAATCGTCAGCACTGTCCAAACTTTCTTTAAAAAAGAAGCTACAGATGGTTTAATGTTTCCGATTCGTGGTGTAACGAATCCATGTATGCATGCTTCGCACGAACGCAACATTTTTAACATTCCTTTCTCCCCTATTTAATGAAGTTAACTCGACCAGCCGTTTGAGCCATTTGACCTCCTGGGTCATGCATATGTAGAGTAGCTCAGGTCAAGCTGAACAAGCTGTACATGGTATGTTATGACAGACAGCAGATTAGCATTACCAACAGCATGTAATTGAGTAACAAGTGGTACAAGACTGGAAGAGGTCTGTAGGGGACTAAGAACAACAAAGCGCCAGTGATGAAGCCAACAAACAAGGGGAATGTAGTAGTAACAACAAGATGATAAGGTGCTTTGACAGTCTATAGCTTGATTAATTGTTCATAGGCCGATGGTAGGCAGTTTCCTTGGTCTCAGTTCATCAAAGGTTTGTGGTGGCGGATTTCGATGGCAAAATTCATATTCACACGCACGCACGCTCGTACACACGCACCCTCCACCCACCCAACACACACACACACACACACACACACATTCAAAGAAGTTCACCTTCACCTGCACAGATCACACAACGAGGATATGATCTTTTTGAATCAAAGGAATTTATGATATGCTACTCATTCAAAGTTCATATTTACACTCCCAAAATGTCACATGTACTAGTAATATATTATCGAAAAGAACCCAACCCAATCGAGTCTGGACAGGACAATCCACTGATCAACAGCATGAGCATCGATTACGACAGCAAACGAAAATCTTAATATCATAACAGTGCTTAATATTCACCACCACATGCATTAGGTACACAACCTAGATCTATACTATCCAAAAAAAAGAAACGCATAGGCCAGAAATCTGTTGCGAAAATGTACTTTCAAACACGTATAACTCGTCCACAAATAGACTTTAGTACATGAATTTTCATGAAGGAAATGTCTATACAACCAAGTGGATAATTTTAGATAACGGAGACGTTGAGCGCGATAGTGACGACGTAGCATGGTCCCGACGTCGTGTCTCCTGGCTCTCAGTCCAATTTCTCTCAACCTGTTCCGTACAGTTTGACCGGATATCCTCAGAAGTCCAGGCACCCTGGCTGCTGTGCTCTCACACGTGGCAGTACGACCACGCAAATGTAGTACCCGGATGTTCCGATCTTGGGTTGCAGTGGTGACTCGAAGTCTGCCTGTACGGGGACAGTCATTTGTTATACCTGTTTGGTTGTAACGAGCCGCAAGCCGTGATATCGTGCTCAGACTAACATTCAGACGCCTGGCAACAGAAGGTTGGTAATCTCCAGCATGTATTCTTTCAATGACGATGTTCCGTGTCGAAGAGTCAAGACGTGGCTTACTGATTGACCTTGAAACTCCTTGAAAAAGAGTGCCGATTTCCGAACGTAATTTGGATTTTTATAGCCAGACAGTGCATGCTCTTTGCTGCACAATTTCAACTGGAAGGGGATTTTTGTTTTTAATCATTATAGGAAATCTCATAAAAATCAACATTTTCAGGTTAAGTTGATGTTTTACTTGTGTAATTGTACAAAATCATGTTATCAACACTTCTGTTGCATATTTTGACGATTGCTTGAACACAATAGGTAATTAATAGATTTTTATAAATATAAAACACCTATGGGTTTCTTTTTTTGGATAGTATATTTGATTATCTCTGATACTGCAGCAGAGGAAAAAATGTATAAAACACTTTGAATCACACCAAATGTTTTGAGAATAGTATGACGCAGAGAAATGTGATGTCCTTCAGGTTCTTCAAATATGTGTGTTGAACTTCGAGTCAGCGTACCGCTGCCCCAACTGCCGTATAACGGGATACCTTTGCAAGACAGACACTCCTCCTAATACAGCGTTCAGAGGGTTCGGTCAGCCTGACATTAACCTGGTGTCGGAGATGATGATAACGGAGGTCGCCAGAAGACTCAACATCGCTGACACTCAGGTGAGTATTTATACCTTCCCTGTTCCCTCTCACTGGTACCCGAGAAGATCCGGGTTAGAATTGGTCTTCAGTAACCCATGCTTGTAAGGAGCGACTAACGGGATCGGGTGGTCAGGCTTGCAGACTTGGTTGACACATCGTATCCCAATTGCGAAGGTCGATGCTCATGCTGTTGATCACTATATTGTGTGGCCTAGACTTGATTATCTACAGACCACCGCTATATAGCTTGAATATTGCAGAGTGCAGCGTAAAACTAAACACACAGACACTTACACGTTCCATGCAGGGATGACAAGCATCTCACTGGCATTGTTCCAGTTTGCTGACATGCTCTGGATTGTGTTCTGTTCAGCACCAAATTCTTAAAGTAGGAAGTTTAGTGTAAGTGTTGTGAAAACACGAATACGATCCCCTCGCAGAACCATGTATCCGATTGTTGTTGACCCAAGCATTCAAGAGGATACACACTATAATGGGTCATCTATCTCAGGTTCTTCTGAGTGAGTGAGTGAGTTTAGTTTTACGCCGCTTTTAGCAATATTCCAGCAATATCACAGTGGGGATCACAACAACACGCCCATTTCAGGTGTCCCCGCAGTGATATTGCAGAAATAATGTTAAAGGGGCGTAAAACGAAACTCACTCACTCATTGATATCAAGGCATGTCAGATTGATTGGATTGTGAGGGAATCCTGAACTGATCCTGATCGTAGTCCGATCAGGTTTGGAAATGATATACAGGACCAATCTTCTATCCTGCAAAGGCTAAGGGACGCAGATTTGCAATGGAAACCGATGTTGATTATATATTTTCTTTAGAATCAGTTTTGGGGCCAAATATCCTGTATGGGTCCGTACAACGGGCAGTTTTAGATTTTGTTTCGTCATTTAGAAAATATGATATGATCTAGAGAGGCTCTCAAATGGCTTAGACAGATTTAGTTCTGTGGTTTTAAATCATTTTAACGCTTTGTCATCTTAACCTGCTGTTTTTTTAATGAATGGGTATTTCATGTTTCAGAAATGGAAGTGATTACTTAAGGTTTTTAATCCGTAACACGAAGCAGTGGTTATTCGATATATGTATACGTCTATCCAAATGAATATTAATAGTGCTGTCGTTTCTTTTATGTTATCTAAACGATTCCTTTCTAAGCGATGTAATAACCTGTGATTTATATTAAGTCAAGTCAGTGTGTGCAAAATAGGTGCAAATAGGCCTCTTTATAAAACCAACCAACCAACCGATGCGCCTTAAACGTCTGTACCACATGTAACTCCCAGTACAATTATAATGGGGCAGTGATGTAGCCTAATGGTTAAAGCGTTCGCTCGTCACGCCGAAGGCCCGGGTTCGATTCCCCACATGGGTACAATATGTGAAGCCCATTTCTGGTGTCCCTCGCTGTGATATTGCTGAGATATTGCTAAAAGCTAAAAGCGGCGTAAAACTAAACTCACTCGCAACAATTATAGTGCACGCAGGTGACACCAGCGTTCGAAATTAACGCCGGTCCTTAGGCCCGAAGCCAACTGAAAGCCACTCGGACCCACAGCTTTTGTTCTCTTATGGCCGACATGTTTCATCCCCGATAACTAAGAGTATTATTTCCATATTAAACTATAGGGCCTACACATTCTGATCGGGACCCACAACTTTTTATGGTTCTGGGTCCTTAGGGCCTGCACATTCCAGGGTTTAAGGGCAAACACTGTGTGAAACAATGTCAGTTCTGCCGCTAATACAATGCTGTTTTGGGATGCTGTTGTAGATAGATTTTTGTTGTATATACTCTTTCCACGATTATGAATTCCGTGTCATCTTCTTCGTGGTACCCACCAGGTGCGTGAGATAAACCTGTTCAGAGAGGGTGACGTCACGGTGACGGGGATGTTGCTGGACAACTGCACGCTGTCTCGCTGTTGGCGTCAGTGTCTGGAGGAAAGTCAGTACGAAGTCCGGAAGACAAAGGTGAAAGAATTTAACAGGTGAGACAGGCGCAAGAGTTCAGGTGGCTTGACTGCAAGTTCAAGTAGTCGAATAGGCGAATCCGATTCAAGGTTTAATAGGTGAGGCAACTTCAAGAGATGTAATAGGCGAATCCCACTCAAGACTGGTGAGTCATATTCAAGAGTTTAACAGGTGAGGCGACTTCAAGACATATACAGTGTACTATGCGAATCCGAGTCGAGGGTTAACAGGTGAGTCATATTCATGAGTTTAACAGGTGAGGCGACTTCAAGACATATACAGTGTAATATGCGAATCCGAGTCGAGGGTTAACAGGTGAGTCAGATTCATGAGTTTAACAGGTGAGGCGACTTTAAGACATATACAGTGTAATATGCGAATCCGAGTCGAGGGTTAACAGGTGAGTCAGATTCATGAGTTTAACAGGTGAGGCGACTTTAAGAGATGTACAGTGTAATATGCGAGTCCCAGTCGAGGTTTTATGGGTGAGTCAGATTCAAGATTTTAAGAGGAGAGGCAACTTCAGATGTATTTAGAATCTGATTCATTATTTAACAAGTTAAAACAAGTACAGTCAAACTGGGTGGATATTTGAAGCATCATGAAACAGTTATTTAGTGCTAATCCCGTTTATTGTAAAAGGAAAACATGAATGTTCAAATCACAATTAAAACCTACATATGCTTTACAGGAACAACGAATGGAAGAAAAGGGGTATTACCATTGTTCCATATCGGTTTGGAGTCGGTTTCGAGACCAGACTCTTGGCTAAAGTAAGTTTTATAAGTTTATATAAGCGTCGTTACCATTCATAATGGCCACGGCGGTGGGGTAGCCTAGTGGTTAAAGCGTTCGCTCGTCACGCTGAATACCCGGGTTCGATTCCCCACATGGGTACAGTGTGTGAAGCTCATTTCTGATGTCCCCCGCCGTGATATTGCTGGAATATTGCTAAAAGCGGCGTAAAACTTAACTCACTCATTTACATCACATTTGATGTAAATGTGCTTGATAACGATTGCCAATGTCCGTGATGCACGAAACAAATCGCCTAAAGGAATTTTGTGGCCCCTACTCTCAGAAACACGAAGGGGGCGGTGGGGCAGCCTAGTGGTTAAAGCGCCGAAGACCCGGGTTCGAATCCCTATATGGGTACATTGTGTGAAGCCCATTTCTGGTGTCCCCCGCCGTGATGTAGCTGGAATATTGCTAAAAGCGGCGTAAAACCAAACTCTGTCAGTCAGACCGTCAGAAACACGAAACACATGTCTTAGTCGGATACATGGGAAAGGTAGTGCGATCGTGCGAAAAATCAGTATAAATGGCCTGTCCAACACTACAATATCACTGCGCATAAAGTCACACAGAGAGAATGCCAAAGTTAACCCAGGAAGAAAGAGAACGAGCAGTAGTGATAGTTGAATGGCTGACCCTCTTAGTTATTTCACGAAATGACTGATTTCACAATCTGACTGTAACATATATACTGAACCGCAAAAGAAACGCAAGTTGATTTAGAAATGTCAATATTTCTGAATCTGTGGAACAAACAATCTTAACACTACGAAAAAACAACAGACAAGTGATTGTTGAAGAAATGAGTCGTGATCTCTGGTGAAAACAACACTCAAGTTTACTGTAAAAGCATATGTTATCACTCCACCCTCACACACCAAAAATGTCACGAAACAGTGTGTCAATCAGTAGCGCGTGTGACCACCATTGGCTGCAATGCAGGTAGCACAACGACGTCTCATCGAGTCAACAAGTGTCTGAAAGAAGGCTTGGGGAATTTGATTCCATTCCCTGACCAATCTGGCTTCCAAATCTCTAAGGTTTTGAGGTTGAGCAGCTGTATGTATCCGTGTACCAATTTCATCCCACACATGCTCGATTGGTGCCATATTCGGGGACAGAGAGGGCCAGGGCAGTACAGCAATGTTGTTCCCTCTGAGGAAGTCCATAGAGACCCGTGCAGTGTGAGGACGAGCATTGTCCTGCTGGAACGCCTGGAGCTGAGGTTGGGCCTGGAAGAGCGGTACAACGTGGTGTTGAAAGACCTGGTCTCTGTAGACTACAGCAGTCACACGTTGACGAAACACGTGTAAACGTGTTCTGTGGTGGTAGCTGAAGCCACTCCATACCATGTGTCTTCCACCTCCCCAGCGGTCAGCTTCCACAACACAACAGTTGGCGTAACGTTCATTACGTCGTCTCCATACACGTAATCGGCCATCGGCGTGGGACAAGTTGAATCTGGACTCATCAGAAAACAACAGTTGTTGCCATTGTTGACGTCGCCAACGCTGGTGTTGTCGCGCCCACTGTAAACGATTTTGGCAGTGACGTTGCGTCAGAATCGGTCCGACGTAAGGACGGCGACATCTGATCCATGCTGCCCTTAGACGACGACGAACAGTGTCTGCAGAGATGTGACGTTGTGGCCCTTGAATGGTTGCAGCTGTCTGTGTTGCTCGTCGCTGTCGGTTACGCAGATGAGTAACCCGGATGTGACGATCTTGCGCTGGCGTTGTTACCCTGGGACGTCCTGAACGTGGTCGGTCTGGAACATTACCGGTTTGACGATGCCTTGCAGATAGTCTTGTGATTGTTGTCACGTGACATCTGAAGTGCCTGGCCACTTTAGTTGGTGTGGATCCGGTCTGCAACATTCCAACGGCGATTTATCGTTGCTGTTCAGTTAGACGTGGGATGTTTTCTCCGCGTTGCCACAGTCAATTTTGTGTTCTATGGTGGTTTTTGAATGACCTGCCTTATAAAGCTTCAAACTGGAGTGAAATACACGCATTTTTGTGTGAAACACAAAAACTTCATGCAAAAAACACGAAAAACATAAAATGATTGCGTTTGGGCGATATGGTCAAGAATCAGCGGCAACAACGGCAAAACCATCTTCGAATGCCTGGTTCTATAATGGTATACTTTGTTGTCCTAAAAGGAATGCATTTGGAACGTATGTTTTAAAAATAGTAACTTGCGTTTCTTTTGCGGTTCAGTATACATATTAGCCACAAGGTTTGAAAATGTTTAATATATAAAGCTCGTTTTGCTCATGTCATCATGTTGTAGTCAATGAGACAATTTTTCCCGTGTAATTGTGTCAATATGAGGATATATATGATAAACCAACCCAAACAGATGTCCAAATCTGGTCCTCTTGATAAAGCGTGTGTTCTGTGACTGCGAGGGTAAGTCGATCTAGAGTACGTGTGGTTTGTTACAGGCAGGTGCGCTGGTGCACGTGTACGTGGACGGCTCGGTGCTACTGGCCCACGGAGGGACGGAGATGGGCCAGGGACTCTACATCAAGATGATACAGGTGGAGCATCATATTGATATGTCCATGCATATATCTGTACATGTTACCTGCAGTGTCAGTGAAGACAAATCTTTATTCAGCTTCTTTATTCGATGAGACGTTGTGGTACTTTACCTTTATCAAGAATTGATGCATCTTCTCTATTCTTTCAGTGTGGCGTTTTATCATGTGCTTCCTTCACGTTTCGCGATAGATGCAAGCTGTCTTCATCAATCCCTGCCTGAAAGAGGCGACTAACGGGGTCCAGTGGTCAGGCTCGCACATGGTGGACACATGCCATCGTATCCCAGTTGCGTTGATCGATGCTCATGCTGTTGATCACTGGATTATCTGGTCCAGACTCGATTATTTACAAACCGCCGTCATATAGCTGGAATACTGCTAAGTGTGGCGTTAAGCAACAAACATATATATCAGCACAATTGTACCTATCAATGTCATACGTTGACCACATGTACTGTACCTATAAACAAGTAAAGAAATGTTAAATAAAAAAACAAAAAACCAAACAAACACACGAACAAACAAATCTATAATATCTTAAACGTCCAGGGGTACAGTTAGCCCAGTCATAGAACGTGTTCGCTCTAAACAGTTTGTTATGTACAACTGATCAATGAACGTGAGGGCAAATTTAGCGCTCCCAACTCAAGTGACTGAAACCATTGTCCAAGGGTCGTGGTACGTCACATTACAGGTAGCTTCCCATGTTCTTGGAGTGCCAGCCAGGGACATCCACACCACCGAGACGAGCACCAACACCGTCCCCAACACCCCGCCGACAGCAGCCAGCACATCTTCAGACCAGAATGGCAAGGCTGTCAAGGTCAGTTCATGTAATCATATTACAAAACCCAATAATACAATCTGTGGCAATATAATGAAGAACACTGGACACCCCAAGCAGTGTTATTGGTGTCACCACGGATAAATGCATGCATATTCGTAATATATATCTTCACGAATACATGACGTTTTATGGATAACAATTTCTTTATCACGAGCTATTTCTTCCTCCTTCATCATTCACCTGATCATCCCCACATTCATCAGATGAATGAAGGAGCAAGAATTACTCTGAAACGTCGTGATAAAGAAAACAAAAGAATTTATCCATAAAACGTGTCATGTATTCATGTTCGTCCTTACAAATGACGTTCAAGAACTATACATATCTTCATGTTAACATGACATGCCCGATTATCAGTTTGAATATGCGGATTTGATTTCCCAACTGGACGCCCATCTTTGCTCTAGTATATTAGCTTGAACAAGCTATGCAGAATTGTCGTTCCTTGGCTGAGCCAGAAATCTGTGGTCATGGGTTCGAAAACCCAGGTGATGGTTCCAGGTGCGTCAGTACTATACCAGCTCGTAGATAACCTCTGAAACCTTATCCCTCTTTGTTCTTCCTTCACTGAGTTGGCACGTGGTGACAGAGAAACAGAGAAAGAGACATAGATATTATGTTCAAACTCACTCACTCACACACTGTTCTCGCTGCAGGCTGCATGTGAGGAGATAATGCATCGGCTTGAGCCGATCAAGAAGAACAACCCCGACAAGACATGGAAGGACTGGGTAGGTCAAGTCAAAGATATTTATTGTACTTAAGGCCTCCTGCGCATATACAAGTAATACAAGTATATATACAGAATATATATACAGACATTTTACAAAAAATTACAGTTCAGATAAGATATTGCTTCTAAGGATAACAGCATGTTTTACAAAAAGCGCTAGATTACGTATTACATTTTTCATTTTCGGAGGATAAAATGGAAACAGAGGCAGTTGAAAGATATTTTAACAAGTAATTATTTGGGATATATTTTTTTCTTAAATCAGCATAATGTGGGCATACAAACGCCAAGTGAATTTCATCTTCTATAGCCGTTTTACATAATGGACATATCCTTAAACTTCTCTCAATTGAAAATCGTCTGCCTTTATTTACTGATAAGTCTAACAAGCCCAATCGAAAATTGATAAATGTGCGACTGATATTTCTAGATGTCAGTACAGATAGATATACTGGTTGTATTAAGCTCTTATGTGATCAATACAACTGATATCTTGAACTATTGTCTAGAGAGGAATGCAATTCTTGATAATACATGCTAACAGATTGTTCTCGAAATTGCTTAAAGGTCACATGCAACCAAAAAATTAAACATAATTAAAACACAATTATCACTTATTCATGACATATAATATACATTGCTGGTAATGAAAAAACATATAAACAAAATTATAAGCGTACAATCGCAAATCAAAAGTGCAATATTTTGTACTTGGGTTTACTTCCCAAGAAACGAAGCAGCCGGGATGCCGAACCCAGTCAGAGCGGGTGGGTGTGCACTCAAGTGTAACGGCTGGTTCATTAGCAGAAGCCCTCACGGCTCGTTGCGTGTGTATATAGAGATGTTGGGTTTTGTAAATACATGCTCATTTTTTGTGTATAACATTTTGCAATCAACAGACATCATAACATGTCATGTGTACAAGTATCACACCTGCCTGTCAGTGTCATTACATAATGTGACAGAGACCGAACTCGGGCCATAAATCAATGCGTTTTGTTTATGGTGTAAAGCCTGATAGGTGATAGGTTCAAATTGCATGTGGTAAGTGATCGAAGTTTTGTATTGAATATTGTCATTAGCAGACAGGCAGGCAGACACATAGGTGTCAATAAAACAGACATTGAGTTTTGTCTGTGACAACGACATATCTATATCACAGTTAGAAATTCTGTCAACGCTAAATAATGACATTGCTGTCAACGCTAAATAATGACATTGCTTTTAAGTATCGAACTGAGAAAGTGACTCGGTAAGAAGAACGCGTGGTGAAATAGACAAATGAAATTATATAAACAGTTAATCTACTGTCATAACATATAAAAAGCTCGCGCCTGTAAAATATCAACAAAACATTAGAAACATAGCTCACACCAAAGCCTTCTCCGAGTATTCACCGGACAACCCGCTTCCAACCTGCGAACCTATTTCACTGCGCATGTGCTATGAGCGCAGCCCAGCTGTTGAAACCACTTCAATTCCTCCAAACGCTGGGGGGAAATTAGTGAATCGTTTGAACTACGATTTCGCGCGGTTTTTTTCATCGCGTTATTTTTCAACTTTTTAAGTTGAATTTGCATTTTTGATGATTTGTTTCGGTAAGTCCATACCGAAAGGTATCAAAATCTGCAAAGTTTTGTTTTACGTTGCATTTGACGTTTAAGAAATAGATTAATATTACAAACTGTTTGATTTAGCCACACAAATCCAAAGCCATGAGAAAATAAAAGATTTCTAATATGAGAGCCCATGTTGTCTTACCCCTATCAGACGGTGTTCCTGATCAGTGTATAGTTTCCTACAGTTGTACAAGTGATCAAACTAGATTGCCATAGAAATCAGCCCAAAATTTAAGACTACTTCGTCAGCTGCTGTCAACACATCCTCGATATTCTCCAGGATGTACGTTCCGATAAATCTCCACTAGTACCCGGGATGCATATACCACTCGGTCCCATAATTGAATTACCTCCCTTTGCTGGCTCCCCCTTCTCACAGCAGCTAATCAGATAAACCGTTACAACCGAGCTTGCTAGTATCAACAAAGATAGCGGTTGCAGCCGTGAAGGTTTGCTCTCTGTGCGACTCAGATTTAGGGACAATTCATACGGACAAATTGACAAGTCTGAAACCTTCCAAAATATATGCAAGAACTCCTCTTACCTCTTTCAGGGTACCTCAACAACAATTATGTTGCCAAGTTTAATCGGTTAGATAAGTGTGTTAATATAGAAGCCTTGTGATTGGTAGGCTCAACTTCCCAGCGAAGACAACTGATTGGATAAAATGCAAGCTGATGGAGGTAATTCAATTATCGTGCCAGCCGTAGATGCATATCTAAATATTGTGAATACAGTTTTATGCATGGTAACTATAGTCTTTTGCAGTATGATTACTTACATTTGTGATAGTTCAACTTCAATTAATGTGTTAGACCCTACCTACTTCTGGTCAAATTCGCCCTAAAACTATCTCACCATCAATCAGGTGTATGTGTTGTTTCAAGTGTCAAGTATCTGAAAGGTCGACATGTTGTTTCAGGGTCAGGAATCAGTCAGGTATATTTGTAGTGTCAAGTGTCAGGTATTTGACAGGTGTGTGTAGTGTCAAGTGTCAGGTATTTGACGGGTGTGTGTAGTGTCAAATGTCAGGTATTTGACAGGTGTATGTGTAGTGTCAAGTGTCAGATATTTGACAGGTGTATGTGTAGTGTCAAGTGTCAGGTATTTGACAGGTGTATGTGTAGTGTCAAGTGTCAGGTATTTGACAGGTGTATGTGTAGTGTCAAGTGTCAGGTATTTGACAGGTGTATGTGTAGTGTGAAGTGTCAGGTATTTGACAGGTGTATGTGTAGTGTCAAGTGTCAGGTATTTGACAGGTGTGTGTAGTGTCAAGTGTCAGGTATTGACAGGTGTATGTGTAGTGTCGAATGTCAGATACTTGACAGGTGTATGTGTAGTGTCAAGTGTAAGGTATTTGACAGGTGTATGTGTAGTGTCAAGTGTAAGGTATTTGACAGGTGTATGTGTAGTCAGGTGTATGTGTAGTGTCAAATGTCAGATATTTGACAGGTGTATGTGTAGTGTCAAGTGTCAGGTATTTGACAGGTGTGTGTAGTGTCAAATGTCAGGTATTTGACAGGTGTATGTGTAGTGTCAAGTGTCAGGTATTTGACAGGTGTATGTAGTGTCAAGTGTCAGGTATTTGACAGGTGTATGTGTAGTGTCAAGTGTCAGGTATTTGACAGGTGTATGTGTAGTGTCAAGTGTCAGGTATTTGACAGGTGTATGTGTAGTGTCAAGTGTCAGGTATTTGACAGGTGTATGTGTAGTGTCAAGTGTCAGGTATTTGACAGGTGTATGTGTAGTGTCAAGTGTCAGGTATTTGACAGGTGTATGTGTAGTGTCAAGTGTCAGGTATTTGACAGGTGTATGTGTAGTGTCAAGTGTCAGGTATTTGACAGGTGTATGTGTAGTGTCAAGTGTCAGGTATTTGACAGGTGTATGTGTAGTGTCAAGTGTCAGGTATTTGACAGGTGTGTGTAGTGTCAAGCGTCAGGTATTGACAGGTGTATGTGTAGTGTCGAATGTCAGATACTTGACAGGTGTATGTGTAGTGTCAAGTGTCAGGTATTTGACAGGTGTATGTGTAGTGTCAAGTGTAAGGTATTTGACAGGTGTATGTGTAGTGTCAAGTGTCAGGTATTTGACAGGTGTATGTGTAGTGTCAAGTGTCAGGTATTTGACAGGTGTATGTGTAGTGTCAAGTGTCAGGTATTTGACAGGTGTGTGTAGTGTCAAGTGTCAGGTATTGACAGGTGTATGTGTAGTGTCGAATGTCAGATACTTGACAGGTGTATGTGTAGTGTCAAGTGTCAGGTATTTGACAGGTGTGTGTAGTGTCAAATGTCAGATACTTGACAGGTGTATGTGTAGTGTCAAGTGTCAGGTATTTGACAGGTGTGTGTAGTGTCAAATGTCAGATACTTGACAGGTGTATGTGTAGTGTCAAGTGTCAGGTTTTGACAGGTGTATGTGTAGTGTCAAGTGTCAGGTATTTGACAGGTGTATGTGTAGTGTCAAGTGTCAGGTATTTGACAGGTGTATGTGTAGTGTCAAGTGTCAGGTTTTGACAGGTGTATGTGTAGTGTCAAGTGTCAGGTATTTGACAGGTGTATGTGTAGTGTCAAGTGTCAGGTATTTGACAGGTGTATGTGTAGTGTCAAGTGTCAGGTATTTGACAGGTGTATGTGTAGTGTCAAGTGTCAGGTATTTGACAGGTGTATGTGTAGTGTCAAGTGTCAGGTATTTGACAGGTGTATGTGTAGTGTCAAGTGTCAGGTATTTGACAGGTGTATGTGTAGTGTCAAGTGTCAGGTATTTGACAGGTGTGTGTAGTGTCAAGTGTCAGGTATTGACAGGTGTATGTGTAGTGTCGAATGTCAGATACTTGACAGGTGTATGTGTAGTGTCAAGTGTAAGGTATTTGACAGGTGTATGTGTAGTGTCAAGTGTAAGGTATTTGACAGGTGTATGTGTAGTGTCAAGTGTCAGGTATTTGACAGGTGTATGTGTAGTGTCAAGTGTCAGGTATTTGACAGGTGTATGTGTAGTGTCAAGTGTCAGGTATTTGACAGGTGTGTGTAGTGTCAAGTGTCAGGTATTGACAGGTGTATGTGTAGTGTCGAATGTCAGATACTTGACAGGTGTATGTGTAGTGTCAAGTGTCAGGTATTTGACAGGTGTGTGTAGTGTCAAATGTCAGATACTTGACAGGTGTATGTGTAGTGTCAAGTGTCAAGTATTTGACAGGTGTATGTGTAGTGTCAAGTGTCAGGTTTTGACAGGTGTATGTGTAGTGTCAAGTGTCAGATATTTGACAGGTGTGTGTAGTGTCAAGTGTCAGGTATTTGACAGGTGTGTGTAGTGTCAAGTGTCAGGTATTGACAGGTGTATGTGTAGTGTCAAGTGTCAGGTATTGACAGGTGTATGTATAGTGTCAAGTGTCAGGTATTGACAGGTGTATGTGTAGTGTCAAGTGTCAGGTATTTGACAGGTGTATGTGTATGTTGTCATTTCCAGGTGATTGAGGCCTACATGACGAACGTCAACCTGTCGGCAGCTGGATACTATGGGTACGTAACTCTTCCTGTTACACTTAGATAAATTTGTCGAATTCTGATTGGTTGATAGCCAAAGTATACGGAACCATGTAGGCGGATTTACATTCGTACACCCCGTCACAGCTGTCACGTGACATACTACCCTAGATGTAGAAATGACCTTGTCCTTACATGGAAAGTGGCTGCCAAACGGCTGATCGCTTCGAAATTCTAGTGTTGGTGTCTACAATTATGAGTATAAACAGAGTAATAAACCTGATGCCATAATTTCTTATTTGTTTGTGTCAATAAAAAAATATTTGTAAAAATACAATGTTTCTGTATTTCATTTGTTTAACAAAACCTCAAATTCGATCATGTGTATCATAAACTAAGCCACCACGAGTCATCTCCCTTTATGACCGTTCAGGACAAATCATGGCAAAACGTTTTGCATCTCATGCTGTCGAAGACTGAATGTTGTCTTCTAAAGATGAGATAGATATAGAGATCTTAAGGGTATTAATGTCGTTACACGGTGTTTTGAAAGGGTGTACAGGTCTGTAAGACCCTTATAAATTCCGTATTTATTGAGGCGCAGTTGGATACTACGGGTACGTACCTCTTCAATTACAGTTAGGTACAACAGATGTTGCATTTCAAAATGACTGACGACTTACTTTTAAATGACTGGTGGCTGAACTCTGTGGCCTGAGATAATGTGTTTTCCTGTGGGAACAGTCCAGAAATACAGATTTTAACTCACTTAGACCTTTCCAAGTAACCTGTTTTATTTGAAATTATGTGATTTGAGAAGTAAACCATAAGCTTTTCTAACACCTTGCTGTGATATGGTTGCGTTCTGTTTATAGGGACACATCGATTTAAACACAAATATTCTTTTCTGAATACAACCAAAACCATTAATGAAATCGAATATGGCTCGCAATTGCGTTGTGGATTACATTTATACCTGTGTACATGCTTTTAATACAATGCACTAAGAACATCGTGGAATCTCCGAGTAAGAGTTGCAATCCTGTATTCTGTAGGCTGATGTATTAAGTGGGTGAGTGTGGTTTTACACCGTTTTTAGCAATATCCCAGCAATATCACGGCGGGGGATATTGTGGGCTTGACATATTGTATACAATCTCGAACCTTTGACTTTGACTTTTGATGCGGACGCTGTAACCATTAGGCTACCTGTTGTAGAGAGGGGGGTATAGCAGAAAATGACGCCATCATCGAACACCTGGCTGACCTCATTTCACAGGGGGCAATGACCGCGTACCCGTGGGAATCGGATCCGGCGCCACATCATAGCATCACACCATGACATCACGTCATTATTTTGGACCAATCAGCATACCGCGAACTCACTCCAGTGTCACTCAAGCTGACTTGGGGGCAATGACCGCGTATCCTGTTGGAAACTGATGACACATCCAGCACGACATCATAGCATCACACCATGACATCACGCCATTATTTTGGACCAATCAGCGCAGATCTCACTTGACCACAGACCACAAACTAGTTTCATCCGGTTTTAATTTTAACTATAAAAAACCCCTCTGACAGTCAGTTGAAGTTATCATTTTGTCCTCTTACAAAATGTTTATACTTTCCATACTCCATAACCTTTTCTGTCGCCTTTGGAGAAAATCTCAAATGTCAAAGCACGCGCGGTTGAGGCATGGTGAATTACACTGGCTGCCTCTTCACTCAGCCAAGGTGCAATATGATACCTCGTCAAGTTGTATTCAAAATGGTTGGTCTAACATTAGCCTGTCTCACGGTTCCTGAACCATATTGTTTTGCCTACAGCCCAGCCCTCCCTGCAGTGCTAAGGCTCTAAATGAAGAATAGATTTCACTCAGGTCTTCAGGGACTCCTTTTCCATTTAAATAAGTTACTATCAAAATTATATATTGAGAGACTAAACATTAGTCTAGTCTGACATGTGCACACATAAGTGTAAAAGAAATTATACGGGTTCAGTTCAAGGGTTTTATAACACATTTGTCCAATGCAATGGAAATGGTTTGAGTTTGTCTTGACCATCACCAAAACAACCCAACTAAATAGAATTTCAAATGTATTTCAAACTAACCGGTATTCACATTCCATATTTGAATGTCCAATCCATATTGTCATTGTATCCTGCCTTGTAATGCTAACATATGTTTGTGATTATGTCAAATTCCATACTATCCCAGTGTATCCAATAGGGGAAATTCAAGGATGATATTGAGATGTTATACCCAAATCCCATATTTTTGTGACTGTATTGAATGAATCAACCACCAAATAAGATGAGACTGATATGCACTTCCATGTAAATATAACATATGTTTACATTTGGGATTGTGTCGTGCAAAACGCGCTCTCTCTCTCTTACAGTGCAAGCAGAGACGCGATCTGGTGACCCACATTTGCGTGTGCGGGACTATGCTGTGGCGGCGGGGGGGGACTGCTGTGGCAGGAGGAGGGAGGTTTCTGTCGACAGTTAGCCTGGCGACATTTCTTGCGAGTGTAAAAACATCCATAAATAAAATGCTACATGCTCGTTAGAATCAACACTAGCTTGGGCATGTAAGCTTTGACTGTAGAAATGTGCCTTCTCGTCATGGGGATTGTACGTGCGCTTCCCAACCTATTTAGGAATGCAACTTTCAACTTTGGAAGGGGGTGTAATTGTATAGTGTTAGCATGAAAGAGTAATCATAAATGTATGAATGACAACGCATAGGTGTATATTATTATTATATGGGTACTTATATAACGCTATAGTCCATCCCGCATGCATGCTCAAAGCGCTGGTAAATTTTCCCTTGGATGTCAATCTCAGTCATATTACCATTCTCAACTCCCCGGTGAGCATCTTGCTGCCACTAGGCGCACCAAGTTAATGTGGTTTTCCCATCCTAACGAGGTATACATGAGGTAAACAAGATAAACTGATTTCATTATTTTTTTATTAGCTCCGTTTCAAACGAGTAGAAGTACGGGATAGGAGCGCTCCCAGAAGTCTACTTTACATCTGTTGTGAACTGTCTTATTGCCCCTCGTAATCGTCCTGTCCTTCACTCTCTTCATCAGATGTTATGTCTGCATTATCATCTTCAGTCAAGCCTTCGACCCAAGACTTATATTGGTACAGATTTGAAAACACGTCATGATACAGATTATTTGTGTCTCCTACTTGTTTCAGTATTCCTTGTGTATTTGGACCATACTGCATATGGTACAGATAAGTAATAAATCAGGCAAACGTCTCTTTAAACATGCTCCAGATGAATTTGTTCAGTTTGGCTTGAATCGTGTCTTCGTTTAAACCTCTTTTCATGTACAGCTGTCGTTTCTAATCCAAAAAGTCCTTATTCAGCTCACGTGTACGTGAATACATTTGTCTTATACCTTGCTCTTCGAGATCAGCCATCATTTTTTTCCTGTTGTTTGTGTGACATCGTTTAATGATTCATCATCATCATCATTTTCCATTTCAGGACATTGTTTATCATGTAAATGTCTTTGTAAGTTGTGGTTATTGCTAAACACTTGACCACAATAGTCACAATCTGACAGTGAACGTGGTGCCTTCACAGGAGAGCAGTTGTCGTCTTCCTCCCACTTTCTTTTAACTTGGGGTATTCCCGGTGGACCCACTGAAGACTTTACGAGACACCAGTTTCTTCTGTGTTTTTGCAAATCATGCATGTCTTGAAACATGAGTCCACAGTCATCACAAGATGGCATGGTTGGGAGATTTTCTTCACACATCTGCTCACGCTGACAGTGTAACTCGACTGAATGGTCTTAGCTTGGAGGTCTCCTTTTAAACTGAATGCATTGGGACAAAGTCGTAAATGGGGAGGTGTTTTGGGTTTTAGATCAACCAACAAGTAGCCATATGGTTTCTGGATAGCCCTTTGAAACGGCTCCATGAAATTGTCTGTGTTACCTGGATACATTTGCGTCGCCAAAGTCATGATGGGTTGTTGATCGATAGGGTTGTTGAACAGAAGCAGATAAAGACTGTTTCTTCGTTGTGTGGGATCCTTACTGAAATACAAATTCTGGTTCAAGGCTATCACTGAGAGATTAGGATGATGACTTACTTCCGTAATCAGATCTGTAATGCGTGGATCTTTGCTCGCTGTCGACAATAAGTCGTTGAGGATAACCACATTCACCACATGGGGGTCCAGAAACTGATCCTTTTCCAGGTCAGAAGGAATGCCTTGATGAAATTCCACATAGGGATAAACATGGGTTTGAATGGTGTTATACAAGGGCTGCCATCGTTTGTAGAGCCAAATAATACGTTCAGGATAAGGCTTAATGTTCATCCGTTCTAGAATCTGTTTCACTAAGTAGGTTTTTCCACAGGAGGTGGGCCCTGAGACAATCATGGTGAATGGGTGTATTAGTCTAAATTCTTCCAAAGACTGAGTAGTACTTTCTGATGAATGTGGTTGCACTGGTTGCTGCTGCTGCTGTTGTTGTTGTTGTTGTTGTTGTTGCTGCTGCTGCTGTTGCTGCTGCTGCTTGATATCTTCTGAATGTTTAGTTCGAATATGACCGGACAAGTCATGAGCCCAAACATATTGTTTGGAGCATACAGGACAGGGATGCATAATGATGTTCACACGTCGACAGTCCTACTACAAATGACACATTTAGCCTTTTGTCTCTATTCAAAAATATGTTTTCAATCGCTTTGTTGACACTGCTTCCATTGTGTTTTCCCTATTGACGACACTTTCCCTTTCTCTCTTCAACTTGGCTTTAGCCTGTTGAACCACTTGTTGGGTGGGAGACGTGAGTGCAAAAGTCTCTTCAGAAGAAGGGGGTAGGTCCATCTTGACGCCTTGCTTCTCGTAATAGATCACATAATCATCCACGTCAGTAAAGGGATTGGGATATCCTTTAGCCTGCAAATAGTAATATTTGGTCCATTTCTTAGGGTCGTGGGGCGTTGGGGTAGCCTAGTGGTTAAAGCATTGGCTCGTCACGCCGAAGACCCGGGTTCGAATCCCCACATGGGTACAATGTGTGAAGCCCATTTCTGGTGTCCCCCGCCGTGATGTTGCTGGAATATTGCTAAAAGCGGCGTAAAACCAAACTCAGTCAGTCAGTCTTAGGGTCGTCCAGATAGGGTCTCCTGTTCATTTTCTTGTTCAGAATGAATACTGACCCTCACACAGAGGTTTCAGATGAAGTGTCACTATCACTGGTCCACGGCTAAATGAAGCGAAATCACCGTTTCTGTCCTTTATATAGATGTCTGCTAGCCCTAATTCTAACTCCTAAAACCATGTTGGTAGCAGAGCGTGGTTTCGATCCACGGCCCTCTGGGTTATGAGCCCAGTGCACTTCCACTGTGCCACTCTGCTCTCCCTTCACCTACCTTTTGTTAGGACTTTTATACACCAAATCAACCAATGACAACCAATATTGATTTATTCTCAAATAGTCACAAATACATACAGTATTGTACAATGAACATCACACTCTTACACATGTAAATCTACATGGCTACCCCAGCGGAACACCTCTTTCTGAGGTACTCCTACCAGGGCCAAATACGGACAGTTTGGAGACCATTTTTCATGTTCGACCCAAGGATCATCCTCTACGTGCCAGTTCTTGAGAACAACACCACATTGAACACACTTGCAAGCGTCCCCTCTGATTAAGTACACAAATCCTGCCTGGGCCATTTGACTAGGACTCTGTTTCATCTGCACAGGCCAAGACTGAAAGAATTCAGCCATTCTTGGAACTGTGTTCGAGGTCTAAGAGGGATACTGTCCATACATAGGTACCCACCTAGATCATCATGACCATGAGGATACTCTGTCTTGTCTGTCTCTAGTCCCAGCAATGCCATGGGTTGTATCTCTCCGCATTCCTCCAAAGCTTTACAGAAGAGGGTGTAAGTTTGGGGTCCTCGCCGGGGAAGGGTATCTAATAAAGCTCTGACCCGGTCAAAGGAGGTTTGTGGTTTTTCGATAATCTCTGCCTTCATGAAGATGGTAAGGACTTTAAACTGTACCAGTTTGTCGACCACCTCTTCTACACGCTGTATAGCTAACACGAGGTCGGAGCGATTCTTCCTCAGGATATCACGGTGAGCGGCTTCCATTTTCTATCTTCGAGGTAAACGGCTACCAGAACCAATAGAGTCAAGAGCATGCGTGCGTTCTCTCTGGCGACTGAAGTGTAAATGACATGGGGACTGTTTGAGGGCCTTATATTACCCACTCGAGTCTAAAAATACCTCTGGGAAAGTGGTTTATCCCAATGTCAGCTCAGTACAAGGTCATTGACACCCCTTTGAAATGAGGTCAGCCAGGTGTTCGATGATGACGTCATTTTCTGCTATACCCCACTCTCTACAACAGCTACCCCACCGCCCCTCGTGGTTGTAACACAGTCCAGAACGCTCTGAAGAAAAACAATGCAATGAATCGTCTGTCTTTGAGACAATTTCTTTTGTTTTCCCAGGTCGAGTGAACTGAATAGCTTTGACATAAAGACCCTCAAAGGGAAGTCAGCTGACTATTTCACATATGGTGCTGGGTGCTCAGAGATAGAAGTGGACTGCCTAACCGGGGAATGCCAGGTACTAGTATTGAATACAAAAGATTAGTGTGTAGTGCAGATGTATTTTCCTTAAAAGGGAGTCAAATATGTACTTACAAAAGGAAGAGTCAGATAAGTTTGTTCCAGAAACTGGTGAGATGATTTAATCATACATTTTAAGAGAGTATACTATTGTTCGGAAGGATAACAATAACTTCTTTGAGTGGCATTTTAGAATTTGGGAAGTACAATATAGAACAAACTTTATGGAACAAACTTTTTGGATACAGATTCTTGTACCGTTGTCAAGCATTATGCGGTACAAGAATCTGTATCGAAACGTCGCACTCACGAATAAAAAGAAGTTGTTATCCATAAAGTTTGTTCTATATAAGGATAACAATAGGTGTTCGGTAAAAAAGTCCTAGGTAAAAATGTCCTCCGGAAAAAAGTCCACTTTTCATTTTCAAGTCGGATGTTCAGTGCCACAGTCAAACCTATCCCTGTCCAGCTTCAAACCACCCTTGTTGGTCTGAATGACTTCCATCATGGAATGGAATTGAGAAATGTTGTACCGGGGTACATATTATTAAACCAACAATATGAACAGAAGCCAGTGCACGTAATTCATCTCCTTAATTAATATTCCTGTTAACAAGAATTAAGATTCTTCAGTGTTTTTACTGGTAACTAGTTCTGGGTGAGATGCAATCAAATAAAATTACACTATAATTGGTTATCAGTAAACACACTGAGACACTTACAACTGTTACGGTTTTACTAGATCAAAGGTCAGTTTAGATATTTAATCTGTGAGCATATCATGTTTTTAGATGTTGTATAAAAGATCAAACATCAATTAATCTGTCATTATATGTGATTTCTTCATGGGTTTTTTCAATCTTTGATGTCAGTCTTGTCAAATATATATTAACTAAATCAGTTTAAAAGGACTTTTTTACCAAGGACTTTTTACCGGTACTTTTTTACCAAGGACTTTTTACCGGTACTTTTTTACCGAGGACTTTTTTGAAAAAAAATATATAAAATATATGGATGAGCAACCTCTTATTGTTCACTTGGCGCATCGAATGTTCTGAAAGTAATATGTTGTGGTTTAAAAAAATCTTTGCTTCAAATAAACATCTCCGGGCACACATTAGGTTCGTTCCTATATCTGAAATCCATAACCTATTTGGGCAGATCCTCCAGACGGACATGGTCGTCGATGTGGGTCGGAGCCTTAACCCGGGGATAGACCTCGGACAAATAGAGGGCGCTTTCCAAATGGTGAGGACGTCTCAGATCTGACAGTCTGTATTTAAAGATGACAGTTTTGTTCACAATTATACTGATTCTGTTACAGATCTCAGAAATGTAGGATCATTTGTTCTGTCAAACATTGTCTGTTTAAAACGTTGATATTTTGGGAAAATAGTTATTAGCGTTTTATACTCCCCATGCTTCTAGCTTGTTGTAGTAAACACGTCAGTAATATGTATTTGTTTCAGTCTTCAGAAAAATTAGGGTTTCTTGTACAGGACACATCAGTTAACTGGGGCCGAATTCACTGATCTTCTTAGAATATTATTAAGCCTTAAGAATTCTTAAGTCTACGAAGAATTCTTAGTTTCCATAGCAACCTATCTAATACTAAGATTTTTGCTTAAGCCATATTCATCAAACCTCTTAGTGCTTACGATTTGTGGTTACTTAAAACATTAAGAAGTTTCTTAAAGTAAACAAACATGGCCGCCAGTGCATTCATGGATAGAACCAACATTTTAGAAAAATACACAGAAACCGAGTTGACAGGAAGATTTAGATTATCCAAAGATGGTATTACAATTTGTGGACACTTTTTCAAATGAAATTTCACCTGTGACTCAAAGAAGTAATCCTTTATCAGCTGCTGACAAAGTTCTACTGACGCTGCGTTACTTTGCCACGGGCAAGATGCAGCTGTGTAATGCGAACCACATTGGTGTTTCACAGTCTTCAGTGAGTAGGGCCATTAACCAGACAATAACTGCTCTGTGTGCCCCTGCCATTGTTCGACAGTTCGTTTCGTTCCTACCAGTCCGACTGAAATCCGACGAAACCAACTTGGTTTCTATGGCTAAGTGGTTGGGGTAATAGATGGCACCCACATTCAGATTATGGCACCATCCCAGCACGGACCTGCTTATGTGAACAGAAAGTAGTACCACAGCATCAAATTCTTAACATATATTTGTATCCCATAATGCCATGCGTTTCTAACTTAGAACATTTTGAAATATCTCAGCTAAGATTTATGTTTAGTCTCATGGTGGATTGCTACTAAAGATAAATTCTCAGCTAAGAATTCTTAGGAAACTTAAGCATAAAGACGAAGAAAATTCTTAGAAGTTTGGTGAATCCGGCTCCTGCTAAGGTTTCATGCTGCTACCAATGTTCTATGCTTGTTATTGGCGCGACAGTGATCTGCCCATGTATCAGGCTTGTTACAGTGAACATAAAATATCTGCCCATGTTCCAGGGATGTGGGCACATGTTGCTGGAGAGCGCCGTGGTGTCTGAGGATGGATGGATGGTGAAGGAGGGACCTGGTGAATACAAGATACCCACCGTGAGGAACATCCCCCGGAAACTCAACGTGTCCCTGCTCAAAGACAGTGCCAACCCGCATGGTATTTTTTCCTCAAAGGTACGTTTAGCCATGGATAGCAAAATTTAATGTTTCAAGTGAGGTTCCCTTATTGGATGATTTTCTACGGTCCAATGATCCATACCAATGTTTCAAACATTTCGAGTACCAATTAAAAGTCTAAAACCATACCATTGTTCCAGCAAAGTTGTGTTTTAGTTGCAACGCCTTCCACTCGGTTCTAAACAATCATGTAACACATGTATGTTACATTTCTCCACAGGGAATCGGCGAACCTCCAATATGCATAGCTATGTCAGTATACTTCGCCCTGAGAGCCGCCATATTGGATTGCCGCTTGTCAAATGGCTGCAGTGGCCACTTTGATTTGCACGTGCCAGCAACTGCAGAAAGGATCCGAGAGGTTTGTCGTTCGTGTATCTACACGTTGAGAGACCCAAAACCTTAATCCTTAATACCTTCGCTACAGTTTCGAGGCGATGCCTCAAAGAGGAACTGTTTGTACTCGGGCATGTTGTCTTCATGGAATAACAATAGAGAAATGGTCTAACAGAATAAAAATACCACGTGATGTATGGAAATAAGTCAACAAAGACCATAGCTTGTACCTGAATGCAATGACTTATAAACATATTTGTTGTAAACCAAGGAAGTATTTTTCACATTTTGACATTATCGAGTGCCTGTATGCAATCACGTATAGACATATTCGTTGTAGACCGAGGAAGGATTTTTCCAACTTTGACATTTGCTTCTGCCTGAATACAATGACTTATAAACATATTTTTTGTAAACCAAGGAAGGATTTTTCAAATTTTGACATTCGCGACATTTTTTAATTATGGACAGTTATCAAGCTGTTGGTAATTTAGAGAAAAGTGAAATTGATCTTTGCAATGCTTGTAGTAGCGGGTCTTTAAATGTGGTCTAGAAGCCAGAGCCCCAAAATGGTGAAAATGTGGTTCAATTCTGGCGACCGAATGGGAATTGATTTTCCACAATCAGGAATGATTTAGCTTTGATTTAAAGCCGATTTCCATCAGCTACCGTGCGTAAAAAGGGGCCCTTTTAAGGTGCAACATATCACGTCAGTTATGACAATATTTTAACTGATAGCTGGATGGTTTAATTTAATAATTTAATTCGGATTGACCGAATTTCATCTAAATAGTAGTTTTGGAATGCTGAGATCATGATTTAAAATTGTGGACAATAATATTACATACTGTATATGCTCATCGAAAAAAACAACTGGTAAGGTCAAAGGTCAATTTTAATAGAAAGGGCATTTGATGAGAAAATATGAGTTGAACTTTACAAATTAAAGATAATTTTCCAATATTATGTTTTCCTAAATCAGCTATATCATTTGCAGGTCATTTATTCCTTTGGTTGGCACTGTATGCATAAAAACACGTTACAAGGTAACAAAGGTTGGTGCTTTGTATTTAGATAAGCAAGATATTACATAATGTCTGTTCAACAGTAACAGCTCCATGCTTTACATAGTATCAACGACACCAAATATGTCGAATATACTGTTAGACTATCATTAAAATTACACAACATAACAAAGCTCTTGAATGTATAATTCTATTATTCCAGATGTCTTTCTTTGCTCATTAAAGAATGACGAGTCAGTCATGTCATGTCATAGTGTATTCCCAATTGACTGCATGTTAGTCAATGTCAACAATGTCAAGATCACGGGAACATGTTTCAAGTCCACATCCACATGCTGAAGTACACAAGAGGTTCAACCTCTTTCTGCTACAAATTCCTGTATACATGCACAGATATGAAGTTTAATGAGGTACACGGAACAGATTTAGTTTTAACTTATTTGCAACTTTATCAATTTTACAAATCTAAGGTAATTTTACGAAAATTATGTTCTTTCTAATTCAGCTATATCATTTGAAGATCATACATTCCTTTGGTTGGCACTGCATGCATGAAAAACCATTACAAGGAAACGAACGTTGGTATTTTGTATTTAGATCAGCAAAAAATATAAGATAATTTCAGGTCCATGCTTTACAAACTATCAACAATACTAAATATGTCGAAGATACTGTTGAACTATCATACACATTTCCGTTTATTGACATTCTGGCAGATACAACAATTCAGCTGATGGCAGAGTGAGATATGTTTTGATAAGTGTCAGTATTGTTTATATTTGTGTCACTTCACACTCCAGCTGCACTGCACTGCCTTGAAACCCCTGAAGCTGATGGATAATAATATGACATCCTAATGGAAGGTTTGCAAGTGACATTATGGTGTGCCGCCAATTCTTTCTGTTTACAATTTTGAAATATTACGACTTTGGTTTTCTTGATTTATTTTACACCGGCAATCCTTAATACATTGTAAAAGATATGGCACACTGATCAGAAAGGCGTATTGGTACCTTACCACCAAGTATACACACTCCTCATATACCTCCGAAATACATAGTATTTCCATTACATTCCTGTTGATTGTAATAGGTGATGTACTTTCCGATTCTTTTCTAAGTTTAAATGGATTCGAAATAAGAATATTTCCTTAGGTGGGGAAACATTTGTAAATTTGTAAACTTAAAAACCTGTAAGCTTAAAACCTTGTGCATCATTCTGGATATCAAGGTAGTGTATTTGAACACTTTCTATATGCTCATGTCACCAGTACCAAAACAAAATGATCACAGAAAAACGGGGTTCACATTGTCAAGCAAGCGGACAGGTTTCCATTAGGTCGCCAACTTAATCACTTCGCTTCAACCCATTGTCAGTTCTTTAGACAAATGTGAGTAGGAGAAAAGGGCTACAAATATTACAGGCTTAAATGTTGTCATTCATATAGAGGTTTGATAGTTGTTTAGGCTATGCAATATGTCATTACTCTCTCCTGGTTGGGTGTCAACTGACAACATTACAATTTGCGACATGTTTCGCATCCATGCATTACATAATGCAGTTCTGGATTCATGATTCATGCATTCGATCAATAACAAAACATCTGTAAAATACTTGTGATCGAAACCGGCTTAAAACTGCATTACTCACAGGTACTTTCACACAGTGTTGTTTTACTTTTCAAAGTTCTTTAAGGTAAGCTTGTTTACAAATGTATTGTTTTGGTATTTTAAGCAACGCTGCAGGTTATCTGGAGGTCTGGTCGTATCAACGCATTAGCGCCTTGAACAGATACCCCCCACCTTTCCTCTATTTCCACTATTTGAATAATTGGAGAAAATAATCATGCTAATTAAAAGATCGCACAAGCAATCGTACATACAATGTATTTGGATTAGCCTTTCAATGTTCCATAAAATCAAGCAAATATTCAATATCATAACTGTACGACGTTTCCGGGCTACTTCTTACCCATTCATCAGGTGAAGGGAAAGGCAGCAGCCCAGACACATCGTGTTGTAAATAATAAAGAAGTTGTAAATCCATACCATACGTTGTTATGTTTCCAACTTCAAAATGCCCATCAAGCATCTACATGTTGATCAGTTTATAGTGCAAACATTATGAAAATTTACCCATGATTAGATATATTGGTTAGGATGTAGTTGTGTGGCATGTCACCAATCAAGACAACAAGATCAAGAAGACAACATCTTCATTTGAAGTGTGTTTGCGGAAAAGGTTAGCACGTTTTGCCCCTTTAGTACCCATTACAAACGCACGCACGCACACACTATAATTACACACTATACAAAGCCATAGCCTCTGGAAATAGGAAATATCGTGATAGAAATATATAACTCCGTATATACTGAATTAGTCCCAGTGAGCTCGGAGATTCAGAAACAGTGGGGGTCTAGACTGGTTTCATTTTGGACTATTGCATTACAGAAAGGGTTGGGCCGAATGTTTGGAATATGACGCATTTGAAAAACCTAATCTCCTATAGTAATATTAGCATTCATATTTCGGAAAATAAATATATAGATCTGGGCAAACAGAAGATGTCCTTCATTTGAAACACGCTTTGCTGGTGACAGCTGGTGGCTTCATAGTATATGTTGCAACAATGCAGTTGACTACAGTTGACTTGGTAGTGTTCATCTAGGTGAGGTCTGTCAATATTTTAGAGCTGACGTTGTATTGGCGACGTTCATCAGCTGATGAAGTTAGTGATTCACATGAGCCAATTCCATGATGTGATAACTATTGTCAATTCATTAACGCTCTGCTTGAAGGACAGCAGTCATGCGACATTCTGAAATCGGGAAATGAACGACAGTTGGTCTTTTAGTATCCATCTAGGCGAGGTCAGCCACTACTGTCAATATGTATAGACGATTTTAAGGTTGTCCACGCAAAATCGAAAGCGTCTGTCAACGTATATACCAACTTCTGTGGATGTATTGAATAGCTGATAGTAATTAAATGTAACTTGACAGTTGGCTTTCTGAGATACGACTTATGCAGAGACCAGTTGATATTGGCGACATACATTGTGTTGTCTATAATAGCATTTGGAATGATCTACAATCCATATCATGAGACTGACTATGCATTTATTCATTAACCATTCTCACAGGTTCACAAATATGCTGGGTCAAAATTGATCTTCAGCAACCCATGTTGTCGTAAGAGGGAACTAATCTGATCAGGTGGTCGCTCCCACTGACTTGTTTGATGCATGCCATCGTATCCCACTTGCGAAGATCGATGCTCATAGTGTCATGACCATGTTATGTGTTACTCTTTGTGTATATCATTACATATTGCTAAAACTGAGACTGAAAAGTAGGCACTTAATGTTTTGTATTTAAAGCAATACGTTTCTGTCGTAATATATCGTCATCAAATATTCCTCTGTCATAAGGGCGGTGGGGTAGCCTAGTGGTTAAAGCGTTGGCTCGTCACGCCAAAGACCCGGGTTCGAATCCCCACATGGGTACAATTTGTGAAGCCCATTTCTGGTGTTCCCCGCCGTGATGTTGCTGGAATATTGCTTAACGCGGCGTAAAACCAAATTCAGTCAGTCAGTTCTCTGTCATAAAGTTGCAAATAGTTTACGACTAAATCGTTTCCGTTGACCTTCTTCAACTTCATATCTGTGCATGAATATGTCAATGTACAGGAAGGTGTAGCTGCAAGAGGTTGAACCTGTTGTGTACTTCAGCATGTGGATGTGGACTTGAAACATGTTTCCGTGATCTTGACATTGTTAATACTGACTAACATGTCAACTGGGAATACACTATGACTATTAAGAACAATAAATACAAATTGATATGAAGGAAATGTTGCTTGCGTTATGATAACATGACTGACTCATCATTCCTTGATGAGCAAAGAAGGACATCTAGAATAATAGAATTATACATATAAGGGCTTTCTGTTATGTAGTGTGATTATAATGATAGTCCAACAGTATCTTCGACATATTGGTATCGTTGATACTATGTAAAGCATGGAGCTGTTACTGTTGAACAGACATTGTGTAATATTTTGCTGATCTAATTATAAACACAAAGTACCAACCTTTGTTACCTTGTAATGGTTTTTTCATGAATACAATGCCAACCAAAGGTATATATGATCTTCAATGATACAGCTAAATCAGAAAAACATAATTTTGGAAACATTACCTTTAATTTGTAAAGTTCAACTCATATTTTCTCATCAAATGCCCTTTCTATGAAAATTGACCTTTGACCTTACACAAATATTTTTGCGACGAGCAGATATGTAATATTATTGTCCACAATTTTAAATCATGATCTGAGCATTCAAAAACAACTATTTGGATGAACATCGGTCAATCCAAACCAGAGTTATTAAATCAAACCATCCAGCTATCAGTTAAAATATTGCCATTCGGTCGCCAGAACTGCACCACATTTTCACCAGTTTGGGGCTCTGGCTTATAGACCAATGACTTCAGTACATATTTAATGACATGTGTCCAAGCCTTTGGAACAGATCTAGACCGTCAGCACATATTCATCAGCTCGGGAACGAGTTGGGTGAGGTGAAATTGGGTTTAACGTCGTGCTTAAGAATATTTCGCTCATATGACGACGTGCATGCGTGTGTATGTGTAACCGTAGTTGTTTGAAGTGTCTTTTTTCACTTTCACACGAGAGATTTCGGATCGACTGAAAAGTAGGTCATTGTCTGAATTGGTTAATGAGACTCATGTTTTGGTTTGACACGTCTTGTTCCTGATATGCATAACGGGTTGGTAGAACAGTTTAAAATTACAAGCAGTTCTGAAACCATTTAGAAGGAGTTAAATATGTTAATGAATCCTTCGAAACACTGTTTATGCCATATATGTCTTTGACTATGGATGGTGGTACCTGTGTTTTAAATGCACCATTTACAACCGATAAGCTTTCAGGAGCAATTTCTAAAGCACAAAATTCCTCATCCGGAACAGATAATTTGTACTGTAAGGTTTTTAAGCATATGCCTGTTTCTGCTCTTTTGTATCTGCTGCGACCGCCTCCGTGGTGTAGTGGTTAGAGCATCCGCCCGGAGAGCGGAAGGTCACGGGTTCGATCCCCGGTCGCGTCATACCAAAAGACGTTGGAATTAGGTACTTGATGTTCCCTGCCTGGCGCTCGGCATTAATGGGTAAAACAAGGACTGGTCGGCTCGGAGTATAATGTGTCTGAGTTGGGTATTCATACTTAACTGCTGCATGGTATCTGAGTGGGCTGGCTGAAAAGAGACACTTCAAACAACTACGGTTACACTAAATTCCAATTCCTTGTTTCATAAGAAACTGTCGTTTACTTAATTTTACTTTATTTTAATTTTACAGTTTAAAAACATCGTATTTCTATATTTTATGTCGAGGTATAGGCGGCATGAAGGACCTCCAATGTGAATGTTTAGTATTTTCAGTGGAACTCTGCATGCCGTTTCCGAAATTCGGCCAAATCACCAAGCAGTGAGGTATGGCATGTCGTATTGAAAACATTTCGCCAGATATGTCGGCCTATTCATATTCCTGATTCCAACCGAGTTGGGGACGATGTTTAATTGATCCTCAGAGTGCTGTGTTCAATACAGAGAGGACAATCGATACTAACCAAATGTCCCTTTTTTAAACTTCCATCTGATAACTGGTAAGATGATCTTTATGCGATCGTACTGGACTCAATTGAAGTTTTGGAAACACTGGCAAATGATCACTACCAAGCGTGTACTACTGGAAATCATCCCGATGAAGAGGAAACCGTCGATAGATCTGAAGGAGAAAAGGTCCATTTTTCAGGGTCCACTATGGCCCCTTTCCCGTTATTCGAGATAACTACTGGATCGTCCCCAGGCAAAAATGCCTTAACGACTGATCCAATGAAAGTTAATTTACCACTGCCCCACACTTCGTTATGGCAGTTGAGTGAGTTTGGTTTTACTTCGCTTTTAGCAATATTCCTGCAGTATCACGGTGGGAAACACCAGAAATGGGCTTCACACATTTTATTGTACCCATGTGGGAAATCGAACCCGGGTCTTCGGCGTGACGAGCGAATGCTTTAACCACTAGGCTACCACACACCCCTTCTGACAGTTGAAACAACCAAACATGGTGTATTGGCTATCAGATGTCTCTCTTTCCAGTACCACGATATTGAATATCGTGCTCATATCAGCTTCAAAAGCCATGCTTTGGAATGCATGGGTCTTGTTAAATTAGAAAACAGGTGTAATACACAAAAATAGCATATGACTCACAGAAATAGGGGGATGAAAACGTCTACAGAATAACGGTATTAAAGCAAAACAAAAGTACACACTTTAATGTGAACGCATTTAAATGCAAGATCCTGGTTACAAGTAATATGAATATGAGATGTCTTGATCCTCAGTGCAGACATATTGTAAAGATGCGATGACATTATTATGATAAAAGAAAATATACTGGATGATTAAAATTGGTTCTTGTAGACGCAGACATTATGGTGTGTCAGTTGGCCGTGTTACGTCCGATGTTAAGAAACGTCAATCTGTTAGTTTGGAGATACAGGCCCGACAAGCCTCACGGATCCTCTCCGAAGTAGCTGGCACCCGCAAATCGAAATCCGATTCACAGCCATTCTCCTTCCGACAATCCAAGATAGCGCCTTTAAGTGCGAGGTACACCGACATAGCAATGCATATCGACGCTTCGCCGATACCCTGTGATGAAACAAAACATAAATAATGATGTAAGTACATGTACTTCATATGATATACAACAAGATATAACTTTGCCGAAGTTAAACGTATACGGAGAAGTTAAGCATTGGCAACGTGAACAGGTCATGCCAAATACCTTGCATAAAAATACATGCATGATCCCAAAGATTACGCAGGGTTAAACGTATACGGTGCCGTCATGCAAGGAGATCTTAGCGCTAAGGTGACCGTAACTCCTAGACCTTAACATGGACTTACGACAGACTTAGCGCCAAAGGTTGTTTTTCAGAAGGGCATCCTGGTTGATATTCGTGAAAGAACATCAGGTTATGCACGGGATCTACATAATTATCATCTTCTCTTCGTGGGATTCATATTCGGGAATGACCGTCAACAATGATAATCAACAATTATATAAAACTGACTGACTGAGTTTGGTTTTACGCCGCTTTTAGCAATATTCCAGCAACATCACGGCGGGGGACACCAGAAATGGGCTTCACACATTGTACCCATGTGGGGATTCGAACCCCGGTCTTCGGCGTGACGAGCCAACGCTTTAACCACTAGGCTACCCCACCGCCCAAATTATATAAAAAGTCAAAGAACTCTTCGGTTCCTTATTTCATAAGACACTATGGTGATTCCGGCTTTGAACAGGTACCGAACAACCTTTGCTGGTCGCTAGGGGCAACTTGGCGTTTCAGGTTCAGTCAGTCTGGGTGACTTGGTAGATTGCGTGCCATTGTGCCACGATGCCGTGGATTGAAGTTCATATTATCAATCATTGGATTGTCATGGCAACCCGCGGATGTACGCTGGAATATTACCAAGTGCAGAGTTAGGAAAAAAAGGAATCAACTTTCATCTTTTGGAAAAACTGTTGAAGGTTTTGAAGCAAACATCAGGCCTTCTGGACCTTCGTTTGATGCCGTGAAAAAGAAAACAAAAAAATAATTTACCTTTGAGGAGTGAATGCCATACGGGTTGTCGCTGTCTTTGAGCAGGGACACGTTGAGTTTCCGCGGGATGTTCCTCACGGTGGGTATCTTGTATTCACCTGGTCCCTCCTTCACCATCCATCCATCCTCAGACACCACGGCGCTCTCCAGCAACATGTGCCCACATCCCTGGAACATGAATAAATTAAATAATACCTTAGAAAAAGTATGTGTCCACAGCAACAAGCCTGAAATATTAGCCAGATTACTGACGAGCTCTCTGTCTCTCAGTGATTTACTATATAATAAAATAAAACCCTATTATTTTCGATGACTTCTTCACCCAACCAATTCAAACAAATATCCTACGATGCTTTACTCTCTTGACTATGCTCGTTTAAACTGACCATTTGGAAAGCGCCCTCTATCTGTCCGAGGTCGATCCCGGGGTTGAGGCTCCGGGCCACATCGATGACCATGTCCGTTTGGAGGATCTGGAGCAGGACAAACGCATGTCAAATATATAATACTCATCTCCCACAATAGTTATGAAGGAGAAATGTCAACTTCAATAATGCTTAAATGCTAACAGTTACCGCATCAACAACTTCTACAAGAGGGCAAAAATTTTGAAACTTAAAAATATCATAAATTTATGTCATAAAATATAAAATATAACTGTTAGGAAAAACAAGATCACGTTGACTTTACGTTTTATATCCTACATGTCTGCAATTCATCCTGAACCTTTCGATACTTGATATCTCAACAGTTACCCCAAAACACAAAACTGAAACATTTCACTGATATAAGTATTCCAAATGACATCGAGCACCCATCAGAAAAGGGGAAAATTTGACGAATACGATCAGAAGGATTTGTCCTCCGTGAAATTAATGACAATAAAGATACTATCCAAAGAAAATGATACATTTATTTTATGTTACAAATACTCAAAAGCAAATTTGTGATTAATTAAAAAAATATTGGGCATTTTTGAGTTAAGATAAATTCACTTAAACGTTTTTTTGGCAGAACATGAGTTTATTCTCCAAAGAGCTCCGAACTTACTCGTTTTCAATACTCAAAGGTCAAGGGAAATTTCACGCTTACAACATATCTATTTTTACAGCTGTAAAATATTATCATTCCCATTATGTACTTTTTGCACTGTTGACTTTGGATCAATAATCCGTCTATGATTAAAATGTAGATGTTAAAACTGAAGCACGGGTTATCGAGACTGATACAATACAATAGTTCGATGTGAGAAATAACAAAATGTTATCTGTGGATTAAGGAAAAACGGAATAAACCAGTGATGTGTATTTTAACTAAATTATACATCTACAACAACAATTGTGCGAATCGCTTACCAACTTGTAATGGTCATACGATTTTGTTAACAAGTTCGGATCTCTTCATCACGTTGTTTGCTTACTCATAATGTTAATATAGAAAGTTCTGTTAGACTCACCGGCATGCGGACATACCTGGCACTAGCCTTCAAACGGGTATACCTTTCGTTCCCATACAACTGGACATACCTGAAACTTCTCTGCAAGTGGACATTCCTGACGCTCCCCTACCCATACCTGACTTTACCCTGGAAGCGGACATACCTGGCTTTCCCCTACAAGTGGACATATGGAAGCGGTAAGTGGACATACCTGACGTCACCCTGTAAGTGCTTAATGTATCCCTGTAAGTGGACATACCTGCCTCTATACCCTGCAAGCGGACATACCTGTCTCTATTACCCTTTAAGTGGACATACCTGACTTTACCCTGTAACATACCTAACGTCACCCTGTAAGGACATACCTGACGTTATCCCTGTAAGTGGACATACCTGCCTCTACCCTGCAAGTTATCCTCTATCCTGCAAGCGGACATACCTGTCTCTACCCTTTAAGTGGACATACCTGACTTTCCCCTGTAAGTGGACATACCTGACGTTATCCTGTAAGTGGACATACCTGACTTCTACCCTGCAAGCGGACATACCTGTCTCTATCCTGCAAGCGGACATACCTGTCTCTACCCTGTAAGTGGACATACCTGTCTCTACCCTTTAAGTGGACATACCTGACTTACCCCTGTAAGTGGACATACCTGACGTTATCCTGTAAGTGGACATACCTGACGTTATCCTGTAAGTTGACATACCTGCCTCTACCCTGCAAGCGGACATACCTGTCTCTACCCTGTAAGTGGACATACCTGACTTACCCTGTAAGTGGACATACCTGACGTTATCCTGTAAGTGGACATACCTGACGTTATCCTGTAAGTGGACATACCTGTCTCTACCCTTTAAGTGGACATACCTGACTTCCCCTGTAAGTGGACATACCTGACGTTATCCTGTAAGTGGACATACCTGACGTTATCCTGTAAGTGGACATACCTGCCTCTACCCTGCAAGCGGACATACCTGTCTCTATCCTGCAAGCGAACATTCCTGTCTCTACCCTGTAAGTGGACATACCTAACGTCACCCTGTAAGTGGACATACCTAACGTCACCCTGTAAGTGGACATACCTAATGTTACCCTGTAAGTGGACATACCTGTCTCTACCCTGCAAGCGGACATACCTGTCTCTATCCTGCAAGCGGACATACCTGTCTCTACCCTTTAAGTGGACATACCTGACTTTCCCCTGTAAGTGGACATACCTGTCTTTATCCTGTAAGTGGACATACCTGACGTTGTCCTGTAAGTTGACATACCTGCCTCTACCCTGCAAGCGGACATACCTGTCATTATCCTGCAAGCGGACATACCTGTCTCTACCCTTTAAGTGGACATACCTGACTTTCCCCTGTAAGTGGACATACCTCACGTTATCCTGTAAGTGGACATACCATTTGCTCTCCTGCAAACATACACACCTGACATTCTCCTGTGAGACAATCCACTTCTATCTCAGAACACCCTGCGCCATATGTTGTGTACTCGCTCGGCTGGCCCTTGCCGGTGTTGAAATCGAAGCCGCCCTGTTCCCGTGAACTGGGAACATAGTTGTTTCCAGTATTACATCATGTACCGCCAATCTAGAAGTACTTCCGGTCACAATTACATATATCATTTGACAATTCATGTTAATTACAAGCAAAGGTTAAAACTGGAAGAATAGTTCGTGAAGATAAATAGTCTAGCTATACCACAGCGACCGGTTACTGTAATTTGAGTTGAGCAGTTGAGCCATGCCTGTGTGAAGAGTGAAGGGTACATGAGACCAATATTGACTGGGTCTTTCAGGGAAGCCCTGAAGAAAAACGCTGTTACCTGTGGTATCCGGCTGCCGACAGATTGACATTAGTCAGGTAAGCCTCCTTCACCTGAAATGTGGACAGAACAGTGACGGGTGTTTAGATTCGGAAAGCAGGATGATGAGACAAGGCAAATGATATAGATTTACATAAAGGATGTGATCTGGAAGTGATCATCGCAATTGCACACAAAATTCCATATTTTGACAAGGAACTTTGGTGGATAATAACCGTCACTGTTAAATGTAACGACGTTTGGGGCTGTTTCCCTCCCCTTCTTTGCTGAAGATTACTGAAGAGGTCTGAAATAGTGTATTTATACCGAGACCAGTATACCGATATATGGAATATGGTCTCTGATTTATATTACCAAAACTATGACAAACGTAAAACACATTTTCCCGTTTCGAATATTCATATGTAAGCACAGAATATGTGCTGAGTACATGGCACCTATGTCATGTTAAACTCAAATCTTGATTCATTATACAGCAGACAACCAGAGATCTGGTTTGAGTATAAGCTCATGACATGACCTAACCCTTCGCGTTCAGCTGAACCAGACAACTCCTGATGACATTCTTCGGGAACCAAACCCTTCGTGTTCTGCTAACGCCCGGCATCTCATGATGACATCCTTCGAGAACCAAACCCTTCGCGTTCAGCTAACGCCGGCATCTCATGATGACATCCTTCAAGAACCAAACCCTTCGCGTTCAGCTAACACCGGCATCTCATGATGACATCCTTCAAGAACCAGACCCTTCGCGTTCAGCTAACACCGGCATCTCATGATGACATCCTTCAAGAACCAAACACTTCGCATTCAGCTAACGCCGGCATCTCATGATGACATCTTTTGAGAACCTAACCCTCTTCGCGATCATCTCATATAACGCAGGCATCTCATGATGATATCCTTCAAGAACCAGAACCCTTCACGTTCAGCTAACACCGGCATCTCATGATGACATCCTTCAAGAACCAGACCCTTCGCGTTCAGCTAACACCGGCATCTCATGATGACATCCTTCAAGAACCAAACCCTTCGCGTTCAGCTAACGCCGGCATCTCATGATGACATCCTTCAAGAACCAAACCCTTTGCGATCAGCTAACACAGGCATCTCATGGTGAGGTCTTCCAAAAACCAAACCCTTCGCGTTCAGCTAACGCCGGCATCTCATGATGACATCTTAAGAGAACCTAACCCTTTGCGATCAGCTAACGCAGGCATCTCATGGTGATGTCTTCCAAAAACCAAACCCTTCGCATTCAGCTAACCCCCGGCATCTCATGATGACCCTTCTTCACATCAGCTTCTCATGAGAACCAAACCCTTCACATTCAGCTAACCAAACCCAGCATCTCATGATGACATCCTTCAAGAACCAAACCCTTCGCGCTTCAGCTAATGCACAGGCATCTCATGGTGACATCCTTCAAAAACCAAACCCTTCGCTGTTCAGCTAACACCGGCATCTCATGATGACATCCTTCGAGAACCTAAACCCTTTGCAATCAGCTAACACAAGCATCTCATGGTGAGGTCTTCCAAAAACCAAACCCTTCGCGTTCAGCTAACGCCCAGCATCTCATGATGACATCCTTCGAGAACCAAACCATTAGCAATCAGCTAACGCAGGCATCTCATAGTGAGGTCTTCCAAAACCAAACCCTTTGGCATTCAGCTAACGCCCGGCATCTCATGATGACATCCTTCAAGAACCAAACTCTTCACATCACCTAACGCTTATCTCAGAACCTCAACCCTTCAGCGATCACCTAACGCAGGCATCTCATTATGACATCCTTCAACACCTAACTCCTTTGCGATCAAATAACGCAGGGCATCTCATGGTGGGGGTCTTCCAGAAACCAAACCCTTCGCGCTCAGCTAACGCAGGGCATTTCATGATGATATCCTTCAAGAACCAGACCCTTCGCGTTCAGCTAACACCGCATCTCATGATGACATCCCATGAGAACCTAACCCTTCGCGATCAGCTAACACAGGCATCTCATGGTGACATCCTTCAATAACCTAACCCTTCGCGATCAGCTAACACAGGCATCTCATGGTGACATCTTTGAGGTCTTCAAACAAAATCAAACCCTTCTCATGGTGATCAGCCAAACCCTTCGTTCAGCTAACACCCGGCATCTCATGATGACATCCTTCGAGAACCTAACCCTTCCTTCGCTAATCAGCTAACAAACAGGTATCTCATCTGTGAGGTCTTTCAAAGACCAAACCCTTGGCATTCAGCTAACACCCGCATCTCATGATGACATCCTTTTTGAGAACCAAATGACATCCTTCAAGAACCAAACCCTTCGCATCATCTAATGCAGGCATCTCATGGTGACATCCTTCAAAACCAAACCCTTCGTGTTCAGCTAACACCGCATCTCATGATGACATCCTTCGAGAACCTAACCCTTTGCGATCAGCTAACACAAGCATCTCATGGTGAGGTCTTCCAAAACCAAACCCTTCGCGTTCAGCTAACGCCCAGCATCTCATGATGACATCCTTCGAGAACCAAACCATTAGCAATCAGCTAACGCAGGCATCTCATAGTGAGGTCTTCCAAAACCAAACCCTTGGCATTCAGCTAACGCCCGGCATCTCATGATGACATCCTTCGAGAACCTAACCCTTCGCGATCACCTAACGCAGGCATCTCATTATGACATCCTTCGAACACCTAACTCCTTGCGATCAAATAACGCAGGCATCTCATGGTGGGGTCTTCCAGAAACCAAACCCTTCGCGTTCAGCTAACGCAGGCATTTCATGATGATATCCTTCAAGAACCAGACCCTTCGTGTTCAGCTAACACTGGCATCTCATGATGACATCCCATGAGAACCTAACCCTTCGCGATCAGCTAACACAGGCATCTCATGGTGACATCCTTCAATAACCTAACCCTTCGCGATCAGCTAACACAGGCATCTCATGGTGAGGTCTTCCACAAAACTAACCCTTTGCGATCAGCTAACGCCGACATCTGATGGTGACATCCTTCGAGAACCAAACCCTTCGCAATCAGCTAACGCAGGCATCTCATAGTGAGGTCTTTCAAAGACCAAACCCTTGGCATTCAGCTAACACCCGGCATCTCATGATGACATCCTTTGAGAACCTAACCCTTCGCGATCAGCTAACGCAGGCATCTCATTATGACATCCTTCGAGAACCTAACTCTTTGCGATCAAATAACGCAGGCATCTCATGGTGGGGTCTTCCAGAAACCAGACCCTTCGCGTTCAGCTAACGCAGGCATCTCATTATGACATCCTTCAAGAACCTAACCCTTTGCGATCAGCTAACACAGGCATCTCATGGTGAGGTCTTCCAAAACCTAACCCTTTGCGATCAGCTAACGCCGACATCTGATGGTGACATCCTTCAAGAACCAAACCCTTCGCGTTCAGCTAACACCGGCATCTCATGATGACATCCTTCAAGAACCAAACCCTTCGCGTTCAGCTAACGCCCGGCATCTCATGATGACATCTTAAGAGAACCTAACCCTTTGCGATCAGCTAACGCAGGCATCTCATGGTGAGGTCTTCCAAAAACCTAACCCTTCGCGTTCAGCAAATGCAGACATGACGCTGGACTTCGAGAGCCTCACCCTTCGTGTTCAGATAAAGTAGACAGCCGAATTTGTTGACCGTAATGTTATTATAACCAGAAAGTAAGGAACCCTTTGGCCAGTGCTGTATCTGCTATATCTGTAACTGTTGTACCCGGTCACAACAAACGCACAGAAAACTCTAGAGCACTTAGCACGACAAAGAATGAAATACTGTTTACCGAATTCAGCATTAGTCTGGATATATATCCGTATGGACACCAATAACGCTTTGAACCCATGAAGGACATTTAACCCGAACGTCAGGTGAGACTCGCCACCGTCCAATTTACCACAGACGCCAGGCCCTGTGAACAATGACGGGTGTTTGGATTCGCTACACAGGATGCTGGGACTAGGCAAATGATATAGATTCACATTAAGGATGAGATCTTGAAGTGACCTACCCAGTCCTTCCAGGTCTTGTCGGGGTTGTTCTTCTTGATGGGCTCCAGTCGTCGCGTTATCTCCTCACACGCATCCTGCAACAACCAGAAAGATACGGATAGAGGGCATGGGACGAGCAAAGTAGCTGACCGAGGAGTACCTAAGGCTTTCTTCACTACAGCTCATTATTGGCTAGGGTCAGATATATCAGATGAGCTGCTGGAATCGGCCATGTCTGACTCAACAACAGGCAGTAGGCACAATTTATAACATAGTAATGTGTACTTGACCTGTGCTATCGCTATGACGTCTCCCGTATTTGAACAGATTCAATGAGGTGAACGTCACAGACTTCTTGAAACTTCAGTCCATTGGCTTTGATCGCAGAACGAACGGTAGGTACCGCTTAAGTCACATGAGTTTATTTCACAGTGATGTAATATTGATTTTGAAAGAATGGATTACACTTCAGAACACTATAGAGGAACCGCAGAGGAACCATGAGACGATGGCCTTGACAGGTCAAGGTGATGTGATGTCCACTGACGTTTGAAACAATGCATTGAATTTTCAGACCAGAATACAGAAAACGTAGGTTGCATACCTTGGCCACAAAGCCTGTTGACATCTGTGTTGAAGTTAGAAACAACGTTTTACACTTTTTCAAAACCATACTGGATCGATATGAAGCTGACCTTGACTGCCATGCCGTTCAGGTCTGAGCTGATACTGGCCGCCGTCGAAGACGCGTTGGGGACTGTGTCGGTGCTCGTCTCGGCGATGTGGATGGTGCTGGCTGGTATTCCAAGAAAATGGGACGCCACCTGGTTTATGATAGGACAATAACCTAACTGTTGTTATATATCACAGCTGAACACAAATTATACTGGATGTTTAGCTAAATGTTGCTTCACGTGTTAATGGCTATACGTGTTTGCTGATAATAGAAAAGTTGTAGGACCTGTCAGTCTCGCGAGGCGCTACATGTACTTCTGGTTCTAAGCTAGTTCCCGGCTCCCTTTGCCCGCGCCAACTTGCGATATGCCAGACGGTACCCATCTTACTGGTGACAAGTATATTTAAGAACCAGTTCTGGTTCTAAATTGCGCGACCGCAAAATATGACTTTACCAGACCAGACCAAGTGTACCATTCGTCACCACTCGCCCCTTTCCGTAACCTCCAAGATGATTGCCATGCAGCTTGTCCCGGAATAACACGGTGTTTTATCGGAAATTTCTTATTCCTGCTAGGAATATGGGTTCCTTACTGTAAACTGACAACTATGAGACCAATGTTGTTTGTCGCCGGAAGAATTAATCTCGCGAAATGCCGTGACCTACTTACGGGCCCAATTGCTTTTAGCACTACCTGTATCATCTTGATGTAGAGCCCCTGGCCCATCTCCGTCCCTCCCTGGGTCAGCAGCACTGAGCCGTCCACGTACACGTGCACCAGTGCACCTGCCTGCAACATAATACCAGTCTTGAATATCCATCCAAACAGAATCCATTTGAAAATCAGTGATGACACAGTAAAGATCCGAGTTAGAATCGGTCTTCAGCAACATATGCTTGTCGTAGGAGACGACTAACGGGATCGGGAGGTCAGACTCGCTGACTTGGTTGACACATGTTATCGTATCCCAAATGTGTAGATCGATGCTCATGCTGTTGATCACTGGGTTGAACACTCGATTATTTACAGACCGCCACCATATTGCTGGAATATTGCTGAGTGTGGCGTAAAACTAAACTCACTCATACCACCCAATAGTTAGAATACGGGTTTATAAACATGTTCATTAAATAACGAACATTCGGCCGTTTAACTGTTTTGTTACAGCCACCCTACTGGTGACTAGAATATCTTCAACATAACAACTCTGTCCACATACCTTACACAGATACTTCTCGTTGTACCCGACACCAAAACGGTAGGGAACCATCGCAAAGCCACGTTTCTTCCAACGACTGTGTCTGTAGTATACGTAAACACAGTGGTTGAAATACATGTAAATGCACAACCCTACAGGTTATACGTTTTTTGCAAATTAAAAGGAATAAGTATGACATAACATTCTCCATAACCTTCGAGTAGCATTTAGAAAACGGTATGATGAAGAGGAACACTTTTCTTATTGACAGACAACTTCTTAATTGCAACAGAGGCGACGTTTTGGTGTAGATACTAACACCGTTATCAAGCAAGTAACTGCAATAATGAAGTTGTCGACCCATAAAATGTGTTCATCTTCAACATTCTCCATGTTGAAGGACGTATAGACTGAGAGAAGACCTAATGCGAGTGTCCTGACCAGAATGATTATTACGAAACCCTACAGAGCTGATTCTGTGGATATGTCCTTCATTACCTGTCCTGTTAAACCATTGCCCCTGGTTCATCTGTTAACCTGTCATATCTGCCATATCTGCTAACATCCTGCCCCTGACGCACCTAATGAACTCCTGCACCTGACATACATACCTGTTAAAACCTGCCAAGACTCACCTGTTAAACTCTTACACATGACATACATGATAAAGTCACACCCAGACATACCTGTTAAAACCTGCCAAGACTCACCTGTTAAACTCTTGCACATGACATCCATGATAAAGTCACGACACAACTTACCTGTTAAAACCTGTCAAAGTGTCACCTGTTAACCTCTTGCACCTGACTCACCTGTTGAATGTCTGTAAACGACAAACACAGTAATCAAACGCCCTGACTCGACTGTTAAATCCTTGCACCATCTGTTAAAACCCTCATCCTGACATACTTGGTAAATTGTTACTCAACTCACCTGTTAAACATCTTCGCGCGACTCACCTGTTAAACACCTTCGAATGTTCCTATTTGACAACGGTACAAGAATCAGTATCGAAACGTCGCACTCACCTCTTAAAATCCACCTCTTAAAACCCTAATCCTGACATACTTGGTAAATTGTTACTAAACTCACCTGTGAAAACGTTTGTCTGACTCACCTGTTGAACACCTTCGTCCGACTCACCTGTTAAATTCCTGCACCATTTTTGTCCGGGCTTCATACTGACTTTGCTCCAGACACTGACTCCAACACCTGGACAGCGTACAGTTGTCCAGCAACATACACGACACCGTCATGTCTCCCTCTCTCAACATGTTTATTTCACGCACCTGCAAACACGCGTACCATATAGATCGTATGCTTGGGTCAACAACAATCGGGTAAATGGTTCTGCGAGGGGATCGTATTCGTATTTCCATAACACTTACACTAAACATCCTACTTTTAAGAATTTGTTGCTAAAGAGAACACAATCCAGAGCATGTCAGCAAACTGGAGAAATGCCAGTGTGATGCTTGTCATCCCTGCATGGAACGTGTAAGTGTCTGTGTGATTAGTTTTACGCTGCACTCAGCAATATTCAAGATATATAGCGTCGGTCTGTAGATAATCAAGTGTAGACCACACAATCCAGTGATCAACAGCATTAGCATCGACATTCGCAATTGGGGTAGGATGTGTCAACTAAGTCTGCGAGCCTGACCACCCGATGCCGTTAGTCGCCCCTTCCGGCAAGCATGGGTTACTGAAGACCAATTCTAACCCGTATCTTCACGGGTACCAGTGAGGGAACAGGGATGGTATAAGTACTCACCTGAATGTCAGTCATGTTGAGTCTGCAGGCGACCTCCGTCATTATCATCTCTGACACCAGGAAGCAGTCCGGCATACCGAACCCTCTGATGGCTGTATTAGGAGGAGTGTTTGTCTTACACAGGTACCCCGTTATACGGCAGTTGGGATAACGGTACGCTGACTCGAAGTTCAGCACACATATCTGCAGGAACTGTGAACATTTGAAGCGTAACTAGGGTAGACATGTGATGGTGATGTCGAACACTCTTGTCCATTACGTAGGAAAGGTGCTTTCAGCTTCTGGGAGAATAAATATATACTCACGGCATAGGCGATGTCTGCAGCATGACCAGCGTCGACGTACATGTCCATGACAACGCTCTGGATCCGGCCGTCTTTGGTGTAGCCGACCTGAAGAGTGAGTGAGTGAGTTGAGGTTTGCGTCGCTTTTAGCAATAATCCAGCAATAGCACGGCGGGGGACACCAGAAATGGGCTTCACACGTTGTACCCATGTAGGGAATCGAACCCCGGTCCTCGGCGTGACGAGCGAACGCTTTAACAACTAGGCTACCCCACCGCCCCTACACAACAGATAATCATTGAAGATTAAAGAATGATTCTGAATCATTTGAAACCTTATCTTCAGTATAACAGTTGACATTTCGAAAGATGCAGTCAAAACCAAAAACTTGAACTGAAATCGAAAATATAATCTGGGTGTATATCTTTGGACTTTTACAGATAGGATGGTAGGGTGGGGATGGAAAACAAAAGGACATACAACCGATATAGAGATTATTAACCGAGAGTGTTTCCGTACCATTAATATCATATATTAGGAATAAAAAATTGTACTATGCGTGCCTTTGGCGAGCATAATACATATTTTTTACTCCTAATATATGATATTAATGATACGGAAACACACGAGGTTAATAATCTCTTTATCATATAATGTCATTCTTAAAATTACTCTAAAAAAAGAAGCAACTCGTACGTGAATTTATTTGAAGAGAATCGAGCATTCGCGTAAGAATACTTAGCGGTACACTAAGGTGAAGGTCGTTCATGGCGGCGGCATATGGTTGTGACTAGTCGCTAATACAGTGCAAACATAACTCATGCTTAAAATAAGATCTTTCTGTCTCAAAAGAACAACACAATCGGGCAGGATTTTTCCTGGCAGTGTTTTTATTTTCATTGCGGGTAATCACCTCATCAATATCAGTTTCTGATACCTGACGGAACCGATTCGTTGTCTGTATTTTGATCGATAGATCGAAATCCTTGGTTGGTACCTTTCTTAGACGATTGCCTTTCAATGGTCCCTCATAATCCGTATCTCAATTTCAACGAAGTACTCCGTTTCATGTTTTCCAAAGTCAATTACTGCAGTAACGACTCCAGAACCTCTGTCATCAATTCTTACAGAATCACCAATTTTGAGAATGGGGACAGCCATGTTTGTTTACAAACAATGTAAACACGCGACGACGTCATCAATGAAATGTTAACGTTGTAGGATTCGCATGGCGTGTATGGAGTTTTGTGAAAGTAGTTCGTGGATTGACGTAATTTGCATAGTTATCAGATTTGGATACCAAGTTTATCAGATTGCTTTATTGCAACGATAACACCCTCCATTAGATGATAAACTCTTTTATAATAAGCAGTTAAAGATCCTGCCAGAGTAACAGCGCTATAGTATTAGATGTTGATGTCCTTACTTTGTACTTGGCGTGAAACCTGGGCCCCTTCCCCGAGATGGTCATGTCCGTTCTCCTGTCCAGCACACACCTCACCGGCCGCCGGTACCTAGAGCAGCGACAACATAGTGTGTACACGACGTCATTCCAGAACGTTCTCTGCGACATAGATGTTATTGCTTAGCCTGGTGGGCATAGCGTTTACTTGTCAAACCGAAGCCTCAGGTTCGATCACATCGGGAGTAGCATGAGAAGCTCATTCTAGACGGCCCTCCCCTCAATATGGCTGCAAATGCTTGTGTAACGTGATGTTTCCTTTATTCACGCATACATTTCAGGTTGGGTCGAACATGCATCGACTTACTGAAAGTGAGTGAGTGAGTTTAGTTTTACGCTGCTTATAGCAATATTCCAGCAATATCACGGCGGGGGACACCAGAAATGGGCTTCACACATTGCACCCATGTGGGGACTCGAACCCGGATCTTCGGAGTGTCGAGCGAACGCTTTAACCACTAGCTACCCCGTCAGTACATATAAATTTCATTCTACAGCACAGGTAATCCCACATCCCACCCCCTAAAAATCACACATTTTATGCTCCAATTAGCAAAAACAAAGGATCCAATGACCAGAAATCCCACATCCCACATTTCATCCTAAGATAAATGTTAAACCTCCGTGGCACAATAGGACAACACCAGAAAAATGTTTTTTGGAAAATTTTGGAAATAATTTTTTTTAAACTTATACCAATAGTGACAACCTCACTTACTCTTGCTCGTTTCAAAATATTTTCCTAAATAATTGTAAACGATTTCGGCAGAAAATTTATTTAAGATAATAGTTTCAAATGGTGACGTTTTTCAGAAATTTTCAAACTCCACTCTCCATCCGAATGATAAATTATATCAATACTATTCATTTCTGGCGTGTATCCTGTCGTGAGTGGGTAAGTCTGACGAGGGCCATGTGTGTGTGTGTGTGTGTGTGTGTGTGTGTGTGTGTGTGTGTGTGTGTGTGTGTGTGTGTGTGTGTGTGTGTGTGTGTGTGTGTGTGTGTGTGTGTGTGTGTGTGTGTGTGTGTGCGTGCGCGCACACGTCCCGAACAATGGCTGTGTGAGTTGGGTGATCACGTGTTTCCTCGGAGAAACATCTCGCAAGCACCATTCATATATCGTTTTAGATTACTTCACAGAATAACTACAGAGATGCTGTCCATCTTAATAAGACATTATGATGCTAGTAGTACTCATTTTAAACGTACATATATTTTAAAGCTTGTGCAGAATAAGTTTTAAATTACATTAGTTAAACAATGTGTTTAGGTACGATATTGATGAGATATTGTCAAAGGAACTTTAACTCTTAACACCTTAAAGTAATACGCATGAATTTATTTTAATGTAGACGGTAGCCTGTTACAATATATTAACCCTAAGTTCACAGCGGTATTTTCCCGCATCTTAGCAATAATATTATATAGCAATAAATATGAAATTTATCCTACACTATCGCGATGTGGGTGATATTAAAAGTGTGAGAGCAAGAAATTTTTGTGAATTTTCTCGTTCTCAGTAGAAATTCTTAATAGTTGTTCATACTCGACTAGAATACGGTACACAAGATCATTATCTGAGCGGTTTATTACACCTATCAAGATGTATAAATTCGTGAATATCACCTTTGTTCAAGACAATCGCATGAACATAATTATAAACCACTTATCAGACAGATAAAGTAATCTGTATCACATGATAGATAATACGTGATTGTGATAACATATGTGATGATCGAAGTTGATACAAAGTACTAGCGTGTTAGGTTCTGCAGCTTTTCAACAGATCATTAAACACGCGGCTTAAAATTTATTGTTAGCAACAAAATCTCCCTCAGTTTGCTAGTGAACTCACTATCGCATATGTATAAAGACAATGTACGTTCCAAACGAATACCATTCTCGTTTTAGCCTAACTGCTATAATTCTATCTAACAACCTATCACTTGATACAGCACTCACATAATAACAAATTTCAATAAGAGTGGAAACATTGAGGATACCTGTACATGATAGTCCTTTTGATGAGGTAAAGTGCACAAAATAATTAAACAAAAAAGATATAGAGTACTGAAACATCTTCTCTATATAAATAATGAATATACTCACCTATATCCTTAAATTCTTCTTTGAATCGATGCAACTCCACAATAGCATCGGCTTTAATAAGATATCCAACAATAGTTATCATGTCATCGATATCCAATAATACAACAGAGCTAGTGTCTGAGTTTTGAATGGAAAGTGATCCAAACAGTGGATCAAAAGTGAAATGAAATTTTTTATAACATGACTCAACAAACAACACGTGGTTTCGTTGTATGTCTTAGATTTTCGAATAAAGTTGATAAATAACGCTTTTAATTTGGAAGCTGTTTCAAAATCTAAAATAAAATCCGAGGCGATATTATTTCCAATTTTAAGTTCGTACTCTGTTTTTGTAGCATTAAATGTAACGTGAACAACCATTACATGAAATATTCCAACTAAATTCGTTGCGTACAGTGGTGCGCTTTAAGATGTAAACGAATTTTGCAAACCCTTAAATAGGTTAAAAGCTATTGATGATGTGGCACGTATGCATACTTAAACGAACTGTCGCGGTACTAACAAATTCTTTTCATCACCAGTTCTACTGATAAAATGTTGAAACGTAACACGGAGGGGTCTTTTACATCTCAGTTCTATAGACAGTAATACAAAGCGAACCATCTTGACCTACAGATCAAGCTACTTGTCAGCACTTTGACACAATACGATAATGAGAAAACCGATGCATGAACGTGATACAGCGTTTCTCTTGCTGATGACACAAGGCGAATTTCAGTTTCATTACAGTGCACGAAATTCCTACCACGAGATGGACTCGTGATGGACTAGAGCGCGCATGTGTCTTGAAACAAAATCGCTAGATGTTTGAGTCTATTTTGGAAACTCGACCCAGCCAAGAACAAACAGAGAAACTTTAACACCTCGCGGGTTTCAATTAGTTTCTCATCAAATAACACGCCGACACCGCCTAGACACCGCCTATGCATCCACTTTCAACATTTACCCCTGAGAGTCACGCTGTCCTTTCATAGCTGTTCTATATATAGAGTACACCATGCATTGAGTATCATCCAGTCATGCCGCCCTTTCTTAACTGTTATATATATATATATATATATATATATATATATATATATATATATATATATATATATTTGAATAGTCAGCATTCCAATTGTTGTGACACTAAGCAAACCGTAATTCAAATATAGCGGGAAGCATCCATTCATGATAAATAATTTTCTCACTAAAATCAATCATTAACTTCTTAATGAAGAAGACATTGTGTATCACTACGCTCAATGAAGCTGGGTGTGGGATTACTAGCTAATTACTGTATTGTGAGGTTATTTTAGGATGAAATGTGGGATGCCATCCTTTCTTAACTGTTCTATATTATATATACATGTATACTTAATGAAGCTTGGTGTGGGATTACTAGCTAATTACTGTATTGTGAGACTATTTTAGGATGAAATGTGGGATGTGGGATGTTTGATTTCTGGTCATTGGTTCCTTTGTTTTTGCTAATTGGAGCATGAAATGTGTGATTTCTTTGGGGTGGGATGTGGGATGTGGGATTGTCTGGGCTGTAGAATGAAATTTATATCTACTCCCGTCGACTTACTTGTAGGCAGCCACGGCCACAGGCTGGGACAGGAGGTCGTTTCTCGTCTCCCTTCCACCAAAACCGCCACCTGTAAGTACAGTAAATTGATTAATACGTTTGGGTGTTTCGGATGGTGAACATAATGCATTACGAAGAACCATCAGTTTACCATGGCTCCTTATATACAAGGTTAAACGTACATGTACGAAATGTCAAGTCCTTGATAATAGACACACATCTGTACGAAACGACAAGCAAATCCGCCATAAGGGCCCTAACATCTGTGTGAAACAAACTAGTGCTTGATAACGGTACTGACATATCCACCAAACGCGAAGCAAGTGCTTAGAGCATGTCCCTGGGTGATGGGAATGAGGCGCTATAAAAGTACTCTTATTATTATTATTATTATTACTAAAATCTGAAACCAAACCTCTAGCAGGTGCTTAGATAACCGCACGAACATTTGTAACTAAACCCCTACTAAGTGCTTGATAACGGTACAAACATCTGTAACTAAACCTCTTGCAAGTGTTGATAACGGTACAAACATCTTTAATCAAACCTCTAGCAAGTGTTGATAACGGTACAAACATCTGTAACTAAATCTCTTGCAAGTGCTTGATAACGTAACAAAACATCTGTAACTAAACAGCTAGCAAGTGTTTATAACGGTACAAACATCTGTAACTAAACCTCTTGCAAGTGTTGATAACGGTACAAACATCTGTAATCAAACTTCTAGCAAGAGTTAATAACGGTTCAAACATCTGTAACTAAACCTCTTGCAAGTGCTTGATAACGGTACAAACATCTGTAACTAAACATCTAGCAAGTGTTGATAACGGTACAAACATCTGTAACTAAATCTCTTCAAAGTGCTTGATAACGGTACAAACATCTGTAACTAAACATCTAGCAAGTGTTGATAACGGTACAAACATCTGTAACTAAACCTCTTGCAAGTGCTTGATAACGGTACAAACATCTGTAACTAAACATCTAGCAAGTGCTTGATAACGGTACAAACATCTGTAACTAAACCTCTAGCAAGTGTTGATAACGGTACAAACATCTGTAATCAAACTTCTAGCAAGTGTTAATAACGGTTCAAACATCTGTAACTAAACCTCTTGCAAGTGTTGATAACGGTACAAACATCTGTAATCAAACTTCTAGCAAGTGTTGATAACGGTACAAACATCTGTAACTAAACCTCTTGCAAGTGCTTGATAACGGTACAAACATCTGTAACTAAACATCTAGCAAGTGTTAATAACGGTTCAAACATCTGTAACTAAACCTCTTGCAAGTGTTGATAACGGTACAAACATCTGTAACTAAACCTCTAGCAAGTGTTGATAACGGTACAAACATCTGTAACTAAACCTCTAGCAAGTGTTGATAACGGTACAAACATCTGTAACTAAACCTCTTGCAAGTGCTTGATAACGGTACAAACATCTGTAACTAAACATCTAGCAAGTGTTAATAACGGTACAAACATCTGTAACTAAACCTCTTGCACGTGTTGATAACGGTACAAACATCTGAACTAAACCTCTTGCAAGTGCTTGATAACGGTACAAACATCTGTAACTAAACCTCTTGCAAGTGTTGATAACGGGACAAACATCTGTAACTAAACATCTAGCAAGTGTTAATAACGGTACAAACATCTGTAACTAAACCTCTTGCAAGTGTTGATAACGGTACCAAATCTGTAACTAAACCTCTTGCAAGTGTTAATAACCGTACAAACATCTGTAACTAAACCTCTTGCAAGTGCTTGATAACGGTACTAACATCTGTAACTAAACCTCTTGCAAGTGTTGATAAAGGTCCTAACATCTGTAACTAAACCTCTAGCAAGTGTTGATTACGGGACAAACATCTGTAACTAAACCTCTTGCAAGTGCTTGATAACGATACTAAAATCTGAAACCAAACCTCTAGCAGGTGCTTAGATAACCGCACGAACATTTGTAACTAAACGCCCTACTAAGTACTTGATAACGGTACAAACATCTGTAACTAAACCTATTGCAAGTGTTGATAACGGTACAAACATCTGTAACTAAACCTCTAGCAAGTGTCAATAACGGTACAAACATCTGTAATTAAACCTCTTGCAAGTGTTGATAACGGTACTAACATCTGTAACTAAACCTCTTGCAAGTGCTTGATAACGGTACAAACATCTGTAACTAAACCTATTGCAAGTTTTGATAACGGTACAAACATCTGTAACTAAACCTCTAGCAAGTGTTGATAACGGTACAAACATCCGTAACTAAACCTCTAGCAAGTGCTTGATAACGGTACAAACATCTGAAACTAAACCTCTTGCAAGTGCTTGATAACGGTACAAACATCTGTAACTAAACATCTAGCAAGTGTTTATAACGGTACAAACATCTGTAACTAAACCTCTTGCAAGTGTTGATAACGGTACAAACATCTGTAACTAAACATCTAGCAAGTGTTGATAACGGTACAAACATCTGTAACTAAACCTCTTGCAAGTGCTTGATGATGGTACTATCATCTGCAACTAAACATCTAGCTAGTGTTGATAACGGTACAAACATCTGTAACTAAACCTCTTGCAAGTGCTTGATAACGGTACTAACATCTGTAACTAAACCTCTAGCAAGTGTTGATAACGGTACAAACATCTGTAACTAAACCTCTTGCAAGTGTTGATAACTGTACAAACATCTGTAACTAAACCTCTAGCAAGTGCTTGATAACGGTACAGACATCTTTTACTAAACCTCTAGCAAGTGCTTGATAACGGTACTAACATGTGTAACTAAACCTCTAGCAAGTGCTTGATAACGGTTCAAACATCTGTAACTAAACCTCTAGCAAGTGCTTGGATAACTGCACAAAAATCTCTAACTAAACGTCAGTTGTATGTGCGTGATAAAGGTTCTAGCATCTACAGAGAATTTTCAAGCCAAAGCTTTGTAAAGACACGGGCATGAATACATTCCGACTGCAATGTTCAACGAGTTTTCTTACAACTGTCGTTGGTTGTACCAAATGATAGATCAAAGCCCACATATAACTTACCCAGTCTCTTGACATGACACACCACGCGGTTGAGAGGAATACCAAGTACCCGAGCTATACTATTCTGCAAAAAGGATAATAAGAGCGCATGTCAATAACAGGATGCTAATTGCTCACAAGATATGATAATCGCCCAAAGAAGATTACTTTTGTATTCTCAGTTTCCAGGGGAGTATACAATCGTTTGTGTTGTTTGTATGTTGTTAAACGCTGCACTCACCAATAATCTAGCTATGTGGCGGCGGTCTGTAAATAATTGAGTCTGGACCAGACAGTCCAGTGATAAACAGTATGAGCATCGATCTACGCTTTTGGGATACGATGACATGTGTCAACCAAGTCAGCGAGCCTGGCCAACCATTCCGTTAGCCGCCTCTTACCACAAGCATGGGTTGCTGAGGGCCAATTCTAACCCGGATCTTCACGGTCGTGTGGGGCGGGGATTGTATACATGCAACGTTGGGCATTATATATACGATCGCAGATACAATTGAAACACCCCAGTTGTATGATATCTGAATGTCATAACAGCAATACACCAAATACACTTTACTATATGGATGCATTCTGGACACGCAGTGTTGGTCTTCCAAGGTAATTGGGGCGGTGGGGTAGCCTAATTGTTAAAGCGTCCAGTCGTCGTGCTGAAGACCCTTGTCCGATTCCCCATATGGGTACAATCTGGTGTCCCTCGCCGTGATATTGCTGGAATATTGGTAAAAGCAGCGTAACATCATACTCACTTACTCAAAGACAATGATATATACCTGTGCCATCGAAGGATTTTGTGTCGTGCAGTAGAGGTCCACCTCGTTGTGTTCTGCTCTTGGCTTTACCAGAACACCATGACTTTCCATGTAGAAGTGTTCACGGGCGTCGATGTCCACGTGACCTTCAATGACGTCATCAGACGCAGCGAAACCGGCTTCAACGTCACCGAAGACGATGGCTGGTGTGGCTGGTTTCTCGGTGAAGAACGCCTTCTCCCGTATGGCGTCCTGGAACACCAGGTTTTCATGATGAATTGGTATGTGTTAACTTTGTTGATGCAATGATTGCAGGGCTTGCAAATGTATGATACAAGAACCATATTCATATTAACAATTGTTGAGTGCATCAATGATGTTAATATTTTCTAGTCTGCCAAAATTCGTTGTCCAACGGGACAGTCTTACAGCGGAGTGAGAGACAGAAGTCTGAATCAAGAAGGCCAGACGCCGTTGTTGCCTCTTCAGTCTATATTTGCATAACAGTGCACCCTGGTTATAATGCCCCTGGTTATAATGCCACCCTGGATATAATGTCATGTTTTTGCCCGAATTGATGTCCTAGCCTTACAATACACTGGTTATAACACCGAACTGAATATGATGCCATTTGCCAATGGCGTTTGGAACAAAAGTAATTTCTCCCTGGTTATTATGCCAATTACACAATTTCTCCTGGACAAACGGTGGCATTTTAACCAGGGTATACTGCGTAACTGGTAATGTAATACCAACAACCCTCAGAAATAGGTTCTATAGAACGAAGCACAGGCCCTTATTAACACGCACCTACGGCACAGAACTATATATATATATATAGCTAGTACCTCAATAGAAAGAATGGCAGGTAGATCCTCGTATGTCACCGTCACGTGTCTTGCTGCTTCCTGCGCCACCTGTCGATCTTCGGCAAGAACAAGGCCGATAATCTGACCACAACACTTCACCTGAAGAATTACTCAAGTTATTAATGAAATAGTCTCAGAAATTTAATTACTAGTATATAATAACGGACGCATCAAGAATCATGCCACTTCAGAACCCTAAATGTATCATCCTCATATGTCTACATTATATTCCGAATAAGGTTGCGTTTGAGCATTGACTACATCATTTGAGTGAGTGAGTGGGAGGTCTTCCGAGTTTTTTACAAAACTAGGAACGGTTCTATACTGATAAACAGCGTTCGAAATTAACGTCGGTCCTTTGGCCCTAAGACGACTGAAAACCACCGGACCCACAGCTTTTGTGTTCTGCGGGTCCTTATGGCATGGTTTGCTGGGAATTACTTATATTGTAGCTAAAATATAGGGCCCACACATTCTGATCAGGACACACAACTTACTGGTCCCGGGTCCTTAGAGCCTGCAGCTTTTCGGGGTTAAGGGCAAACACTGCTGATAAATGGAACTTCTTTGTAAGATTGAACAAAAATAGAATGATAGCCTTAAGTTTCTTAACTAACCTCTGTTTCAGCAAATGCCTGTTCACAGTGTATAGCACATCCCCACAGGTTCTTCCCTGGCACATCCTGGTGATCCACATATCCCGTTACCCCGGGCAACGCAATAGCTTCAGTCACGTCCACGTCCTTGATTCGAGCGTGTGGTCGCGTGCTCAGCACAAGTCCAGCATACAGTTCACCTACAATGTATGCACACTCTTGTATCGTACGTATAAGTGAGTTTGGTTAAAAGGCTTTTAACAGTATTCCTGTTATGTGATGGAAAGTCAGCTTAATTTTGGAGGAAAGACGTTTAGAAATTGTGTGAAACTCTCGTGTACTGGCGTTGAGATGGCTTTGACCTAACATGAACAGGGATTTAATCAACGATCGTAGGTTACTGGCGTGCCCAAGGGACGTAACTCAAAACAGCAAAATCACTGAGACAAGCAGCCCAATCAAGACCCCGTATGACACATATAAGCATACAAGTATCATAATGATCAGATAATATAACTTGATGGTACGACATATGGAAAATCATGTATGGGGGTTACGTTCTACGAAGCAAATATTGGCACCAGGATCAGAGCATTAAATACGTAGCACGAAGGTAAAACGTGTTGCCATAGCTACCTTCAGATCGCGGCATATCGTCCAGGTACACAGCCTCTCCACACGTCATCTGTAGGGCACTGGAGTGTGGGATAGGACGACGTATGGCATCTTCCGGAGGTTGATCTGGACCGACAGTGTCAAACACTCGGGTACTCTCGTAGTCCACAGTAGACAGCGCAGAGGGACCGTTCGGGGCAGTCTTCAGAGAAATGAAACAAGGTGATTATGTATTCGGGCACGATTTTAAAGGACAAAGAATTCTCGGTACAGTCAAGAGTGAAAACAGGTCGACAGTAGTGGCCATGAGTCGGATACGGACTGTACTGATTTTGAGTGAGTGTGCGTGTGTGTGTGTGTGCGTGCGTGCATGCGTGCGTGTGTGTGTGTTAATATCGTATGTTTAGCGCTGAAATCACCACCAATGCTCCCCACTGCATTCAGCTAAGTGCCTAGTTTACCTTTCCATTGACTTCCTCTTCTACCGCAAACATGAATTTGAAAACCTGGGCCATAGCGACATGCCGGGCGTCTACCGTGATGGTCGTCCTGTTATTAAGGATTTTACCAAGGGAGGTAAGAACGGCTGGCACCAGTGACAGAGACCAGCTCCTGTGAAAAAGAGAAGCACAAGTCAGGTATTTGAGACATGGAACTACTAGCCGACATCAGATGCCATGGCTAGTTGCCAGGAATAAACATGAACTAGTCAGACAATCATCGACATCCCACAAATACAATTCGCGTAAAAGGTAATTCACATGAATATATTCTGAGATGTAAGAGACATGCACGTGACAGGAAAATATTCATTAGAAAATGGTCGGAAAGATGGCATCAAATAGAATTTAGATGTTCAGAGATCTTAGATTCCAGCGTTGAACCAAAGATAAGTTCCAACATTTGTCAGTTGCAAATATATCACTTTTGTCTTTTCAGTATCATATTCAGGCTATTTCGTGTTAAAGGTCTCCGAGAAGGTGCTCTGTGGCTAAGCAATAATATCACTTCTCATACTCACTTTCCTGCCATTTCCTGCTGAAGATCTTGAATTTTCACAACCGGCTGGAAACATTTCCCGCCAAAAGTGAAATGAATGTCCTCGATAACATCACTTGAAATTGGTTGAAATGACATCGCCGTTACAGCATTAACGTATGACGTGTCAAACCCTCGGCGCACTGGCTGCTTGTAGAACATCACGTGATCACCCTGTCACCACAAAAATAAATCAATTTACGAAGAAATTTGATAACGCTGAAACTAAATAAGGAATACGTGTGATGTGAAAACAAAACCATAACTCTTACATCAACACTCACCTGTTTCGTGAAGGGCAAGGTGACATAGAGGAGGACGTCAGTGGGGTCAAGGCCTTTTAAGGGCGGCGTAGACTTCATCAAGTCACGGTAAGGCAGAGTGCGTTCACCTTTGACTGGGAAATAAAACTATAGCTGTAATGCAATACACTCATCTATTTAACACAAAGTTAAGGTTAAATGTATTATTTATTTATATTTATCATCAATCCTAATTGAAGACGCATTTTAGAACATGTCCTTGGATACCGAAAATTTCACATTGAAAAATAATGCAATTCTATATAGACAGCTGAAATGCACACAAAATCTACCTTTTGCCACCGTTTTGTAGGTGACAGCACTGCGTGTGTTAACTGCCAGAATTATGCTTACCTGCGTTGTCGACGTGGAGCATGGCGTCGAGAGCCAGGAAGACTGGTTGGAGATCGGAAACAGTGGCCGAGTTGAGAAGATTGCCCCCAATACTCTGTAATGAACGGTGATGTATTAAGTACTTTCTGTCATCACCAACCACCACCGACAAAGTTATCATCCTTCCAGTTTTAATTTTTCTGTTTATATCCCTGTTTAAGTAAGGGAACATGTTATCACGTTATAACTTGAGATTTCTAATTTAAAAGCACATACAATACAGAATTAGCATCTTAGCAAGATAAAGAAAATATCTGGTACTTTTCAAGACTTCAATGCCGTATTGTATCTATCAGAAACACTTATGCTACCCACCGCCACGTTCCTGACTTGTCCTGCAGCCACCCAGCGGAGAGCATCCTCAAGAACCCTCACAGACCGGGTCTTCCAACCTACAAGACACGTGTAGTGACAATGTAACGGCTAGTGGTTGCGAAGATCTCACGGGCATATCTTTACATAAATGGTCTCTTGGTTGAAATGACCTTTAATAGTCCCAAGTGACATGACCCCCTATATCTTCCGGATTGCAATGGCCACCTAATGTTTACCTCACAAGGCCTATATAATCAGCATCACTTACATGCCGTCTTATCTGGTCCGACCGCCGCCATATACCTGGAATATTGCTGAGAGCGGCGTAAAACTAAACTCACTCACTCACTCCTATGTGGTCCTTATCAAGATGCCATCCGTTATAATCCCCGGCGACGCGACCTCCTGTATAATCCCCGATGACATGACCTTCTGTATAATCCCCGGTGACATGACCTTCTGTATAATCCCCGGTCACATGACATCTTGTATAATCCCCGGTGACATGACCTCTTGTATAATACCCGGTGATAATTCTGTATTGTATGTGCTTTGAAATTAGAAATCTCAAGTTATAACGTGATAATATGTTCCCTTACTTGGGGATATAAACAGAAAAATGAAAACTTGAAGGATGATAACTTTGTCGGTGGTGGTTGGTGATGGCAGAAAGTACTTAATACATCACCGTTCATTACAGAGTATTGGGGGCAATCTTCTCAACTCGGCCACTGTTTCTGATCTCCAACCAGTCTTCCTGGCTCTCGACGCCATGCTCCACGTCGACAACGCAGGTAAGAATAATTCTGGTAGTTTACACACGCAGTGCTGTCACCTACACAACGGTGGCAAAGAGCAGAGTTTGTGTCTGTGCATTTCAGATGTCTATACAGAAATGGATTACATTTTCAATGTGAGATGTTTGGTATTCAAGGACATGTTTTAAATGCGTCTTCAATTAGCATTGATGATGCGTATAAATATATAATACAATTAACGATAACTTTGCGTTTCAATAGATGAGTGTATTGTATTACAGCTATAGTTTTATTTCCCAGTCAAAGGTGAACGCACTCTGCCTTACCGTGACGTGATAAAGTCTATGCCTCCCTTAAAAGGCCTTGACCCCACTGACGTCCTCATCTACGTCACCTTGCCCTTCACGAAACAGGTGCGTGTTTATGAAGAGTAATGGTTTTGTTTTCACATCACACGTATTCCTTATTTAGTTTCAGCGTTATCACGTGTCGTAACTTGATTCATGTTTGTGGTGACAGGGTGATCACGTGATGTTCTACAAGCAGCCAGAACGCCGAGGGTTCGATACGTCATACGTAAATGCTGTAACAGTGATGTCATTTCAACCAGGAAGTGATGTCATCGAGGACATTCATTTCACTTTTGGCGGGAAATGTTTCCAGCCGGTTGTGAAAATTCAAGCTCTTCAGCAGGAAATGGCAGGAAAGTGAGTATGATAAGTGATGCCATCATCAGGCCAAAGAGCAGCTTCTCATTGACTTATTCCACGGAATAGCCTGAACATGGTCAAGGAAAAGATGATTATATTTGTAAATGAGAAATTTTGAACTGATCTTTGGTTCATCACTGGAATCATACATCACTGAACACCTCCGTTTAGATGGAATCTGATGTAACCGCTCTAAATTATATCCGCCTTTTGTGAATTTCTTCCTGTCACGTACATGTATTTGACTTCAAGAGAATTGTATTTGATGTCAGTGATAATATTTATGAGATGTCGATGATTATAACCATGTCTAACGTCAGTATATTTAGCTGGCATCTGACATCAATTGTTATCTCCACGTTGCTAATATGTGAATTCTGCTTCTCACTTTCTCAGATGCTGGTCTCTATCACTGGTGACCACCGTTCTTAAATCCATTGGCAATCTCCTCGACAACAGGACGACCGTCACTAAAGACGCCCGGCATGTCGCTATGGCACAAGCTTTCAAGTTCATGTTTGCTATAGAAGAGACCATCAGTGGAAAGGTAGACAAGTGGTATACGCGACCGCGAATGCGAATGCAGCAGTTATTTAAACAGGAACGGTCTGTAAGATAATATGTTGCACAGACAAGACAGTTTCTGAAAGATTGATCAACGATCAACGACACTGGGGCATCATAAATACAGGCAATCAACTAAGTCACAAAGCCTGGCCACCCGATCCCATTCGGTCACCTCTCACGATCAGAATACCGAGGTGGTTTAATCTGTTACAGCAGTTTAATCTGTTACAGCGGTCTCATCTGTTACAGCAGTTTCATCTGTAACAGTGGCTTAATCTGTTACAGTGGTTTCATCTGTTACAGTAGTTTCATTTGTAACAGCGATTTCATCTGTTACAGCGGTTTCATCTGTAACAGTGGTTTCATCTGTAACAGTAGTTTCATTTGTAACAGCGATTTCATCTGTTACAGCGGTTTCATCTGTTACAGCGGTTTCATCTACAACCACGGATATCAGAATCAAACTGTAGGATGTTGCTGTTCATTTAATCCTCTCTCTACACTGTACCAACAGCACTTTCTCTGCTAACAGATTACCAGAGTTCAAGGTCATTTTGTATCCTTTCTCTGTCCTCAATGGCCCCTCTGCCATGTCTAAAGTCAACCTGCTGGCCTTATAGACTGTACTGAGAGTTTTATCTCCATATTCTCCACCAGAGAGAAAGTGTCAGAGTACTTAGTCGCCCTGTTTCTTTTCACCGAAGACTGACCCCAACGGCCCCTCTGCCCTGTCTACTGTGGACTACGAGAGTACCCGAGTGTTTGACCCTGTCGGTCCAGATCAACCTCCGGAAGATGCCATACGTCGTCCTATCCCACACTCCAGTGCCCTACAGATGACGTGTGGAGAGGCTGTGTACCTGGACGACATGCCGCGATCTGAAGGTAGCTATGGCAACACATTTTACGTCCTTGTTCCGTCCTAGGGTCCGTTTGACAGATTGATCGTAGCATTAGATTGTTTCATTAAATGGGCATTGACACAGAAATTTAAATTTGTCCTACCATAACGCTATATATATGATGTACGCTGTAGGTGAACTGTATGCTGGACTTGTGCTGAGCACGCGACCACACGCTCGAATCAAGGACGTGGACGTGACCAAAGCTATTGCGTTGCCCGGGGTAACGGGATATGTGGATCACCAGGATGTGCCAGGGAAGAACCTGTGGGGATGTGCTATACAGGATGAACAGGCATTTGCTGAAACAGAGGTTAGTTAACAAAAGTTATCTTTCAATCATAATTATTCAAAACCGCTTGCCAGAAGGGAAAGGTTACTAGTCAATGAACCTTGTTGACAGACAGCTGATACAGATTTAGAACAAATTCATTCTGTATAATACTTTCTTTTTGTTTTTGTACTGTATAGTACTGATAGACTGTAGCCAACTTCAGATAAAAGTGAAACTCAGGCGCTCGTTCGCTCGCTCACTCACTCAATGCACCCAAAGGCCCCCTTATCAGCAATATGTGTAATAGAGTGTTCTGAAATGGCATGATACAAAATGACTCAGGCTCTATGTCAGTCGTACAGTGACATTTCAGAAACTCTTTCATTTACACTATTCGTGTAATTCTTCAGGTGAAGTGTTGTGGTCAGATTATCGGCCTTGTGCTTGCCGAAGATCGCCAGGTGGCGCAGGAAGCAGCAAGACACGTGACGGTGACATACGAGGATCTACCTGCCATTCTTTCTATTGAGGTACGGTATTGGTTCTGTGTCGGCAACTGAGTTTAGGTTATAATGGAGAGGAGATTTAAACTACCGGCACAATGGAGAGGAGACCTGATTTAAGCTACTGGCACTGCCAATTTGCTCTAGCCTTCTCCGTCCAGGGTCAACACAAAATGCTGGCACTCTGGTATTAACTTGACTGACACACTCAACAATTATCCATTTGCCTCCTTGTTTATTTAATCATCATCTTTCTCACCTGGTGTTCCAGGACGCCATACGAGAGAAGGCGTTTTATACTGAGGAACTGGCCAAAGCCAGCCATTGTCTTCGGTGACGTTGAAGCCGGTTTCGCTGCGTCTGATGACGTTATTGTGGGTCACGTGGACATCGACGCCCGTGAACACTTCTACATGGAGAGGCAGGGTGTTCTGGTAACGCCAAGAGCAGAGCACAACGAGGTGGACCTCTACTGTACAGCACAAGATCCTTCCTCGGCGCAGGTGTGTTGCTTTTGTCTAATATAATTGTGTGTCAGCTGATTGTCTTTGTAGGCCAACAGCGTATGTTTAGATTATACATCCACAGGGTTATGAGTATTTATTGTACACCTATTATCATAGTCAGATATATGACTGAGCTACATAAAATAATGAATGTCTCTGGTCTTATATATATAGTGACCAGATAGGGTGTATACTTCCCATGGAGTTGAGAATTCAAAATCAATTATCCATGAACTGCCGACTTGGCTAATAATTAGGAGCGCCGTGAGCATAGCTTGTCTCGATGTTTTTCTTGTTCAATATGAATGTATAATGTTGGTATATTAAGTAAATAATATTGATCACTGGACTTGTATCAGTTAGCATCCCATTGTTGATACATGTTCCGATCCTAACTATCATTTACAGAATAGTGTAGCTGAGGTCCTGGGTATTCCTCTCAACCGCGTGGTGTGTCATGTCAAGAGATTGGGTGAGTTGCTTTCTGTACAAAACAGCAGGGGTCACACAGACTCACTGTTTTAGTTTGACATCGTATACCCCGGGAAATAACATGAAAAATAATATTTACTATGCTAGCACTTGCTTGACATTTCGATATAGTTGCAAGTGCCTTTATCAAGCACTTTCTTGACCTTTTCGTGTAGATCCTGGTCCATTAAATTAGCACGTGCTTGATGTTAGTCACATGTTAGTTGGTCCCGTGAAGTTCCGGGTTAGAATTGATCTTCAGCAACACATGCTTGTCGTATGAGGCGGCAAACGGGATCGGGTGGTCAGGCTCGCTGACTTGGTTGACATATGTCATCGTATCCCAATTGCGTTGATCGATGCTCATTATGTTGATCACTTTATTGTCTTCATCATTTACAGACCGCCGCCATATAGCTGGAATGTTGCTGATACATACTGGTGTTTCTGTAGTGAGGTGAAATTGGGTTTTACGTCGTGTTTGAGAATATTTCGCTCATATGACGACGTGCATGCATGTGTATGTGTATGTGCGGCTGCTTGTACTAGCCCAGACTTAAGCTGGTTTTATAGTGCTAGCCCACTGAGATACCATGCCGCAGTGAAGCATGAATACCCCACTCAGACACATTATACTGACTCCGAACCGACCAGTCCCTATTGTAATTCATTAATGCCGAGCGCCAGACAGGGACCAACAAGTACCAAATTTTAACGTCTTTTGGTATGACGCGGTCGGGGATCGAACCAGCGACCTTCCACTCTCCGGGAGGGAGGCTCTAACCACTACACCACGGAGGCGGTGTTTCTGTGAGGTTTAGCGGATACGTATTAGTGTTAAAGGTTGATGTATTTTTATGTTTCTTCACATTGCTTCACTTACAGGTGGTGCTTTCGGTGGAAGGGAGACAAGAATCAACCTCCTTTGTCAACCTGTGGCCGTAGCTGCCTACAAGTAAGTTTATGCATCACAGACTCAACCTTATTTGTGAGTTGGGTTTTACGCCGCTTTTAGCAATATTCCAGCAATATTCCAGTAATATCACAGCGGGGTACACCAGAAATTGGTAAAACCCAATTTCACCTCACCTTACATATGAAACGAGAATAACAGAAACTATTTTGCCTGAAACATTTGATTTCAGCAGTGGTGTCGCAGGGACTGACTGACTGACTGAGTTTGGTTTTACGCCGCTTTTAGCAATATTCCAGCAATATCACGGCGGGGGACACCAGAAATGGGCTTCACTCATTGTACCCATGTGGGGATTCGAACCCGGGTCGTCGGCGTGAAGAGCCAACGCTTTAACCACTAGGCTACCCCACCGCCCCGGTCTCGCAGCGGAGACGTTCAGAACGAACCTCTTGAACCCATGTTGGGAATCGAGACCGAGTCTCAGTATGACAAGGTTTAACAAACATATACTTTGCACTGAAAGTTTTGTCATGACGTCGTGTACACGATGTGTTGTCGCTGTTGCAGGTACCGGCGGCCGGTGAGATGTGTGCTGGACCGGAGAACGGACATGACCATCTCGGGGAAGGGGCCCAGGTTTCACGCCAAGTACAAAGTAAGGACATCAACATCTAATACTGTAGATCGCGTTTGGGTCACAAGCTGAAACTTCAACTACTTGAGATGAAAGAGTTCCAGTGTGTGCTTGAAAGGCTGATAAGACCTTCGTGAACTGAATGGCCAGGGTCTTACGCCGTTTTTAGCATTATAATACATTATTGTAATGCATTGTTCAACTTAGCCAAATACCCTATGTCTACTCAAAGAGTAAAGGACATGTTCACTGTAACTCGTAAATATTTTATATATTTAATATTTGTACAACGGGTCATGTGGCCTTCTCTACAAATAAAGAATCTTGAAAAATTTTTGCTGCAACCTTCTGAAAACTTGTCAGTTGTGTGGCCTTAAGGAAGGAACACACTTGTGGACATTTGCTTAATATCTGCGTCACACAGTCATGTGTCTGGTGTTTCTTCAGGTCGGCTACACCAAAGACGGCCGGATCCAGAGCGTTGCCATGGACGTGTACGTCGACGCTGGCCATTCTGCTGACATAGCCTTTGGCGTGAGTATATATATTTTCTCGCAGAATATACAAGATCAATCCCTACGACAATAGTGTTCGACATCATAATCACATGTCTACCCTAGTTACGTTTCATATGTTCACAGGTTCTGCAGTTGAGTGTGTTGAACTTCGAGTCAGCGTACCGTTACCCCAACTGCCGCATAACGGGGTACCTGTGTAAGACGAACACTCCACCTAATACAGCCCTCAGAGGGTTCGGTCTGCCTGACAGTTTCTTGGTGTCGGAGGTGATAATGACAAAAGGTTGCCAGCAGACTCCAACACCAACACAAACTTCAACACCAACACCAACACCAACACCAACACCAACACCAACACCAGCAATTCAACACCAACACCAACACAACCAACACAACCAACACCAACACCAGCACCAACACCAGCACCAACACCAACACCAACACCAACACCAACACCAGTACAACACCACACAACCACCAACACCAACACCAACACCAACACAACCAACACAACCAACACAACCAACACCAACACCAGCACCAACACCAGCACCAACACCAACACCAACACCAACACAACCAACACCAACACCAACACCAACACCAACACCAACACCAACCACCATCACCAACACCAACACCAACACCAACACCAACACCAACACAACCAACACCAACACCAACACCAACACAACCAACACCAACACAACCAACACCAACACCAACACAACCAACACCAACACAACCAACACCAAAACCAATACCAACACAACCAACACCAACACAACCAACACCAACACCAACACAACCAACGCCAATGCCAACGCCAACACGTCTGGTGTTTCTTCAGGTCGGCTACACCAAAGACGGCCGGATCCAGAGCGTTGCCATGGACATGTACGTCGACGCTGGCCATTCTGCTGACATAGCCTTTGGCGTGAGTATATATATTTTCTCGCAGAATATACAAGATCAATCCCTACGACAATAGTGTTCGACATCATAATCACATGTCTACCCTAGTTACGTTTCATATGTTCACAGGTTCTGCAGTTGAGTGTGTTGAACTTCGAGTCAGCGTACCGTTACCCCAACTGCCGTATAACGGGGCTACCTGTGTAAGACGAACACTCCACCTAATACAGCCCTCAGAGGGTTCGGTCTGCCTGACAGTTTCCTGGTGTCGGAGGTGATAATGACAAAGGTTGCCAGCAGGCTCAACATGGCTGAAGCCAAGGTATATATTGAATATAATAATTCCTTGTTGGACTTGGTGACCTGGATTAATCCTTCCACAATACCCTCACCCATTCAGTATTTGGCATTTACACCTTATGCTGACATGCCTATGATAGGTTTCGTTTTGGCAATACAATATATTGTCGTATATGTTTGTTTTGTTGGTTTGTTGTTTAACGCCGTACTCAGCAATGTTCCAACTATATGGTGGCGGTCTGTTAATAATCGAGTCTGGACCAGACAATGTTAGATGACATGTCAATAGAGCATACGCACTCGCAGACACATCCACACCCACACCAACACCCACACCCACCACACCCACACCCACACCCGAACCAACGAACCCGAACCGCACCTTTGAACTCGAACCCACACCAAACCAACACCAACACCAACACCAACACCCGCACCCGCACCCACACCCGATCCTAGTATCGGATATCTATGTAGAATGCTGTTGGCAGGTGCGTGAGATGAACATGTTGAGAGAGGGTGACGTCATGGTGACGACGATGTTGCTGGACAACTGCACGCTGTCTCGGTGTTGGCGTCAGTGTCTGGAGGAAAGTCAGTATGAAGTCCGGAATACAAGGGCGAAGGAGTTTAACAGGTGAGTCAGGTGCAACAGTTTTACAGGTATGCCACATGTGCGAATTTAGCAGTTGAATCAGATGAAGGGGTTTAATTTACCAGATGAGCCATGTGCAAGAGCTATCAAAGTATTTTCTGATAGGTTCAAGCTCAACAGTTTTACAGGTATGCCACGTGTATAGATTTAGCAGGTGAATCAGATGAAGGGGTTTACCAGGTGGGCCATGTACAAGAGCTATCTACGTATTTCCTGATAGGGTCAGGTGCAACAGTTTCACAGGTATGTCATGTGCAACTATCCCGATATGACCGTTACACATATTGAACATGCGAGAAAGGTACAACAGTTTACTAGGTATGAGTGTAGGATGGCATAAGCTTATAAACACCTCTGTAGGGTTTATAAACATACCAGCCACGACGAGTGGACTGCGTCTTCTCTTATGTTTATATTTTCTGTGTACAGGAAAACAAACGAATCATTCGGAAGTACTTCGCTTATTTCTGGTATTATACATATGTCAATGACTTTGCAATTCACGTATATTCTGTATCTGTTGTATTGACTTGAACCTCAGTGTTGACATACTACAGACACAATCGTTGGAAGAAACGTGGCTTTGCGATGGTTCCCTATCGCTTTGGCGTCGGCTTCAAAGACAGATTTCTTTGTAAGGTACGTGTACATTTTCGTTATCTTCAAAATATTTGAGTTAGCTGCAGAATCACTGCAACAAAGCCATCGGAAAGTTTAATCCGTTCCTGTTAGATGTCCATTATTTCCTCAACCGTTCTTCCAAATGTTTGTACGGGAACATGTTGGTATGTAGGCAGGTGCTCTGGTGCACGTGTACGTGGACGGCTCGGTGCTGCTGACCCAGGGAGGGACGGAGATGGGCCAGGGACTCTACATCAAGATGATACAGGTGATGCTAAAACCAGTGACTGTTCTGATACTCCCTAACATCTTTAACGACTATAGTAATTGGACAGTAGGTCCGAACAAACCCAAACATTCGCACGAACGCACCACTTCAAAAGAGGTGGATAGCCGTGCGTGAACCACGTGCAGAATTGCGCAATAGCTTGCGACAGTGTACATTGTCACTGAACTAGGCAGGAGTTCGTTTTGTTTTTCGATAGAGCAGCCACGCTGTCGGCGACTGTCTCTTATAGTGCCAAATCAGGGCATAATTGTAAGAAGTCAAATAAGGACTTCAATTGGACCATATGGTGGTTTCGGTGGTCACATAAGGACCGTGTCGTGTTATGTCAAATTAGGACATATTGCTGTATATAGTACCGTTGAAATATTTCGTTGGTTCATGTTTCTGTAAGTAAAACTATAATGAACTTATTTTTAAGTCTTCCACTGCTGCGTAACAGTAATCGTTGATGGTCTACCAAACCATCTCTGTGTATGTCCTGTGATGTAACAACAGTTACGTTAATACAGTGGTCCGATCATAAACCAGGTGGCGTCACATGTCCTTGGAATACCAGCTAGCACCATCCACATCGCCGAGACGAGCACCAACACTGTTCCCAATACATCGTCGACGGGAGCCAGTGTCAGTACAGATCTAAACGGCATGGCGGTGAAAGTAGGTGTCTCACAGTTAAAGTGTAACACATTGCTTCAACATTCCGTCAGTACAAACTTGACTCACGTGACTTAGTAGCTCTTACGTTCTCTCCTATCAATGGTGATATAGTATGACCAGAAATTATTGAGAATTTTAGGAATATGTTTAATTGGATTTCTAGTATAAACAACCTTGACCAGCTATCAAGTGCTTGGTTTCATTCAAGAGAGACAACTCCGTTAATCCTTTTTCATTAGTTTGTGAAGAGTTATCCCCCTTTGTTTACTTGCTAGCAGACGACATTTGCAGTGATCCTCCGTATGGATAATTTAGAGAAGAGGAAGTTGATTTTAGAGTATTATAACAAGGACATCAGATCAGCTAAAGTGATTTCAAGTAGAACAGGCATCCCTTTGTCCACTGTTTATCGTGTTTTGAAAAATATTGCAAATGGATATGGCATTGAGCACCAGGGAGGCGCAGGTAGGCCCAGAAAATTGACTGTCGATGACAGGAGGCGGCTTGGTATTCTTGTTTCTAAAAACAAACGAAGGAGTTTAGAAAACTTAAGGCTGGATATGATTGATAGAGGAACTGTGGCTGTCTGTAAGGAGACAATTGGAACTGAGCTGCATGCAATGGGTTGGCAGAAAAGTCGAGGAATTCCATCACCGATCATGAAACCTGAACAAAAGGAGCGAAGGTTGAACTGGTGCTTACAGCATAGAAATTTTAACTGGGACAATGTGATTTTCTCAGATGAAAGTTCTGTGTGGCTGTTTCCTAATACACTTAAAATTCTGGACCCAACAAACTGAAAACCGTTTTATCAGCGCCCAAAGTACAGTCCGAAATTTAACGTGTGGGTGGCAACGCCCCTCTGTGTATTCGAAGGGAATATGAACAGTGAGCGGTACAAAAGATATTCTCGAGGGCCATTTACTTCCATCCGCTCACGTGTTCTATGGAAATTTTGGATTTTCCAGCAAAACAACGACCCAAAACATCGTTCAAAGCATTCACAGGCCTGGTTTCAGACCCAAAATATGACATTATTAGATTGGCCAAACTATAACCCTGACCTAAATCCAATAGAAAATGTTTGGGGACTTATGAAGGAAAGTGTCAATAAGAAAAATCTGACAAATATTGCTGAAATGAAAGAAGAGGTGGTCCGATATTTGGACAGCATGGATCACGACTTTCTAACTTCTTTGATCAGTAGTATGCCCCGCCGCATTGAAGCCTGCATTGCTGCCCATGGTGACTTGACAAAATACTAACTGTTCACCTGTCTCACTAACTGTTCACCTGGAGTTATGTTCTGCTAATATTCACATTAATACGTGGGAACTGAGTGAAAAAACTATAAAAAATTACAATCTTTAAATTCTCAATAATTTCTGGTTGTACTGTACAATGTAAGTTTCAGGCCGACTGTTACTTTAAGGACCCTAAGCCTGGTCAAATACGCGAGAAGTCATGGCAGTCAGCTGGTTTCAGATGCGGGCACAGGTTTCAGAATCATTACTTTATCATTCGCACCTACTGCCTATTATTGTGTACAATTATTGCTTACTGCCTACGCGGTAGATTCAAACAGATCCTCTGATATATGTGACACTCTTCAATACTGAGTTATAAAGAAACCATTGTTTAACGTCTTTGATCACACCATGTCCACTATCAATGTTCTGGTTGTTGCAGGATGCGTGTGAGGAGATAACGCGACGGCTGGAGCCCATCAAGAAGAACAACCCCGACAAGACCTGGAAGGACTGGGTAGGTCACTTCCAGATCTCATCCTTTATGTGAATCTATATCATTTGCCTTGTCCCAGCATCCTGCCTACCAAATCCAAACAGCCGTCACTGTTCTCTGTCCACATATCTGTTTTCAGGTACAGGAGGCTTACATGACCAATGTTAATCTGTCGGCAGCCGGATACTACAGGTAACAGCGTCTGTTCTTCAGGTGTTCTCTGAAAGACCCGGTCCAAATTGGTTATCTTTCACCCCTCATCCCTACACAGACATGCCCTCATTTCAAAATCTAGTTACGGGTCACAGCGTATAGCTAGCGTACTAATCTGAAACGGTTCTTCCAGTTTTTCGTCTTTCGCCTGTAATTATCCTGAATGATAGAAGTTCGTCTAAATATTTGTTTTTTAGTAATCGGTGAGAGTACTTGGATACCGAAGATTAATGGTACAATTACATTATAGATATGAAACTCCATAACATCATCTTGCAATATTGTGGTTGCCAGTTCACGTGAAAAGGGCGGCTACGATTTCAACACCGGCAAAGGCCGTCAATGCGAGTATATGACATATGGCGCAGGGTGTTCCGAGGTGGAAGTGGATTGTCTTACAGGAGAATGTCAGGTGTGTATGTTTGCAGGAGAGCAAAGGGCATGTCCACTTACAGGATAACGTCAGGTATGTCCACTTACAGGGGAAAGTCAGGTATGTCCACTTACAGGGTAACGTCAGGTATGTCCACTTACAGGGTAACGTCAGGTATGTCCACTTACAGGATAACGTCAGGTATGTCCACTTACAGGATAACGTCAGGTATGTCCACTTACAGGATAACGTCAGGTATGTCCACTTACAGGGTAACGTCAGGTATGTCCACTTACAGGGGAAAGTCAGATATGTCCACTTACAGGGTAACGTTATGTATGTCCACTTACAGGGTAACGTCAGGTATGTCCACTTACAGGATAACGTTAGGTATGTCCACTTACAGGGTAATGTCAGATATGTCCACTTACATTATAACGTCAGGTATGTCCACTTACAGGGGAAAGTCACATATGTCCACTTTACAGGATAACGCTAGGTATGTCCACTTACAGGATAATGCTAGGTATGTCCACTTACAGGGTAACGCTAGGTATGTCCACTTACAGGGTAACGTTAGGTATGTCCACTTACAGGGTAACGTCAGGTATGTCAGGTATGTCCACTTACAGGGCAAAGTCAGGCATGTCCACTTACAGGGTAACGTAAGTATGTCCACATAAAGGGGAAAGTCAGGTATGTCCACATACAGGGTAAAGTCAGGTATGTCCACATACAGGGTAACGTCAGGTATGTCCACTTACAGTGTAACGTAAGTATGTCCACATACAGGGCAAAGTCAGGTATGTCCACATACAGGATAACGCCAGGTATGTTCACTTACAGGGTAACGTCAGGTATGTCCACTTACAGGATAACGTCAGGTATGTCCACTTACAGGATAACGTCAGGTATGTCCACGTACAGGGTAACGTCAGGTATGTCCACGTACAGGATAACGTCAGGTATGTCCACGTACAGGATAACGTCAGGTATGTCACTTACAGGATAACACCAGGTATGTCCACTTGCAAGCTACCGTTAGGTATGTCCACTTTACAGGGGAAAGTCAGATATGTCCACTTACAGGGTAACGTTATGTATGTCCACTAACAAGATAACGTCAGGTATGTCCACTTACAGGGTAACGTCAGGTATGTCCACGTACAGGGTAACGTCAGGTATGTCCACTTACAGGATAACATCAGGTATGTCCACTTACAGGGATAACGTTAGGTATGTCCACTTACAGGATAACGTTAGGTATGTCCACATACAGCGCTAGGTATGTCCACTTACAGGATAACGTTAGGTATGTCCACTTACAGGATAACATCAGGTATGTCCAGTCCACTTACAGGGTAACGTCAGGTATGCCCACTTACAGGGGTAACGTTATGTATGTCCACTTAGAGGGTAACGTCAGGTATGTCCACTTACAGGATAACATCAGGTATGTCCACGTACAGGGTAACGTCAGGTATGTCCACTTACAGGATAACGTTAGGTATGTCCACTTACAGGGGAAAGTCAGATATGTCCACTTACAGGATAACGCTAGGTATGTCCACTTACAGGATAACGCTAGGGTATGTCCACTTACAGGGTAACGTTAGGTATGTCCACTTACAGGATAACATCAGGTATGTCCACTTACAGGGTAACGTTAGGTATGTCCACTTACAGGGTAACGTCAGGTATGTCCACTTTACAGGGTAACGTAAGTATGTCCACATAAAGGGAAAAGTCAGGTATGTCCACATACAGGGTAACGTCAGGTATGTCCACTTACAGGGTAACGTCAGGTATGTCCACTTACAGGATAACGTCAGGTATGTCCACTTACAGGATAACGTCAGGTATGTCCACTTACAGGGTAACGTCAGGTATGTCCACGTACAGGATAACGTCAGGTATGTCCACGTACAGGATAACGTCAGGTATGTCCACGTACAGGATAACGTCAGGTATGTCACTTACAGGATAACACCAGGTATGTCCACTTGCAAGCCACCGTTAGGTATGTCCACTTACAGGGGAAAGTCAGATATGTCCACTTACAGGGTAACGTTATGTATGTCCACTAACAAGATAACGTCAGGTATGTCCACTTACAGAGTAACGTCAGGTATGTCCACGTACAGGGTAACGTCAGGTATGTCCACTTACAGGATAACATCAGGTATGTCCACTTACAGGATAACGTTAGGTATGTCCACTTACAGGATAACGTTAGGTATGTCCACATACAGCGTTAGGTATGTCCACTTACAGGATAACGTTAGGTATGTCCACTTACAGGATAACGTCAGGTATGTCCAGTCCACTTACAGGGTAACGTCAGGTATGTCCACTTAGAGGGTAACGTCAGGTATGTCCACTTACAGGATAACATCAGGTATGTCCACGTACAGGGTAACGTCAGGTATGTCCACTTACAGGATAACGTTAGGTATGTCCACTTACAGGGGAAAGTCAGATATGTCCACTTACAGGATAACGCTAGGTATGTCCACTTACAGGATAACGCTAGGTATGTCCACTTACAGGGTAACGTTAGGTATGTCCACTTACAGGATAACATCAGGTATGTCCACTTACAGGGTAACGTTAGGTATGTCCACTTACAGGGGTAACGTCAGGTATGTCCATTTTACAGGGGAAAGTCAGGTATGTCCACTTACAGGGTAACGTCAGGTATGTCCACTTTCAGGATAACGTCAGGTATGTCCACTTACAGGGTAACGTAAGTATGTCCACATAAAGGGAAAAGTCAGGTATGTCCACATACAGGGTAACGTCAGGTATGTCCACTTACAGGGTAACGTAAAAGTATGTCCACATACAGGGGAAAGTCAGGTATGTCCACATACAGGATAACGTCAGGTATGTCCACTTACAGGGTAACGTTAGGTATGTCCACTTACAGGATAACGTCAGGTATGTCCACTTACAGGATAACGTCAGGTATGTCCACTTACAGGGTAACGTCAGGTATGTCCACTTACAGGATAACGTCAGGTATGTCCACTTACAGGATAACGTCAGGTATGTCCACGTACAGGATAACGTCAGGTATGTCACTTACAGGATAACACCAGGTATGTCCACTTGCAGGCTACCGTTAGGTATGTCCACTTACAGGGGAAAGTCAGATATGTCCACTTTACAGGGTAACGTTAGGTATGTCCACTTACAGGATAACGTTAGGTATGTCCACTTTACAGGATAACGTCAGGTATGTCCACTTACAGGATAACGTCAGGGAAGTCCACTTACAGGATAACGTCAGGTATGTCCACGTTCTGGATAACGCCAGGTATGTCCACTTACAGGATAACGTCAGGTATGTCCACTTACAGGATAACGTCAGGTATGTCCACGTACAGGATTACGTTAGGTATGTCCACTTACAGGGTAACGTTCGGTATGTCCACTTACAGGGGAAAGTCAGATATGTCCACTTACAGGATAACGTCAGGTATGTCCACTTACGGAATAACGTCAGGTATGTCCACTTACGGGATAACGTCAGGTATGTCCACTTACAGGGTAACGTCAGGTATGTCCACATACAGGATAACGTCAAGTATGTCCACTTACAGGGTAACGTCAGGTATGTCTACTTACAGGGGAAAGTCAGGTATGTCCACGTACAGGGGAAAGTCAGATATGTCCACATACAGGGGAAAGTCAGATATGTCCGCCAGCAGGCGAGAGTCAAGAATTCAACCTCCAGGGTAGCGTCAGGTATAACATGTTATCATATTTCTTATCATTAATATTGACTTTCCTTCTTCATAGCCATTATCAATTTTCGTCATGTTTGTGAGATGTTATTATATTTCACGTGCGTTTGTCCTGATCCAGATCCTCCAGACGGACATGGTCATCGATGTTGGTCGGAGCCTCAACCCCGGGATTGACCTCGGACAGATAGAGGGCGCTTTCCAAATGGTCAGTTTCAATGAGATCAGTCATGGTCATAAGGAATTGAAATACATGTATAGTATTCGTCTTGTCTGGTTGCAAACATCGCAAAATATTGTTTTTAGTATTTATCATATTGTAAATCATAGTATTGAACTTCGGAGGTTCAAAATGTCTTCAGCAACCCATGCTTGTAGTAAGAGGCGACTAACGGGATCGGGTGGTCAGGATCTGTTGATCACTGGACTGTCATGGATCCAGACTAGATCAATACTTTGCTTGATCACTGGACTGTCTGGTCAACACTCGAACCATTACATACCGCCGCCTTTGCCGGAACCTTGCTGATGGCGTTAAACAACGTAACCATCCTGTCCCTTTTGTTGCCCATGGATGAGAGAAGACGTCTGGCACAGAGTCTGAAACAGGATGATCGAATACGGACGTATGCAACACCTACACGAAGCGTCACTTGGCGAACTTCCTCTGTGAAACACAACCACCGGGTTCTTATATTTAAGGGTTACATGTCAGTTGCCTAGAGTGAATAGGCGGGGACAAAACATCATATTGTTAGTTCTTCAACCCCAAACAAGTCGACATTTTTTGCAGATCGTCATCAACAACCACATCTACAAAGCATGAAAGGTTTTTTCAATTCCTTTAGAAAATTTGGAATACACTCTTTCTACTCCAAGCGTCCGCCCGGAGAGCGGAAGGTCGCGGATTCGATCCTCGACCGCGTCATACCAAAAGACGTTAAAATATGGTACTTGTTGGTCCCTGCCTGGCGCTCGGCATTAAAGGGTGCAACAAGGACTGGTCGGCTGGGAGTTAGTATACTGTGTCTGAGTGGGATATTCATGCTTCACTGCGGCATGGTATCTCAGTGAGCTAGCACTATAAAACCAGCTTAAGTCTGGGCTAGTACAAGCAGCCGCACATACACATACACACGCATGCACGTCGTCATATGAGCGAAAAATTCTCAAGCACGACGTTAAACCCAATTTCACCTCACCTCACCTCACTACAGAAACACCAGTATGTATCAGCAATATTCCAGCTATATGGCGGCGGTCTGTAAATGATCAAGACAATAAAGTCATCAACATAATGAGCATCGATCTATCGATTGGGATGCGATGACATGTGTCAACCAAGTCAGCGAGCCTGACGACCCGATCCCGTTAGCCGCCTGTATCTGTCCTTGTTTCTGGCTTGTTATATTGGACACAAGTGATTTCAAAGTTCAACGCCGATGTTTCTTACTATACCGGACATGTTCAGTTTGTTCATCTTCCAGGGCTGTGGGCACATGTTGCTGGAGAGCGCCGTGGTGTCTGAGGATGGATGGATGGTGAAGGAGGGACCTGGTGAATACAAGATACCCACCGTGAGGAACATCCCCCGGAAACTCAACGTGTCCTTGCTCAAGGACAGCAACAACCCACATGGTATTTACTCCTCCAAGGTCAGTTCTGTGTTTCCTTAAGGTTTCTAATGCTCTTTTCACCACATTAAATTAATATCAAACTGATTTTTACCTTTGCTTCAAAAGTTAGATCTCAGATTGATCGATCTTAATTTGGGTTTTTACCTTTACTCTTTGCTCAGCAATGTTTGGCTGGAAGAGACACTTCAGATGTTACAGGCAACGATCCATGCACATTATTAGACAATACAGCACAATAAGAGAGCGATATTAGATGAGATAAGGCTTTATTTTCCCAAGGGAATTTCATACTGCACAGATGATTGGCACAAAAATATGAAAAAGGGAATATATGACAAAAAAATATGAACATAATAAATTCAGAAACGTATTTAACATTTAACATATTTAACAATATAACCACAAATAAAAACACTGTCACAATGACGACAACGAATGAAAATGTAAACGTATGTATATATAGTATGCTTAATATCACCACCATAGTAAACTTGGTATAGTGGCGGGATAATATTGGTTTATTGTGAGTTGTTAAAATGTGTTTAACAGATAATCATTTAAAAGGATAATAGTGGTTGTTATTAATTATTTCCGTGACCCGTTTGTTTCCAACATCGGTAGTTGGCGGACGGAAAGTTCTGAATGAAGTATAGTTTTATGACGATTGTCATTTAGTAAGTTACATACCTTTCTGACAATTTGCTGCTCAAAGACATCGCCGATGCGTTGGTATTGGGCACCTGACACTTTGCTTGGTATTTTACATTTTTATGATTGTATGTTAGATTCATTTTATGAGTCAGGCTCCCATACCGGAAATGAACTTTAAAAAGTAAAATGGTTTGAATAAATGCTGTACAGAACAGAGAGAGCATTGGATTATAAATTTGAAAAGCATAAGGATCGTAAGAAAGACACTCGCCATCAACATTTTGTGATAGATATGCTACGTGTTGGCATTCCAACTGAGTGATTCGAATCAATACTGGTCAAAAAATATTGTTGTATACAACTAAATCAATATTTTCGTTCTCAATAACAACATACAGAATTTCAGTCTTCACTTTCCTAATATCTTTAATCATTTCTTGAGTCCATTTAACATTCAGAGTAAGAAAATGTATAATGCACCATTCGGGAGCAATCACCAGTGTCAGACTGCTTTATCCGACGTCACAGCGAATACAAACTTAATTGTTTGCAGATTAGGGTCTCCGATTACTAATACAACCATTTGTGAGGATCTGTTCAAAGAGGAACCGAACATATTTTGTTTATTTTACCAAACCCAGCATCAAAACACCATAGCCGCGATTATGAACTATCGACCCTAAACGGAAGATAATTATATATCCAACGCGCATAATCTGATATTCATGCTCGATTACTAACCAAGGCATTAAACACTACATAGTCTATCTTTAAGGTCATGCATGTATCCGAATGTGAAGAATTTCAAGTTAAACAAATGACATGTTCACAAAGACAAATCTTCTCCGTCTAAAACACCATAAATAAATATAAATAATAAATATATGGCAACAATAACCAAAACATTTCGTTGTGTACGGCATCAAGTATTTAAATTGTTTTCGTTTGTTTGTTTTATGACAGGGTATCGGGGAAGCGTCGATATGCATTGCTATGTCGGTGTACCTCGCACTGAAAGCCGCCATCTTGGATTGTCGGAAGGAGAATGGCTGTGACGCTGATTTCGATTTGCGGGTGCCAGCTACATCGGAGAGGATCCGAGAGGCTTGTCGGGCCTGTATCTCCAAACTAACAGATTGACGTTTCTTAACATCGGACGTACCACGGTGGAGTGATAGACCATGTCGTCTACGGCTGCATGATCATCGTTTATTTGTGATGACGGATTTACCATGAATGGTACGTCATGGTGCCTTCGATTCGAAATGATTTGTCTCAGATAGCATCCAGTGAGGTTAATTTAGTTTAAACATTGTTTGGCTTGAACAATACGTCCGTTATGTCATGTCGTGCTGGGTTGTTGTTGGAACCAATCAGGATCTTAGATGCTTACCAAACGTTTGTGGAACCCCCGCCATATTGCACTGACAAAATGTTCGAAGTAAACGACCATTTCACCAACAGTGTCCACTCCAGCCAGTACGTGGTGTACGAGAAAGGAGTATGAGTTGCAGAACCGAGGTGTATCTAATGTTATCATTATAATTGAGATATTATGGACACACTGAAGGTGAACATCATCCTATTGCTGATCTACTTGTACGTTAGTATTAGTATTCATTTGAGTATTACTAATTATTTTGTCACAGAATAACCTGGGCTTGTGGTTAAAGTGTTTGCTCATCAAGCTGAAGACCTGGGTTCGATTCCCCATATGGGTACAATGTCTGAAGCCATTCCTTGTGTCACCCTGCCGTGACATTGCTGGAATACTGCTAAAAGCGACGTAAAACTCACACAAAGTATAATCTCAACAGTTCTTTTCACTGTCGTGTACTTATTTTCAAATGTCAAATGGAACTGATAAGTGAATACAGGTAAAATATTACAATGCTGGTAGATGGAGGAAAACCGAGTTCTATGGTCAACTTCTTTATTGCAATGAATGCGACGTTTCGGTGTAGATACTAACACCGTTATCAAGTGATATAAAGAAGTTGGCTATCTATAGAACTTGGTTTTCCTTCATCCTTACAACTTCTAAAATGCATCTCAAAGAAGCCGGAATACTGGTAGACATTCGTGTTGATCATGTTATCCCTAAACTTATATTCATGCTGTTTTGCAACCAGAATCTTCCATTAAATAATAATAATTAGAACGAACAATTTGGTTTTGCGTTTATCCCGTTCTCTAAACGTCTCTTATTTCCTCAAAGTATATATTTATGCACTCGTCGTCCTTCGCCTCCGTCCTTCATTCTGTCATTCATTCTGCCCTGCGGTCATGGAGTCGTTTGGCGATGCTGAAGAATGATGAAATAAAAATAATTGCATTTTTATGGAAAGCAAATTCTTTCATCAAGTTTCGATGCAGGGTCATGATCCACAAAAACGTTCATTTCGATACGACAATCAAAAGCCTATGATGACCTATAACGATGGTGAAGGTAACGACAAGTGTAAATTTACGAACGCTTTTTGGATCGGGACCCAGATTCTTTAATCCACCCTCGACTATAATGGTCACAAATGATGTGCTCTAGATGACTACCAGCAATGTGGCCGCTGTTTATTCCCATGACCCTACCTTCTACTCCCAGGAACGATAAAACTTTGTTTCCATCATCCTATCTTCTACTACCGGGAACGTCGCTTCTGTTTATTCTCATCACCCTATCTTGTACTACCGCGAAGTTCGCTTCTATTTATTCTCATCACCCTATCTTGTACTACCGGGAAGGTCGCTTCTGTTTATTCTGATCACCCTATCTTTCCACAAAACCAGGAACATGGCTTCTCCTTATTGTCATCACCCCATCTTCTACTACCGGGAAGGTCGCTTCTGTTTATTCTCATCACCATGTCTTCTACTTCCGGGAACGTAGCCGCTGTTTATTCTGATCACCCTGTCTTCTACTACCAGGAACGTAGCCGCTGTTTATTCTGATCACCCTGTCTTCTACTACCAGGAACGTGGCCACTGTTAATTCCAATCGCCCTATGTTCCACAAGAACAAGCGCCTCCCGCTTCACTCACCAACCGATCTCCTTCTACCAGGAGTATTGCGTGAATTTGGGAATCCTGCCAGGAACAAAAACGTGATGCCTACGCTTAACAGTGATGTGACTACAATATCAAACACAATGTTTACTCACAACAGAGCTGCAGCAACAGCAAGAAGGGCGACAGCGAATGCAATGAAGACGAAGCCGCGAAATATCGCCAGTGTTACCTCGTACAGCAGCCCTCCAACCATCGTAAACACTCCAGTTGAGACCACCTCGCTGAGGTCAATCACACTGAACACGGCACCTAAAACAGTTGGAATCTACAGGGTTTTATGCTCTTCATACCAAAAGCGACAAAACACCTTCCACAGTCGTAAGAAATATATTTTAAAAGCGAAATCGAGTGTACAATTCCGGCTAAATCATGGGCATGTGTCTATGACTGTCAAAACAGTGATATATACAGATGTTCGCGAAAGGGTGAGTGTGTCTTGACCAGTGACACCCGTCAGATACATAGGCAAAGGCTAATTTTGCACCTGAAAAAATCTGGAACGGATGGTACTAGTCAAATTAGGAATTATCGAACATATCTTTTGTCACTAATTAAATTTTGAAATAATTGCATTTAGGCTATAGTTCTCGTTGAGTCGATTGTGGATTGGATGGTTAGAATGTGCGACTTGGATGATTATGTTTGACACCAGAAGTCCGAACATATATGTACACTTAGTCATGTTCAATCTCAAATTAATGGCTTTGGGACAAGGGCCACGGTGTTTAAGGCTTTCGCCACCCCAAAGACGATTTATATTCAATTCCGTACACGGTTACATAGCTGGAAGTCGTTTCGTCGTAGCCTAGCTAAGTTGTGTAAGGAGAGACTCTTTCGAAAAGCAGCATACCATTTCACGGTCTTCAAGTTTGAGGGGCGGTTGGGTAGCCTAGTGGTTAAAGCGTTGGCTCGTCACGCCGAAGACCCAGGTTCGAATCCCCACATGGGTACAATGTGTGAAGCCCATTTCTGGTGTCCCCCGCCGTGATGTTGCTGGAATATTGCTAAAAGCGACATAAAGCCAAATTCAGTCAGTCAGTCTTCAAGTTTGAGACCTTCGCTAATGTAGTGTTACTCGTCAGGTTCAATAACTGTTATCATTAAGATCGCAAACAATTTTCAAACTATTCGACAAGTAACGAAATTCTGTATTGTACGAAAGACTTCTTGGGAGTATTTGTTCAAGGATATACCATTGCATGAAGTACCTTACATCGGTATTGCCATTACAGTTAACTCCGGATGTAACGAATTCATAGAGACTACTAATTGTAGTTCGTTATAACAGGAGTATTTGTTCAAGGATATACCAATGCATGAAGTACCTTACATCGGTATTGCCATTACAGTTAACTCCGGATGTAACGAACTCATGGAGACTACTAATTGTAGTTCGTTATAACCGGAGTTCGTTATTCCCATTTCTTCTAAAATATGAAGTATGGAGCCCAGACCAGTTCATTATAAACGTGTTTGTCCTTCACATAGTTTATTGTATTTCATTCACTATATTAATATATGACGGCTTCATTGTCTGTTCAGAAATGCAAATTCCAATTCGCTGTCTTCCATGTAATTACACATCATTTGTAACAGCTGAAAACCAAACACCAACCACGTTAGTTATGCGTATGTGAAACTAATTATTTTTACAATACAGAACAAAAAAAATGACTGTTATCGCGTGTGATCGTGATGCTCAAAGTGATTGAGGTGAAACACGCATATATGATGTAGGGACATCAGGCTTACCTTGCTGGTCTGGCGTTGCAAGGCTTGACATAAACCCTCTCATTAAAGGCCCCGTTGCCTGGGCATATACGCCAACCAAAGCCGCTGAAACAGGGTTAGTGAGTTAAGTTTTGCGCCGCACTCAGCTATATGGCGGCGGTCTGTAAATCGTACAATGTGTGAAGCCCATTTCTGGTGTCCCCCGCCGTGATGTTGCTGGAATATTGCTAAAAGCGGCGTAAAACCAAATTCAGTCAGTCAGTAAATAATCGAGTCTGGACCAGACAATCCAGTGATCAGCAGTATGAGCATCGATCTGCGCAATTGGGATACGATGACGTGTCGACAAGGTCAGCGAGCCTGACTACCCGATCCCGTTAGTCGCCTCTTACGACAAGCATGGGTTGCTGAAGATCAATTCTAACCCCGATCTTCACGAGTCCACTGAAACAGAACATATTGCAGTTGCCACATAGAGATAGGCTCGGTGTCAAGGTATAATGCTAATTGCAGGTACTTCACGTCAAAGAATATGAAAAAAACAAGCATTGCAGATTTGAAGGGACCAATTAGAAACTAATGAATGAGACCGTAATTTGAAGTACATGGATATGATGATGTGCTTCTAGTCTACAAGTCCCTGTGTTATTGATCTACGATGGCATTTGTCAATCAAGTCAGCGAGACTGACCACCCGATCCCGTTAGTAGCCTTTTACGACAAGCGTGGGTTGCTGAAGACTAATTCTAAGCCGGGTTTTAGTACCAGATTACATTAGTACCATTTACAAAATAACGTCATTTGCGATACCCCTGCAAGTGAATGTAACTACTAACATTCCTGTCTGTTTCACTGGACCACGGAAGGGGTTAGATTAAAATGACAAGAGAGAATACCATCTGGGATGAACGGAATATGCAGGCGCTATGGACTCTCACCTATATACATCATGGCGTCGTTGGTGCTGACCGCGATGAGGACAAGAGACGCAGCGCCTGACAGGACAGCAAGGATAGTCATGCCGATGCTAGACATGACTCGTCTCAGACACCGCGTGGCCAGTAAGATGACGAACCAAGACAACAAAACCCTCCCGGCTGAATACAGGGTGATATGGGTCTTTGACCAGAAGAAGGGCCGAGTTAGCAGGAACAGATTTAGGATAATATTTTTCGTAAATTCCACGGAAAATGACGTGATGAATGTCAGGAGACACAAACCGACCAACGTGCGATTTTCTGACGGGGCTAAGTAAAAGTTAAATCCTTGTTTAATGTTAGATAAATTTTCTTTCAGACGATATTTTGATTTGACTGTCTGGTGCGTTTCTGGAATGAGAAGTATCACTACCAGAAACGACGCAAGACAGAGAGCAATGCTGAGGTACAGTGGTTGGAGGTATCCGGCTTGGTCAATCCAAACTCCTAGAATAGCGTTTCCAAGAGCAAAGGACAAGAACATGATAAAGGCGAGTAGAATCATACGCCAGGATCTGCTGTCCCCTGCTTCAGTGATGTCAGCTACAGTGCTAAACAGAGATGTCATCATTGTTGCTAAATAACCTCCTAATCCATGCAAAACCGCGCCTATACACAAAAAGTAGACACTTAAACCGAACCGAACGACAATAATGATATTGATAGAATAAACCGTAGATCCAGTAAGTGAGAGATACATCAGCATCTTCCGCCCAAACACGTCTGAGAGTCCCCCCATGAAGAGAGCAATCAGACAAGCAGGCAGAATCAGGCATGACAACAGGAGTATTAAGTCAGTCGTGGCTTTGAGTTGAATGGCGTCCTCTCTGTCTGTGCTGTTGCTGTTGAGGCTGTGGTTCAGATGATTGTCATCGTATTCCAGCGTTGCCCTCTCGCGGAGGTAGAACTGAAGATGGAATATAAGAAAGTTGCCGTTGGTGAAATACAAGAGAGCTAAGACCTCCAGGGGCACGTAGTGGAGACGTCCAGGAGCAGGAACTGTGCGGTCAATGCTGCCGTAATCTGAATTGTAAAACGTAAGTTAACAATGTGTATGCCATATCAGTCAGGTAGCAGAAATATATCTGCTGTGTAGCGTGTCTATAAATAATTGAGTATGGACCATATAGTTGCATTGCAGATGTGACATGGCAACTCACACAATTGAACTGCAGGTGTCATTTGACATCTCACACAGATGACCTGCAGGTGTCATTTGACACCTCGCACAGTTGAACTGCAAATGCCATTTGACACCTCACACATTTACACTGCAAATGCCATTTAACACCTCACACATTTAAACTGTACATGTGACATGTGACTGACCTCACACAGTTGAACTGCAAAGGCCATTTGACACCTCACACATTTAAACTGCAGATGTGACATGTGACCTCGCACAGTTGAACTGCATATGCCATTTGACGCCTCACATATTTAAACTGCAGATACCACTTGACATACATCACACAGTTGAACTTGTAATGTCATATGACACATCACACATATGAACTGCAGATGCCATAATTATATGATACTTCACTCGATGGAACTGCAAATGTCATACCTAGTGACAACATATTTAGCATGCATAGGTTTTGGGTCGACCATTTTAAATTCTGGGAGTGTGAGGGGTCTCAATAATGTTTGAAAACTATTTTCCCGCTGTTGTACACACGTTTGCCTGGCACGAAATTCATTTCTGTCTGTTAGTTTAAACAAAAAAATATATTACACCCGGAAAAATGTTAAGCCCTCTGTAATTTTTTCTATGATGTGTGCCTTGGCTAATATCAGTGGTGCGCACGCACAGTACGTTGGTAAAGCTGCGTGTGTTTCTTAACGATCATGCCTTGACTACAAGAGAACACAAAAGGACAGTTTCCGTCAACGTTTTAATAACGGATATGACACAATAGAGAAATCATCTATTTTGGCCCAAAATGATACGTGTTAAAGTAGGGATCGAGAGAGTAAGCGTAAACTAGTGCTCAAAAGAAAGTTTGACCAAACGTGAAAATAAAATAAAGGCATATATGAATGAACATCTGTTTAATTTCAATAGTGTATTCAATTCTACAGCAAATAAGTGTTCTAACGGATGTATGTCGGAATAACATGCTGACCACGGCAAAACAAGCGTTATGTCGTTTGTCAGTCTTGCTGTATGAGGCCTTGCGTTATCGTGTTGGTAGACAATGCCACGTGGTTGTTGCTGGATAAATGGCATCGCAGCTGGTCGCAAAACGTCAGCCATGTATCTTCGAGCATTGAGATTGCCATGCATAATCACAATTCTCGTTTTCAGATCACCGCAGAAAAGCCCTCCCCACACCATCACTCTACCGGCTCCAAACGGTCCGGCCAGCTGAACGCAATTCGGCGCTAAACGTTCATCTACTCGTCTGTAAACACGAGCCCGGCCGTCGTCACTGTACATGCAAAACCTACTCTCGTCGATGAACATCACACGTCGCCAATCACGCATCAGTTACTGTCGAACTCGCCTGGCTCACGTCAATCGACGACGTCGGTTTTGAACAGTCAAATGCACTCCGCGGTAGGGTCGACGTGCTCGGATACCATGTTCTGTTTGTCGCCGGTACACTGTATGTCGACTGAATCGGTGTCCTAGTGACGTCGCCGTTACAAAACCATTTCTCCCTGGGCGTTGGCACACGTGGTCGACCACTCCTACACGTTTTGCCTTTGTGTTTTCTTAGCGGGATGACAGTTGCTTGGGTGCAGCCGAAGGTTCTGGTAATAACGGTGCGGTTAGCTCCGTGTTGGGCCTTTCCCACAGCTTTACCTCTTTCGATCTGCCACAAATGTTCGTTTTACTACTGTGTTGGTCACGTGTGGCGTGGGCTGTTTTATACTGTCTCTATGAATTTCGTGTTACATCGTTTTGGATTTTTTGCGATGTTTGGGTGATTCGTTAACTGGTTTCGCCGTTTGTTCCTCGAAAGCATGGGTCTATACGTGTGCGGCATAGCCCAGTATCGTTTTATCACTTCGTTTTTGTTTTTGTGAGTTTTTATGTAATATGTTGCGGTGTAAAGTTCCCTTTGAGCACCAGCTTATGTGATGAGACAGAAATGTTTATTTGTAACCTTGGAACTTTGTGAATTAACGTCTCGTTTACCCTCCATGTGCTGGGATAACTGCCTGTATCCAAATTGGCATATCCCCCGGATCCTTTGCAGATGAAACTGTCGCCATTCTTGGTGCTTAGCTGCTGCTGAACAGGTGCTTGTATCCGTGGCCCGATAAAGTCCCACATGTTCTAAAGGGGGTCCTCATGGTGGACCACTGCATAATTCTGAATGAAAGCTGTTACTGTGTGGCCTAGCGTTGTCACCCATAATGACATTATTTGTATCAAGAGGATGATCATCAAAATAAGGGACAGCAACTGGATCAAGCACTTCCTGGATACATTGATCAAATTCCCACTTATTGTCACCGAGTTAAGTTTACAGTGATGACAGACACATCCCCACACCATGACTGAACCTTAAGCAAAGGCAACAGTTGGTTAAATGTTCTTTGTTCTAAATGCTGCATCGCGCTGATTCCATGATCTCAAGCGTCCATCAGTTACATGAAGAAGGGATCGGCTTTCATTAAACCAATCTATTCTTTGCCAAATATTCCGATTCCAGCATTGCCGTAGTAAACACCAAGCCAAATGTGAATATCGCTCAGCAGAAGACTTTTGGTGAGTTGTAACCGGCTCTCCCCAGGCGATTCCGGTCTATTCTTGTAAAGACCTGTCGAAATGGTAATCGGTGGTGCTTCAGAACAGTTCTTGTGGCGATTGATTGTCTTCGAGTGAGCCTCAATAGTGAGCCTCAGATTCACGATCTGACGTCACCCTGAGTCGTCCAGGACGTGGACGATCCTTCACCTCATTGGATTCCCTGTATTTTCTGACCAAACGACTGTCAACTGTGCAGTGGACATTCATTTCCCTTCCAATTGCTTTATGCATCCTAATAATTTGCCATATTTTGCCATCTGATATTCGTCTTCGTATCATAGTGGCAGAAAGATGATTGGATATTATAACCTGTGCAGTATAATTACCGACATGTGGCGCTTGCACTTGTTTCTGGACATACTCCACAGGGCGTGTTTGGGAGACACTTTCCAGCAAGTACACTTGCAATAATTTATTAAATGAACATTATTGCGTTCGTTCGTCACGTCGAAGACCCGGGTTCGATTAACGATATGGGTAATTTCTGGTGTCCCCATATTGACTCACTCACTCACATACGCACCCACCCACTCACTCCTCACTCACATACATACACAAACTTGAACATGATTATGTTAGCAATCAACATATACTAGGCACATAAAGAAACTGTGCATACACAAATATAAAATCTAAATGTATCAAACCTGTGTAGACACATAAGGATTTAAACTCAGAGATAAGTGAAATGAATCCAACATGCATGCACGTGCCACGTTCCGTGACGTCAGTGGATTCGTCCTTGAGACGTGCAATACGTTGTTGCACGTCCATTCCGGGAAAGAGAAACAGAGCAAATGAATGCCTCACAACACTGTCGCTTTGGAAATCTCAACCCCTGCCCTTGCGATCGTTCAAAAAATTAAACGGCTATTGAAACGCATAGCATGCCAAGGCTCACGTCTGCACAACGTCATGAGGCCATTGGGATGATCCGTGGGGGAATGTCTCAACGACAAGTGGCTGCACATTTCCACTGCCACCGGAACGCCATTTCTGCACTGGTGAGACGCTACCAGAACACAAATGACGTCATCGATCGGCCACGTTCTGGACGTCCACGTGTAACAACGCCAAGACAGGACAGATGGATAAGGGTGACCCATCTTCGCCACAGGTTTCAGACTGCATTGATGACTGCCCGAACCACCCCAGGACCTCGCCGTATCCACCCCAACACAGTTCGACAACCTTTACGTCATCACGGGATCAGACCACGACGTCCCGCCATACGGCCGATTCTGACACAACGTCATCGACAAGCTCGCCGAATGTGTTGCTGAAATCATGTCCGCGGACCCTTGTTTTGGTGGAGAAATGTTGTTTTTACAGATGAGTCCAGGTTTAACATTTCCCATAGTGATGGACGTCAACGTGCCTATAGACGCTTGGGAGAACGTTATGCACAGGCCTTTGTCTTGGAGAGGAATCTCTTTGGTGGTGGTTCCGTGATGATTTGGGGTGGAATAACAGCACGCCAAAGAACTCCTTTGGTGATTGTTCAGGGCAACTTAACTGGTGTGGGCTAGAGGGATCAGATTCTTCGACCTGTGGCAATTCCTTTTCTTCAACGTCATGGCCCTGGGTTAACATTCCAACAGGACAATGCCCGCCCTCATACGGCAAGGGTTGCTATGGATTTCTTGCCACACCACAACGTTGACTTACTGCCTTGGCCTGCAAATTCACCGGATCTCTCCCCGATAGAGCATGTTTGGGACGAGATGGATCGACGTCTACGCCGTCTCCCGCATCCGCCAGATAACGTCCTTGACCTTGCAACAGAACTTGAGAGAATCTAGCGTGACACCCCACAAGCCTTCGTTGCACGTTTGATAGGCTCTATGCGTCGTCGATGCACTGCTGTTCTCAATGCCGATGGTGGACATACCCGTTATGGAGCTTGTGACATGGTCGTTTGACCCCTGTCCCGCTTGTGGACTCGTGACGTCATTGTGATTGACTTTTCAATTGAAATTCTCCCGACTTGTTATGGTCTCATGCTCCCTCCATTAAAGTTTATATGTACCTTTGACATTGTTATGGTACTTATCAACTGGGATAATATTTTGACAATGCACAGTTTCTTTATGTGGCTAGTATATTTATCGATGCATAACGTTTTTTCCAGGTGTAATATTTATTATAAGTTCGAGATTTTAATTAATAAAATGTTGTTTTGAAGTTGTAGGAGAAAAAATATCTTTCTCTGTAAAATTGCTATATTGATTTATTTGTTGTGACTTGTTTAGAATACAGAGTAGGGAGGGTCACTTACCCACGTCTCCTTTTTCATCACCGGAAGTTGTGAAACTGGCCTTGTGTACAGTAGAATCATCAGGTGCTGTCATGACTTAGGTTTGAAGAGGTCTTTTAGGGCTACAACAGATGCACATATGTTCGTTAAGCTGCCACAGACTGAAACAGGGTATAGTTCAGTTGGGTACATTTCAGGCATTTCAGTATCTTGTGTAGCACAGTTTCCCTTAAATCGAGCTGTTCGGTTGGGTAGCCTCGTGATTAAAGCGTTCGATTCTCAATATGGGTTTTCTGGTGGCCATACAATCGTCTTTCGGTTTGGGCAAAACATGACGCCTTGCTTCGTAAAGCACTAATAACAAATAACTTCTTTCAAGTCACCACAGGGCGGTGGGGTAGCCTAGTGGTTAAAACGTTCGCTCGTCACGCCGAAGACCCGGGTTCGATTCCCCACATGGGTACAATGTGTGAACTCCATTTCTGGTGTCCCCTGCCATGATATTGCTGGAATATTGCTAATGCGGCGTAAAACTAAACTCACTCAAGTCACCACAGACGAAACATGTCATTATACCCAGTATGCAGGAGGTGTAATCCCTACATAATCCATCTCTCAAGACCTTACCTACAAGAGACGTATTGAAGAGCTTCCACGTATCAAATGCATGTATATTGGATTTGTCATCAATTGCTGTTTAGTTTTATTGTTGTGTTGGACAATGGGGTGTATTGGTTGCCATCTGTTCGCTGTACAGAATATCCTTTCGACTGAGAGAGACAGTTAATATAACTGCTCCCTTATTATTGGGATAACAATGAGTCGTTGCAACTACCATTTCAATATGGCACGCTTGGCAAAGTCTCACGCCTCTACAAACACACGCATGCTAATGGAGTTGCCAGACATTGATATATTTAACCGTATAAAAAACTTGACTGGTGTAGAATTGAATCCCACGCAGAGTGTGAATTGGTATTGCCATGTGTCTGTATCATACTGTAATCATCCAGGTAACACAAGAAAGCACACATGTGGTCTCACCTTAGGTATTATAAGTTGTTCACTGGTCACCTCGGGGCCCATGGGTTGATGTACCCTCGGGACCAGTGAACAACGTATTTATCTTACCGAACACCTTAATGTTAATTTTGAATTGTTTGAAGCACGGGTACAAATCTTTTGTAGTCATCGCTAGATTTTGCTGACAAGAAAAACAGATTTAGAGTTATCTCCCTTCTAGCCATTTGCATTCGCAAAACATCGGTAATTTCCGTACATCATACGTGATTCAATGTTATTCGAGATAAAGAATTACTACCACGAAGTACCAAATGAGTTACCATTGACAGCGGGGTACATTGAAATGTTACTCGCTTGTAAGCGGGGTACATTGAAAATAATAGAAGAGCGCTCAGCCAATCAGAAAGCGACATTTATGTGTGAGGTAAGATAAATGAGTTAGCTCAAAATTGCCTCTATTCACCAGCAGAAAATGGGTACCTGGTGGGATAAGTGATATGACTATCAACCTTCCAGCGCCTCACAGGCAGCTTGGGTTATCCTGGGTAATAATGTCCATCATGTTGTATGCGCTTAGAGCATGTCCCTGCCGTGTGGATGTCGAAACTGAAGACAGTCCTGCCTATGGTTGAATCTGGCATGTCTACGAACTCATCGATGTTGGTATCTCCAATGGAGTGAGTGAGTGAGTGAGTTAAAATTTAAAGTCACTTTGGCAATATTTCAGCCATATCGTGACTAAACCAAGTTATAGATTAATAATAAGTATTGATAGATTATAAAATCCTGTCAACAAAGGACAGTAAAACAACTAGAACATCACAGATATAAATGTAAAACTAGCAATTAAATCTAAAACATTTTTACTATAGAGGACAACACAATATAAAAGTAGGCTATAGATCGCCAACAACTGAGGGTAGATCACCATACCAGGGACTCTTCAATGGAAATATCACTAAACAGATTTTTGAAATAGCGGAATGTCATCTGCAAATAAACATCCAGCCTTAGTCCCCAAAGCCCAGTGGAATCGGGGATTTCGAAAGATTATCCTTATGCTTTTGACGTTCTCGCGAGCTTTTGAATAAGCGCTGAATCTGTTCGAAATGCTTAGAGGGACAATCATACCTGTGCTAAAGCCAGGTAGAGAACCCTCTCTACCAGCAACGTATAGGCCAATTAGACTTACGTCTAATTTGTAAAGGTATGGAAAGAATTGTTACGAACTGCTTGACGTATCTTCCTGAGAAAATCAAGGTTTTGTCCAGAATTCAAACAGGGCTTCGAAAATGTCGTCCATGCACTGATCAGCATATATGTTGGGTATATGTTGTGCGTATTTCTTGATATTGAAAAGGCATTCGATATGATTTGGCTACAGTGTTTACTATTTAAATTGCAAAATCTTGGAATGAAAGGTAACATGTTTAGATTGTTTCAATTATTCCTCGTGAAATGGTCATCCAGGTACGTATTTTTGGTATGCACATCACAGATAAAGGTACTCCACAAGGAAGTGTATTTAGCCCAGTTTTGTTTGATATCTTGATCAAGGACGTTTTCATCGACCTACCTGTTAATGTCGATCAGTTAGCAAATGATGTTTGCAGATAATGTTTCATTCTGGAGACGATTTTCAGTTTGTTACAGAGCCAATTAAAGTAAATTAATGTTTGGTGTTCAAAATGGAAATCAATTTAAAAATTCCCATTCCAAATTAACAGGTATGATTATCACACGACGGAATATTGCTTCAAAACTGAGGTATCTCTTGCAATTGGGAACCATTACATGGATGTTGTACCAGAGTTGAGTTTCCTGGGAGTGTATTTTAATCAGAGTGAGTGAGTCAAATCAAAGTTTGTAGTCTAATCGGTTTTGATCAGACACTTGCATGGTCAAAATATTTATCATCCATAACTGTGTTCCACCGGATATATTGCTTGTGTGAGATCAGAGTGAAATTAGATTGTGTACGATGCCCTGACGTCGTCAATTACATGACTCACAATGCTATGATGTCAAAAATCTGACAATATATATGAGTCAACGGTATTTTCTAGCGTGCAAAGGGACGGTGGGATAGCCTAGTGGTTAAAGCGTTTGCCCGTCACGCCCAAGACCCGGGTTCGATTCCAGCTATATGGCGGCGGTCTGTAATTAATCGAGTCTTGGCTAGACAATCCAGTGATGAGTACCATGAGCCTCAATCTACACAATTTAGAAACGATGACATGTGCTATCAAGTCAGCGAGCGTGACTACCCGATCCCGTTAGTCGCCTCTTACGACAAGTATCAACACAGATAAAGTGAGAAGAGCTCCAGCTAAACCTCAGGGCGTTCCTCTAGGTACTCACAGCTCGCGGTCGTCCTTACACAGACAGCCGGAATACCGGACCCCTAAATGTATAGATGTCAGAGACGGTGGTGCACTGCCTTGGAATTATTGATGTGACGACATACACGGCCAAACGTGATAACCATTTAAGGTTATATATGCCATAATATAAATAACAGTAATGAATGAGTGGCACAGGTTGGCTGTGTCAATATACAATGCAGTGGTGATGACGATAAGGAGTGGATATTAGCATCAAATAAATAATTGCAATCAAGTTACACATGTCTTAGTTGCATGGTAGATGGCATTTTGGAATGAAATGTGTATCGGACAATGTCCGTTCTGAACCAGTCACTATAACACTGCTGGTAAAATGTAGCTACAAGCTCTCTCACACAAAGGTTCCGAAAGCAGCTTTCAACAGAATTTAGACGTCAGTTACCTGGGCATGCTATCATCTTTGGTAGAATGTCCTAGAAATATAATCAATTCAAAACCAGTATCGGACACTCGTTTACCATGGACCGCCTCCGTGGTGTAGTGGTTAGAGCGTCCGCCCGGAGAGCGGAAGGTCGCGGGTTCGATCCCCGACCGCGTCATACCAAAAGACGTTAAAATATGGTACTTGTTGGTCCCTGCCTGGCGCTCGGCATTAATGGGTAAAGGACTGGTCGGCTCGGAGTCAGTATAACGTGTCTGAGTGGGGTATTCATGCTTCACTGCGGCATGGTATCTCAGTGGGCTAGCACTATAAAACCAGCTTAAGTCTGGGCTAGTACAAGCAGCCGCACATACACATACACACGCATGCACGTCGTCATATGAGCGAAATATTCTCAAGCACGACGTAAAACCCAATTTCACCTCACCTCATAGGAACATGATTGATGTCGGCTTGAAAAGGCAGCATGACTATTGGAAGCGGCGAAAACCTCGATTTTAAAAGCAGTAGGACAATGGCTTGTTTGGACAATTCGGGGTGTTTTTGTAGAAAACTGCCTCTCAAATACAATATAACCATTACTTATCCACAGCTATATACTAAGCAGCAAAAGAAACGTCAGTTTGGAATTTTCCTTGCAGAAACGGATTACTGTTAACTCATTATTATTTTGATTGCATATTTTTGACAACATCTCCAACTTTACCTGAGCAAAGACATTCCTTCCAGGTGCTGGAGTTATTGCCGCTCGTGGTGGTCACACTAGATACTAAAGTCAAGAGTCTGAATGGACTGCAAACGTTCACGTAATGTCTTCGAATTGTGCTGAGTTATCTATTGATGTGTCAGGATATTGTACACAAAAATGTTTTTGATCAGCTTATTATGTCCATTTCTGTAATGATTTGATTACAGTGCCTATCTAATTTTGAATTCGTACTGACTTTTATTTTGGGGTTTTTGCTGCTGAGTATATATTACACAAGAGTCGGTATGAGTGATAACTCTCAAACCACACGAAACAACATGAGAATTTCAACTTAAGTATTACCTTTATTTGTGACGTTACAGGGGCACTGTCGTCGTCGTCAGTTTTCGGTGTTGTGGCTCTAATCTACAAGGCGTCACTCTCCTTTTTCCCCGGCCTCATCTTCGTCATCCTTGCCGGCCTCCTCTTCATCACTGTGCTGATGCTGGGGTAAGACCACAACTGTTCCTGTATCACTAGCTAAATACATGTGTTGATATTCCCATACAGATTGTATATATGATTAATTTGATCACTGGCTCGTTCAACCGACAGCTGTGAAAAGTAC